AAGCGTTCAACGCTCCCATCGAATGATATTTGATTTTATAAATCCACTTGCAACCCGGAGGCTTCTTCCCTGCAGGTAGAGGAGTAATGTCCCATGTTTCATTACTTTGGAGGGCCTCGAATTTCACTAGCCATGGCATCTCTCCATCTAACATCCCGAACGACTTCAAAGAAATGCACAGGTTCTCTCTCGCATGAAGGGCTACAAGAAAGGTTCGGTGGGGGAAGGAGAATTTAGCACAATTTAAGTACTTTGTCAAACTGTAAGGCATACCCGAGGAAGCTGAATGTGGAGTGCGAATTGAGGGACCAGAGTTGTAAAGTGGTGTTAGTGACATAATCACGAAGCTTCACGAGATGGCTTTCGTACACGAAGACCTTTCCCCGGGGATGCAGGGACAGTATGCTCCTCGGGAACCTCTAATTCTGTCATCATAGAGTCGGTTTGTTCGGTGGGAGAACGATCCGGGTGGGAGGCTCTTGTTCATGACATTCGGCGTGACCCTCCCCGAACTCGGTTGTGGGCACATCTTCCGTTGTGGGGTTAACGTCATCGGTCTCCACAACGTGTTCCGCATTGTTCATTGCACCAAGTCCAGGCAATGCTTCCTCGACAATGCCAACATCAACAGTAGGCAATCCTACCTCCGAATGTCTACTGTGGGCAAGAGAGGCAAACGGGAATTCATGTTCTACAAACTTAACATCTCTCGAAGTCCAGAAGACTTCTCTTTCCAGATCAAACAATTTCCAGCCCTTTTTTTCGATTGAATATCCAACAAATACATTCTTGCGACTTCTACTTGCAAATTTGTCACCTTTCCTATCTTGGTTATGTGCATAACACAAACATCCAAATACCCGTAGATGGTCATAAGTGGGTGGCTTCCCATTCAATATTTCATATGGAGTTTTTCCATGGAGAACGATTGAGGGTGTACGATTGATCAAGTATCCTGCGGTCAAAATGCATTCTCCCCAGAATTGAAGTGGAAGTTCTCCCTGAAATCGTAGAGCACGAGCTACATTTAGGATGTGTCGATGTTTTCGTTCGACTCTCCCATTTTGCTGAGGTGTTCCAGTGCATGAGGTTTGATGGAGTATCCCATGTTGCTGAAAATATCGTTGAAGACACATAAACTCAATTCCATTGTCACTTCGTAATATTTTGACTTGTTTCTCGTATTGTCGTTCTATCAAGGCAATGAAATGCATTAAGGTTTGTGACACATCTTTCTTATTATTCAAGAGATATATCCACACAGCTCGAGAACAGTCATCAACCAAAGTGAGAAAGTAAGATGCACCACAAGACGAGGGAGTTCTATATGGACCCCATACATCACAATGTATTAAATTAAATATATTGGATGCTTGAAAATCACTTAAAGGAAATGTGTTTCTGCATTGCTTTGATCTCTCACACACTTCACACACACGAGTTGTATCCGTATTTCTATTCACGCTGTTCAGATGCGGAATTTTTCTAACAATCTGGTAGGCAGGATGTCCCATTCGCTTGTGCCAAATCTCTAGTTGATTTTCTGCATTGGTCTGATGCGCCTTTATGCCACTCACACCACGATACCAATAGAGTCCCTCTTTTCGTTCACCCGCACCAATCAGCATCCTCGAAGTGTGGTCCTGCATTGCACAAAATCTATCGAGTAAAATGTACTTGTACATTTTGCTTCATTACGTCAATTGTGATACTCGAAATCAAATTGCAATTCAATTTCGGAACATATAGAACATGTTTAAGTTTCAGTCCTCCATCAAGGAAAACCGATCCTTCTTTGTTTGCCAGCACCAATTCACCATTTGGTAGTCCCACTGGGCACCCTTCCAAGGCTCGACTCTCCCTCAAGTTTTCTAGTGTTCCTGTCATATGATTAGAGGCGCCACTATCAATAATCCACAAGTCACATGCTTTCTTACCGAGTCATCTTTTCAGTTTCATTTGCCTTACGAGAATTTAACATTGCTTGTCAAGATCTGCCATTGCTCATTACTCGATCCTGCGACTTCGGTTTTTCGGTTGAACCAACGTTATACTGCACCGAGTGTACGCCATATTGACGCGAGCCGTTCCTCCTTTTCCTCGGAAGGTTCCTGTTCTTTGTTGATTTTTTTCATCGTTTTTATCGGTTCGTGGTCTCTCTCCCCACCATTCTGGGTAACCAATGATCTTGAAGCAATTGCCTTTGTCATGTCCCTTCCTTCCACACTGCATGCAAACAACTGATTTTTCTTTCGCTTCATTGCGCAACTTGTTCCTGGTTTCCGCTCGCATAGCCATTCCCACGATCATTCCTCGCTCTTCTTTAGACCTGGTGATTGTTCTCACCCTTTCTTCTTGCACCATGGTGCCATACACCCGATTCAACGAGGGTAATTGATCTGTTGCCAAAACATTTGACCGTGCAGTTCCATAGCCCTCATCATCTAGCCCCATCAAGAACTGATGAATTTTTTCTTCTTCTCTTCGTTTCTCAAGTTGCGTCATAATATTACACTTGCATCCCCCACATCTACACTGTGGGATTTGCTCGTAATTTGTCAGTTCATCCCACAACGTTTTCAACTTCCCATAATAGGAAACCATAGTCATTCCTTGTTGTTTGCATTACGCCAACTCGACTTTAACTGCTTGGATTCTTGGTCCGTTCACGATCGAGAATCGTTCCTTGATGTCATCCCATAGGTCCTTTGCGTTTTCCATGTATGCAACAGGTGGAACGCAAACTAGGTTCTATAGTGTTTAGTATCCAAGATACAAGCATCGATTGAATTGTCCACCAATCTTCTATCTCGGATGTGTCTTCTTCGGGTTCCTTATGAGTTCCATCTATGAAACCCCATTTCCTTCGAGCCCGCAGAGATATCTTCACGGCCCTTGCCCATTCCTCGTAATTCTCTCCTCGTAATTGTACCGTGTAATCACATTTCCAGGATTATCACTGGCACTCGGATCGTATGGCGATGGTGTTTTCTTCACCGTCTCTCCTCTCTCTGCCATTTTAGAAGTACGACTGTGTTCTCGGGCCGTTGGATATCGGAGTTTGGTTTGCTTCGATACCATGATAAAATTATTTCCAAAAACCCTGTCTTGTATTGAATATGATAGCACAATATATACATGAAATACGTAAACATTCTAGGCTATAATTACGCTAACCATTATAGTCAGTATCCTAAATTTGTCTATTAACAGATATGACATTAATGTGCATCACTCGTGCATCATCTGTCATGCCAAGCTAAATATGGAAAAAATTAATCATGTAGAATCATGGCATGATACTGATATTTGTAATCGTATATTCTATGTTTATCAATAATTCTAAAAGAATTACCATATTCGATTAAAAAAATGAATATGATATATTTGAATTAAAATTTGTAAAACCAAATTATAATAATTAAATAAATATATTTTATTGTGGTGTTATATAACATTTATTTACACATTTAAAATTATAATAATCCTTATTGCTTTAACATTTTCTGATTCCATTATTTGCGCCTCACCAATAAATTTAAAATTATGATATTTGTCAAGTAATAATTTTAAATATAAAGATTATAGTAATCATAATAAATTTGATTAAAATAATTTTAATAATTTATTAATTTACATAGAGTAATATACAAGTATATTTATTTATTTAAAGACTACAAATTTATTGATTTTTATTTTTTAATATTTATTTAAAATATATATGGATACTCTTAAGAGTAACTTCAACGAGAGTTGCTTGTGATCTCACTTGTTTATAATCAAATGTGTTTATAAGAAACCACCGATGGAGCAATTCAAGGTGACAAGTACTAATTTTGACAAGTGAAATGCTAAAAACATAGCATCTTGTAGAAGTAACTATCTTTGTTGTTTAATATTTTGTATTTTAATTAATGTTAATTATATTTCTAATGTCAATTTTATTTTTAATTTAAATATATTATTTATTTTATTTTAATAATTAATTATATATTATAATTATTACTGATATGACATAGCGGATCCCATTAAAATCAAAAGTGGTAGTTGAATAGTAAGTTGTTTACAAGAACTCACCTTTGAAGTGATTTTATAAAAATTTGAAGAGAGTTACTTAAATATGATGTGACACTATGAATCCCACTTAAGAACTTAATATTAGTTCTTGTAAAAACCTACTATTAGAAATACTCTAACATTGAAAATAGAAAAAAATAGTTGTAATTTTTATATGGATGTCTATGGATGTTAGATAAATGATAAAATTTTTGAAATCTTACTTCTTCTTAAAAAAGAAAAAAAAACATAAACTCTAATTTTTGTAGTAGAAAGTCTTTTTAAAATATATAGTTTAAACTTTTAAAGAGAATAGAGTATATGTTTTTCAAAATTGTTAAAAAAAAAGCTTTATTACTGTAACGTTTGAAATTAAGAAAAAAATTAAATAGAAATAAAAGATCTTACATACTTAAAATATATTATTTTATAGAAATGGTATTTATACGCATAAATACAAAATTTTACATAAAATATATACATCAACAAAATAATGGATCAAGTTTTGTATAATTTTAAATACTTTTTAATTTTTAAAATCTAAATTAATTCACTAAATTTGGTTGCTTAGTACAAAAATAGGATGTAATACTATAAGATTTATGGTAATTTTGTTAGAAAAATGTATAATCTCAGTTGAATATGTCCTGATAAGTATTTTTTAATAATATAAATAAATAATAAAACCTAAAAGGTAATTAGTTCAAAGAAAATTAATGATATTTATACATCTTTATATATATATATATATATATATATATATATATATATATATATATATATATATATATATATATAAATGTAATTTCGAAACAATTAATTTGATAGTCAGCTTCACACCTCGTGAAGCTAGTCACACTGATCTTGCGTTTTCCTTGTCCAAGCTCCGAAAAACAACGACAAAACCCGAAAAGCCTTTCCTCCCTTCTTTGTCTAATGCTTCCATGGAGTTCAGACGTCGCAATTACAGTGCCGAGCTTGAATTTCACGCCCTCCCTCGCGTACACGCCGCGTCTCATCCTCTCTCTGCTTCACCTCCACCTCCACCACTCGCCCAGGTCCTTCTCATATCGCAACTTCTTTCGCCATTTTTGACTTCGCAGAATCGGTTGTGCGTTCACTGTTCCGAATGCACCACGAAATATATCCGATTTTTTAGTTTCATAGAGTTAGGATTTAGTTCTATCATGCTGCAATAAGAAGATGCCTAGGATTTGAATCGGTCAATAAATTAATTTCTATTGTTCCTTCCTCGTGTAGAAACCTTAATTCAGTTTAATGTCGTCCAGTGGTTCGAAATCGACATTGTTGATATCAGTGATATGATCAGATACCTGTAATTAGTTCTGTAAAATCTGATGTAATCTGGATAAAGAGTTAAATGATCTTAATCATGAATTGCAAGTTATTAGCGAATATAACTCTAAAATAATGCACTAAGAGCTGGGGAGAAAGGGTGAGGGCGGGGACCGGGAAGGATTTGGTTTAGTAACTACAATCTAGGACATCGTAATTTCTGTTGACTTGCTTTAAGTGAAAGTGTTCAAAAGCTTCGTGGTTGTGTTTCTTAATTTAATTTGTGACTGCAAAGTTTTACATATATTGCACGTTTGACGATACTCATTTCTTTGTTAAATTCTCGTTTTAGGTTGATGTTGTAGATCGTGGGAACAATGATTTCTTTGATCCACTGAGAGGAAATGATAATGATGCAAATGCTGCCCCTCCAGATCATGACAACCTGAATGAAGCTGCTGATCATCAGCCAACGAAGGAGTGGACCTCTTTCAGGAGATTACTAATGCAGAGGTTTCCTGTCTCCAAGATGGTTTCAGTTTCTACAGTAAGTTTTATAGTATGTATTATCCTTCTTTTATGGTTTAAATAGGAAGCTGTACTACATTTGTTGTGGTATCTAAGATGGTGATTGTGGTACATATAGAAAGCATGTCTTTTGGTGAGACTGGAGACGTTCTTATTAGCTTTGAACGTTCTTAATTTTCATTAGCAGTAGATCAGGTTAGATAACAACTGTGAATTTAGATGTTTTTTCTGGCAAGTTTGGTTTTGACCACTGTGAAATTCGACAATACCTCCTTCTGCAAGGCTTATTCTTTCTTTTACTGTTATTGTTGTGGCTTCCTAGGGGAAAGACTGGACATGTTCTGTTTGAAAAACTGTAGAACTGTAGGATACTGTTTTATTGGTTTCCATGTGATTAAGACATTGTTTAATTGTCTGCATTAGTGGATATTAATTATTGAATATTTTTTAGGAAGAGGTGTATCTGGCAGTAGTAGAAGTCTTGACCAAGATATTACTAATTATTCATCTTGAATATTGCACCTTAGGTTCCCTTTTTAATCTTGACCAAGATTTTGAACTTTAAGGGCTCTATGCAAGTTGTCAGATAAGACTGTATATGAGCTAGACATCTACCTAATGCTAAGTTGGAAAATTTTCACAAATTTTGAAATATTCTTATGAAGTGTAAGATATAGCAGTTAATTACTATAAACATCTGTAATTTCTATTCTGCAATTGGCAAATGTAGTATTCATAGAGGATAGGTCTTAAAGTGACCATTGGAAAATAATTCTTTATATTCTAAAAACAGTTTTGGTCCTTTATCTTCAACCCTTTCAATTTTTCATTATAACTATTTTAATTATTTATTCTTTAAATTGCAGATGCCCGATGTTTTAATGAGAAGTGGAAAATGTACGTCAATATCTTTTACATTGTTTTTACTTTTGTAATATCCTTTATTTATCTTCACTTGGTTATGTGACATCCCTATTTTAGTACATGAGAAATCTTCCACAACTATGCACTTGGAGGAATTGGACGATCCACAAAAATTCTCAGATGAGGGTGTCAAGACTATTACTTGGCAGGAGTACGTTTCTCGGCTACATGAGCTTAAAGATGAAATTACTCATTCCTGGCTAGCTGAAGATCGGGTGACATCCTTAAAGTTATCAATTAAGGTGAACATCGAAGTATTTAATGATTTATTTTTACAATTTTAGTTTGTATTCGTGAAATAACCTTTTTTTCTTTTGAAATCAGGTAGAAAAAGACATTTTTATTTTATAGTTATTCCATTTAGCTAAGATATGATTTTATGCATGATACTTGTTTAATTGATTCTCTTGAATGTTTTATCTAGTAGTTTGATTGGTATTTGGTTTTGTTGGATGATATTTAGTTTCTTCAGGTGCTCTGTTAGAATCTGGGAAAATCTTAGGTGCTGCATTTATTGTTAACAAGGTTGTTGATCATGTTACTTGAAGGCATAACATAAACTTTGTTGCAAAATATATTTTTAAAGGTGATATGTTTGGTTTATTGATTCTTACTAAGAAAGGTTTTGGCAAAATATGGAAATTACTTAGTAACTTGTATTATTCTGGTGAGTTGTCTCTGCCGTTGTTCAAGAGAAAACTATTCTTGGTCTAGAGGAGTGAAAAGTGGTCATATTAAGTGTGTGAATATGTTTTTTTTTTGGATTGGTGCAATTTTCTCACTTACAGTTTTTGTTTTTCGATTGTAGCCTTGTAGGTTTCTGTACATGGTTTCCCCTTTATCAGATAATTTAGGGATTGAAGAGCCCTTTAAAGGGCTATAATTTTGTATTTTCTTTTCCTCCAACAAAATTATTTAATTTTGTTTAACAATATTTTAAAAAATAAGGGACTTGGAGAGATTGATTAAATGGACTTAGTTTTGAAGTGAGTGAAAATATACTGATTTATTTTTCATTTTTGCCTAAGTTTGTCTTCATTTTGATTGATTATGTGGGTCTGAAACTGATTATTCTGTTTGCAGGTTGCTAAGCTTCTGATGGATACATCAGCATTTGAGTTTTATCCTACGCTTTTTGTTCTTGTCACAGATATCATGGATATGCTTGGGAACCTGGTTTGGCTACGCATAAAGCAGAAAGCTGAATTTTATGAAGATGGAACTTTTCGCTGCAACTTATCAGGTGCTTTGTCAATTTGAAGCTCACTTACAAAAGGCTGTTTACTTCCATGATCTATAGTTATGTATTTCAATCTGGTTAAGCAATATGGCTTGTACGAGAGTGCTAATAATTTTTGAACATAACACCTTTTTCATGCTAATGTTATCAAGACTTAGGATTTTGTGTTTTAACCTTTTAAGGTTGGTAATTCCTCATGTTAAATTTTCCCATCGATTAGAGATATGATTAAATTGTAGTATATTAAACCAATTTTGTAGGGTTGGGTTAGACACCTCTCCATTTTTAACATGGCATCAAAGCTTGCTCTAGTGATGTTAAAACTATTGCACCATCTGTTATCGGTTGTTAGAATGAATCACCCATTATGGGACTATTATTGGATCACCTGTATCTCAATGTGAGGGGGTGTGTTAAAATCTTACATTGATTAGAGATACAATAAATTATAGTATATAGGTGAGGTACAAACCTTACCTTATAAGCCAATTTTGTAGGGTTGAGTTAAATACATATCTATTTCTAATATAGTATCAGAGTTAATTCTAATAATGCTGGGACATTGTACCATCTGTTATCGGTTGTTGGAATGACTATTCATTATTGGTTGTTAGATTGAACCACTCTGTTATCGAACTGTTACTGGGCCACCCATATCCTCGATATAAGAGGGTGTATTGGAAATTGAAGATCACCAATATCTTTGATGTGAGGGAATGTGTTAAAATCCCACATTGATTAGAGATGCAATTAAATTGTAGTATATAGGTGAGGTTCAATTTTATGGGGTTGAGTTAGATATTTCTCCATTTTTAACACTTTGATACAAGAGTTTGTAAGGATTGCAAGGTGATTCTTATAGAAAGTGTTACTACACAAAATAGGGTTTTGATTATTGATGTTCATTTCAAAAGGCAGCAATCTTACTGTTTTGCCAAGGCTTGCCCTAAAATACATCTAAATGTTTAATCCTTATAAGTTACTACATTTAGAAAAAAAAAATTATATAACAAGTAACATTAAATACTTTGTGCATACTGAACCATGAATTCTATTTTCTTGGCTCATGTTAAACATGAACCGCTACTGGCATGATGCTTAATCACAGACTAACCAGAAAACCAATTAGTTGTACCACTTTGACCAGGCTGTGGTTTTATAAATATTTACAATTATTATTATAATTTATGAGCAGCTTCTTTTGATGCAAGGCCTATTTGTTTCTAAAATGGCAGAAGTACCAATATTACATGGGTTTGTATACAGGTATCTGATGCAATACACAAATGCAATTCTTTTTTAAATGAAGCAATGGGTATGAAAAATTATCTTAAAAAAATGCATATTATATTTGTTAAAAAATTTAAATAAAATTTATTTATGTATGAATATCTTATCCCATCATAAGTTCCATTTGTACTGCCTCTCCATGTCCCTGTGTAACAATTTCAAGGTCGGCCTGTACTTTGAGTATAGTGGGAAAAGAAAAAAAAAGAAGGATATACCACATATGTGAATACCATTCTATTAGAGTCATGGTATCAGTGTCAGATAAGTACAAAATCTATTTATGCAACATTTGGAAGTATCCTTGCATCATTGAGAAGTTTATGCATTATAGGGAGTATCATAATTAGTAATTTATTATAGCCTCACAAACATAAGATGAATGATATTTTCACTGGGATTTCCTAACTGCAATAAAAGTTCCCACTACCTCTAACATCGGAACTCACTGAATATTTTTGTTATGTATCTTGTTTATTGGAATTAATTTCTACATGTCATACAAGCTTGATGATCTGCATGAGATAGATGGATTTCATTTAAAAGTCACATCTTTTTTTCTTAAATGTATTATTTGAATCTTGTAGAAAGCTTTCAAGCAAGGGATGTTTGTGCTGATGCCAAAGAAACTTGCTATAACTGGTTTAGCAAAATTGGTGCTGTGCAAGAGCTTCTTCCGCGCATGTGAAATTTTTATCTTTTGCCCTTTATTTAATTTATTCCTTACATTTTTTGTCCCCTAAAGTTATTTTTTTTTTTCTCTCTTTGATTATGTTGATTTGAGACTTGATGCCATGTTTACCTCTAGTTTCATCATAATCACAGTTATAATTTTCTATGAATTCGTGATCTTACATGAATCACAGCCATGTATAATTATATTTCCATAATTTCAAAGCTAAGCATAAGTCCACTTCAACAAAGAAAATCATCTTGCCACAACTGGGCTACAAAAACTATATTTTTGGTTGAAGCACAGCCTTGTTATAAATATATAGCCATTCATCCATGGGCCTGGGTCTGAGTGCCTCACTGCTTATGCTTTTGAGTTAATTTGGTTCCTAGTATGCTATCAATTTCTCTTGGATCAGGCACTCAGTACTCTGCCATTTAATCATTGCTCTTTTATTCCTCTGATTAAATTGTAATTTCAGCATATGGTTTGAGTGGGCTGGCTGGTGGTGGTTCATCCATGATTTTATATAGAACTTTAGTTGGGTTGGGGGGTTGTGGTGAGTCAGATATAAAAGCTATCAAGTTCATTAAATAGCATCTTAAGCTTTTGTGATGATTTGGTTTCAGTTAGAAATTGAGACAACAGATGGTGAATAGTTTTAAAATACATGAGTTTTAATAGTAAAAAAGTTAGACTGGCAATGTGTGTAGGATATTTTTGGGTTACAAGTACTATGGAATCATCATTAATTTTCAGATATTTGCTTTGATGTGGGGTGACCTACCCCTATTTTAATTTATAATTTCTTTCAACATGTTTTTTATACTGTTAATACAATAAAGATTAGGTTTAATGTGACAACTGTCATGCTTTGTCTGTTAATATTGCTTGAAAACTTGCTTTAGTATAGACCTATTTTAGAAAATTTTTAAAGGTTTTGTTAATAACATTTGAAAAGCTGTTGCACTAAAGATTGTTTCTCTCTGACTGGATTTTGATGAATGCTTATCTGACATTGTATTAGTTACTTGGAGCTGGCAATATTGCCTTGCTGGTGTTTTTTGCTTGACCAACCTCCAGACAGCCTCCAACGCTTGGTAATGATGACAAGAGGAATAGGAGATCCAGTGGCATCTGCATATTGCCGTCTTTATATGGCTCACTGTGCTCAGAAGCTGCCTGCGCATGATATAGGTATTTTTGTTGATATTTAATATCTATCCTTAGGATGTGTAGAACATGTACACAAGTATCAGGCTAAACCCTTTTAATTGTTAATTTAGATCTGTATTTTTCCGGACAGATTTTGGTCTAACCTTTATATTTGCATATGCAATTGTTCACATAATGCTCTAACACCCCAACAAACTGCATCCAAGACCTTGGTGTGAAATATTATATAATTTTGGTGCTAGTACAGTCACAAATACTTTGGTTTAAAGTTTTTGTATTTCTTTCATAAATTGCCATATTTAGAAAGCTATTGAGAATGTGAAAAGTCTGCTGGTAAACACATTATTTATTAGTTATTCAGATTAAACAGAAACAATGAATCTAGATTACTGCTTTATACTCTCTCCTATTTGAAATTTTGTGCTCCATAGCAGTGCTTAGTTGCCTCATTAATTTTCTCTTGTTCCTTTTCTGAAATGGGATGCAAAGGTCATGGAGTTTGCTCATTCTGAATTTAATGTATCTGATTCCTGTAACATACTTCTTTCTCATGTTTATTTTCATAAAATGTGAAACTGGAACAGGCTATCTTGTTACGTGTGTGAATGACATCAGAGTTATTTTGACTCAAATCTTGTCAGCCAATGAAAGAACTCATAAAAATGTTAAACTCAACAAAGTATTGCAAGTGTCTCTGATGGAACCAACCATTGAGTATATTATGAAGTGTATATTTAATAGGTTGACACAGGTATGTAATGAAGTTTCTCTTCACAGGTATACTTGTTTTGGGCAATACTATACATGATTATATTTCCACATATCTTGGTATACAAGAGTGTATAATTGAAATTTCATTGATTGGCATGTTTTCTCTTCTATTTGATTTCTGCATGAGTATTTCAAGCATGTGAAAATGAAGGTTTTGTATGCACATATAGTAATGTCATCTATGTACTATATATCCTTCGTTTTATGCTGATCTAAGTATGTCTTGCTGTGATAAAGAGACAAGTCAACGAAGTTCTATCAGAGCTAGGTTTGATGAAGAATCAAGAGGATTTGGGGAGTGTTTCTTGTGTTTCAATCATTCTTCATCATTTACTGAAGGAGCTCCCTATTGAAGTAGTTAGTTCCAATGTGGTGCAAATCCTTCATCTCATCGAACTTTGCAAGGATAATTCCTTTGGTCAGGTATGCTTTTGCAATTCTATTATACCTTGAATTTGGTGGCATCTTTGTTTTGGTTTTTCCAATTTGTAATTTTATTGTCTTCTTTTTTGGTGATACAGCACATGAATTACAGACTGCTTGGATTCAGGCTGTATGAAAGAAAATCCCCTGTTCATATTGTCAATGCTGTGTTAGATAAAGTTACTCAGGTATTTTGTAAAATTCTATCTATCTTTGCATCATTTCAGAGTTACATTATTATGTTCTTCACAATGGCATATATTCCTCTTAAATCTCCATCTCTTCGTCCATCTACACTTTGAGGGAAATTGTGTATTGTCATAGTTTCTTTCATTAATACATTCTCTTATCCAATCCCTCCCTCTCCCTCTTAATTTTACCTAACAAATATGGGAGGAAGAAGTTTATATCTTTGATGGGAATGTTCTGAAAACACCAAAATATAAAAGACAAATCAATCACAGAGAAAACATCTCAAATAGATTTTGTAAGTGTTATTTGGTTAAGTAGACTTTATATGGTGTCAGAGGTGTGTCTCTCTTATTGTGTCAAATGTTATAAACTTTAGAGTGAAGGAAGGAGTAAAAGAAGGTAAGAGATGGGGTTAAACTTGGTATGCTAAATAATCATATACTCTTCCTTTCCCTTAGTTATGTTATATATTATATAAGCATTGACTTGTTTCTAATACCTACACAAACATCTAAATTTTAACATACCAGCCCTCCTCATTTTAAAACAAAAGGGATTGCTTTTGTAATTTATTTAACATCTTTGCTTACCACTTATGGTCTATATGGTAATTTTTTACCTGAGTAAAAAATGTGTACTTTCTAAGATTTAGTCTGAACTTCATTTAGCAAGTTTTCAACTGTCATTTTTCCTTCAGGTATTTCATTTGTTCTCTAATTTGGCTGCAACTTTAGGTTATTGCTCTGTATGATAGCCTTGATGAATACCTGAAGGTTGTAGATGCTTATATCGATCTTATTCTTCAGAATCAGATGGTAAGTTCAAGTGAGTACAATCAGACTGTTATTGGTTCTCTCTGTCTTCTGAGTAAAAGTTTTCGTACGCCATTATGTATCTTCTTTTGTTGGATGCACTAATCTGTTGACTATTTTACATGGCATAGATGATTTGGGCTTATTTAGTAGTCACCTTTCTATTTATATGACTGTCACAATATTAAATTTTGAAGGTTTAGATATTTATTTAAATAAAAATTTTAGTAATCACCTTTTTATAATGTAAATTTGATGCAGGAATAAAAAATGAAAAGAATAGAAGGAAAGAACAATTGTTATGTATCATATTCTTTCTTCTCGGAAAAAATCCATTTGAAAAAAACTAAATAAAAAGTTATAAAAAGGTATTAGGAGTAATTGTAAGTCTGCAACAAGGAGAATTTGAGGTTTTAAACACTTTAGAAGTGACTAATGCTTGTCTTAACTAGGCAGTTAACACTATACTACCCAAATGTTTTTTACAAGCCAATTTTTTCATTTGTATCATCATCATCACCTAGATATACAGTGTATCGACATATTATAGATTTGTTGGTTGGGTGGGTGCGATGGCAAGCTATGTTGCTTTCAAATAACTCCCTGGTTTGGTCAATCTGGGCTTTAAACATTTTTAGTCTACAACTTGCTTGATGACGATCTCTAATTCCTATTTAACTCCCGTTTGGTCAATCTGGGGCTTTAAGTTTTTAATCTACAACTTGCTAAATGCCAATCTCTGATTGATTTGAACATGCTCTTTCAAATGAAGCCTGATGTTGGCAGGTATTGAATTTGATTTCTTAGTGCTGAATGATATTTAGACAGTGAAAGTAAGTGGAAATTACATGAGTATGATGAAACAAGTTGACAATCTCAAAGGTTTTATAGAATTACCAATAATATTTGTCTTGATTACCTTTGAGCTGAAATGATAAGGGAACAAAGAGTGCAAGCCAATTCCACAAAATGAACAAAAGATCTACTACTAAATTCTGGATGTTTCTTAGTCCTTTGTGCAAGGATGATATGCTATCCCTCTTTCTTTCCAATCTTTCTTTCTATATATTGGTATGTCTTAGTATGTTCTTTAAGTAAACAATCGTGAGTCAAACATATATATGATAATTTAAAGAAAATCCACAAAACATATTGAGATTTAAACTCTGATTCTTCATGGATTAATTCTTATCCAATTACAAAGTTTAGTATGATTTGATATATATACCTATCACTTTAAAATGACTATTATTTAATACTTTCTTTCGTAATCTTTCCACTAAATGCAATAATTTATTCCAGGATAATCATTTGAATTCCATCTTGGAAGGAATTTCAAATCGAGCTTGGAATAAAGGAGTTACAGAGGATGAAATGCTGAGCTTGCAATCTCTCATGGTGAAGCTTCTGTCTCATTTTGAGCGTCTGGAAGATGTTTTTTCTTTGGTAAGTTCCAATAATATCTTGTAATTTATCATCTTTTTTTTTTTTTTTTTCAATATCATTCGATCTTCAATACATGTGCTATAAGTACTAGTGGTGATTTGGGTTTATGTTATTATTTTGTAGGTTCAGTTTCCTGAAATCTTAGATGTAATGTATGGCAAGTCACAGGATGTAGTCTTTTTGCACATCCTTAATATGACAACCAGGTACCATTGATAACAAGCATTTTCTTTAATTCTACTCCTTTCAATCCATATCATCCTTGTTGACACATGCTCTAGTTTGTATATGATATACATGTTCTTCGATGGATTTTTAACCCTTTTATTTGTAACTTGAGATAATTGGTACTGTTGAATATAGAAGAAATAGAGTTTGGGATTAATTTCCCTTGTGTATAAATCACACATAGAATAGTCTATTTATAGTAGAGAGATACAACTAAAAGAGTAACTGAAAGTAACAGAATAAACAGAAGATATTGTTTGATATTGTGGTTAATATCTAACAATATCTTAACAATATTAAATAATATCTAAACAATATCTAACACTCCCCTCAAGCTTGGAGCATACAAATCGTATGTGCTAAGCTTGTTACAAATATAATCAATTCTAGGACCCAGTAAAGATTTAGTAAAAATATTCGCTAACTGATCACTTGAGTTAACAAACTCGGTCTTGATGTCTCCGGACATAATCTTTTCTCGAATGAAATGACGAGTCAATCTCAATGTGTTTGGTCCTCTCATGAAAGACGAGGATTAGAACTAATATGAAGAAGCGACTGATTGTCACATACAAGTGACATTTGAGTGACATCTCCAAATTGTAACTCTCTAAGCAATTGCTTGAGCCAAACAAGTTCACAAGCGGCTGAGGCCATAGCTCTATATTCATGCTTCGCACTAGATCTTGCCACGACACTTTGTTTCTTACTTTTCCATGAGACCAAGTTACCACCAATGGAGACACAATATCCGGATGTAGATCTTCTATCCGAAGGAGATCCGCCCAATCGGCATCCGAGTAACAAACAACTCTTGTATGGTTATTAGAATCATATAACAATCATTTTCCAGGAGTTCCTTTAATATACTTTAAGATACGAATGAGCTGCATTCCAATGATCTTCACATGGGGAATTAAGAAATTGGCTTACCACATCGACTTGCAAAGGAAATGTCAGGACGAGTAACTATAAGATAATTCAATTTTCCAACCAATCTTCTATACTGCTCAGGATCAGGTATAAGCTCCCCCTGATTTGGTAGAAGTTTAGTATTGGGATCCATGGGCGTATTAACAAACTTTGAATTCATCAACCCAGTTTCCTCCAAAATATCCATGGCTTACTTCCTCTGAGATATAACAATACCATCATTGGACTGTGCCACCTCAATACCCAAGAAATATCTAAGTTTGCCAAGATCTTTGGTTTGAAAATGGTGACAGAGATGTTGTTTCAACTGAGAGATGTCATGGTTGTCACTACCTGTAAGAACGATGTCATCAACATATACTATCAAGTAAACATATCCAGCACTTGAGTGTCAATAAAAGACAGAGTGATCTGCTTCACACCGAGTCATACCAAATTGTTGAACAACCTTGCTAAACTTTCCAAACCAGGCCCTAGGAGACTGTTTTAGGCCATATAGGGATTTGCGAAGACGACATACCATCCCAGAAGACTCCCCTTGAGCAACAAACTCAGGAGGTTGCTCCATATAGATTTCTTCTTGTAAATCACCATTGAAGAAAGCATTTTTAACATCTAGTTGATAAAGAGACCATTGTTGAAGAGCGGTCATGACGATAAATAAACGAATAGAAGTCATCTTTGCCACAGGGGAAAAGGTATCTCCATAATCCAACCCAAAAATTTGAGTATAACCTTTGGCCACAATACGAGCTTTGAGGCGATCAATAGTACCATCAGGTCCAACTTTGATAGCAAACACCCACCTGCAACCAACAACAGATTTCTCAGACGGTAACGGGACCAATTCCCAAGTTCCACTATTATGAAGAACACTTAATTCATCTAACATGGCCTGACGCCAACCAGGATGGGCTAAAGCTTCACGGACAGTTTTTGGAATGGTCACAGAAGAAAGAGAGGAAAGACATGTATAAAAAGGTAATGACAGTCGATGATAACTCAAACCAATATAATGGGGAGAGGGATTACGTGTAGAACGGATACCTTTTCGGAGGGCAATGAGAATGTCAGACTCAGGTGTCACATCCGGAGGAGACAGAGTATTTGACACTTGAGTAGAGTCACATGGTGGTGGTTGTGATTGGTTTCGACAACTATAAACCTGAAGAGGCAGTGAAGAAGAAGCTGACTGCGGAGTAGAAACTAATGGTGAAGAAGACACAGTTATAGGGTCACAAACAACAGGAACATTAAATGTACTAGGAGTGTTGACAAGATTGGATGGAGACAGAGGTGAAGATTGACTTTTAAAATAAAAAGAGAACTCATCAAAGGTGACATCTGCAGACACAAAATAACGGTTAAGAGAAGGAGAAAAACATTTGTATCCTTTTTGTGATCTTGTAAACCCTAAGAAAACACATTTATGTGATCCAGGAGAAAGCTTGTCAAGACTAGAACTAAAATTATGAACTAAACATGTAGACTCGAAAACTTTTAGAGGTAAGGGATGAAGTGGTTCATGAGGGAATAAAATGGAATGAGGTATTTTATTATCTAAAACCGAAGATGGCATGCGATTAACAAGATAACATGCAGTAAGAAGAACATCACCCTAAAAATGCTGAGGAACCTCTCCATGAATTAAAAGAGTGCGAGTTGTTTCAATAAGATGCCTATTTTTACGTTCAGTTACACCATTTTGTTGAGGTGTATAAGCATAAGAAGTTTGATGCAAAATACCATGAGAAGCCATGAATTGTTTAAAAGAATGAGAAAGATATTCACGACCATTATCACTGCGCAAAACTCTAATAGAAACACCGAACTGAATTTGAATTTCATTGAAAAAAGTTTGAAAGATATGAAATAATTCAGAACGATTTTTCATAAAAAATAACCAAGTGCATCTGGAACAATCATCAATGAAAGTAACAAAGTATTGAAAACCTAAAGTAGACTTAACGCGGCTAGGTCCCCAAATGTCAGAGTGAACTACGGCAAAAGGGGATGAAACATCACGTGTGACACTACGAGGAAAGGAAGTACGACTATGCTTGCCTAATTGACACGACTCACATGCCAAACTAGACAATTTAGATAAGGCAGGGACAAGTTGTTGTAACCTGACAAGACTTGGATGACCTAACTGAGCATGGAGAAGAGAGGGAGACTCTATAACCGCACCAACATGTGTAAAGGGACGAAGATGATAAAGACCATGAGACTCACATCCTGTGCCAATCACCTGTTTCGAACTCCCGGTCCTGTAAACACACGAATTGTTGGTAAAAGAAACAACACAATCAAGAGAACGAGTTAGACGATCGATGGATAACGAGGTTAAAAGGAGACTCGTGGACATAAAGAACATTATCAATGGTTAAAGAAGGGAAAAGTTTAACAGTTCCAACACCATGAGATGATACTCTAGAGCCATCGATCGGTGTAACAAAAGGTAAAGGATCGGGAGAGGATAAAGAGAAGAACAAAGATTTGTTACCGGTAATATGATCGGTGACTCTTGAATCAAAAACCCAAGAACCGAGAAGAAGATTGGGTCGGACCAGAAAAGATGTACTGTGTGTGCAACGGACACGGTGGAACTAGAAGATCGTTGATCCTTATACCATTTGAGAAATTTGTTGAACATAGCGAGGTGTGTCCGATGAAATAGAAGAAGGAGGATCCTTAGCGAGATAAAGGTGGGGAAAGATCGGTCCGAGCAACCTGCAAGCAAATCGAGTAGGACGACCATGTAATGCATAACACTTGTCAATCTTGTGACCTAGTTTGCCACAATGTTCACACTCATGTAATGCATAATACTGGTTAATCTTGTGACCTAGCTTGCCATAATGTTCACACTTAGGACGCCCTTTTCCCTGTTTGCGAGGGCGAGTTCGGTCATCACGGTGAGATACCAATGTAGAAGAATCATTAACAGAAGCAGGTGTGTCAGGGTTGGGTTTTGCTGGTATACGCAAAAGAATGGACCAGGTCGATGTCAAGGTGGGGACAACCGGAGAACCCAAAATCTGATCACGAATATGTGAATATTGATCAGCAAGTCCGTGTAATGCCCCTAGCATGAAGAAATTTGTTCGTTGTCCTATCTCGGTGGCAGGTTCGGGGGAAGGAGGCAATAACTCATTGAACTCATGAAAAAGAGCATGAATTTTGTCCATATAATCAGTCATAGAATCTTGATGTTTAGAGGCAATAACATCTACAAATTTAGAACAGACATCATAGAGACATTGAGTATCATTGGTGTATAATAACTTGGCATGTTCCCAGATTTTGGCAAATGTTTCGTAGGAACGAAAAATTTGTTTTAACGAAGGATCAAGAGTACCCTTGAGAACCACACATAATTGAGCATCAATGGTGTCCTAACGGTCTTCCTCACCAGGAGTGAGAGTAGGTGCTTTCGGGGCAAGATGATCAAGATACTTCTGACTCTTAAGCCATAATCTGACGTTTGATGACCATGTGGCATAATTAGGGCCAGTTAACTTGTCAATGGATAAGTGCACATTAACATAGTTAGTGTAGATGGAAGGATCAGACGCAGTACTTACAGAATTGGAAGTACTAAAAGGAGCGAAAGAAGTCATAAAGGGCGGAGGCGATAGTGACAGCGGCGTGAACCAGTACACCAGGTAAGTTCCCAGGAAAGAGAGGTGGGTCACTAATGGACACGCTTAGATACCAAGTCTTTCATTGTCAGAACTTTCCTAGACATACACTTTCACACTACCAAATAACCGACAGCGATAGCGGCGGTGGTGGCGGCTTCAATAGTGGTCAAAGGCGAAAAAAAAAAATTCAAAATAATCTTAAGCTCTAGATACCATGTTGAATATAGAAGAAATAGAGTTTGAGATTAATCTCCTTTGTGTATAAATCACACATAAGGTAGTCTATTTATAATAGAGAGATACAACTAAAAGAGTAACTGAAAGTAACAGAATAAACAGAAGATATTGCTTGATATTGTGGTTAATATCTAACAATATCTTAACAATATTAAATAATATCTAAACAATATCTAATAGGTACTATGTACAACTGCTGTCCTGCAGCAACGATCATAAAATAATCACAAGTTATGAGCTGAAGACATGAGTGATTTGATATTACATTTCTGATATTCCTCCACATGCCAGAGGCTATGGGGCTTGAAATGTGAATGTGCAAGTCCACTTATTTTAGACAGAAGTTATTTTTTTTTTATTAGGAGAATTGGCGTACCAAGAATCAAAAGCTCGATTGCTTGATAAGAGGGTTTGATATCATGTGATGCACCACCTATTCCAAAAATATATGCTATTAGTTGAAGTCACGTTAACAATTTTATACTAGTATTTGACAAATTCCTTTACTTCTATTTCAATTCCGTAAGGAAATTTTTATTGTAAGGAAGTATTGTTGAATCATCTCTAAGTTACCTTCATTCAAATTTCAAGGTTCTACACATCAAATTTTCTTGTTTTCTTTGTCAGAAGAAAAAAAAATGTACTGAAATAAAATAAAGCTCTCTTAAATCTTGTGCATATTGAATATGATGGCAACTACTGAAAATGACCATTGCTTTCTACTCTAAAGTATTGTTTGGATATAGAATTTTGAATTTCTAAGAATTTAAAATGTATGGAAATTTGATGTTTTCAATTCCTTTTCAGAATACTTTGTTTGGATAAAACAATTTAAGTTCTTTCTTCTACAAATTCTTTGTTTGGATGGAGTAATTTAGTTTCCACACTATGTAATATTTCGTGCTAAACATTTCTTTAAAATATAAAGATTTCAATTTGAAATTTTACCAGAAATAAACATTATCCAATTTTTAAATAATAAAAAATCATATGAAAATGATTAATCATTTAAAATTTTCATTGTATAACAATTGGCTACTACTAACATTGTACAGTTTCATATAAATTAATAATAAGCAATTTGTTGTTATCATTTATGAAAGTTTTATTATTTAAATAATAAATAATTAGGTGGCATTAAATACACGAAATAGCTACTAACATTGTACAATTATATAACCTTGACATAAAAGCTGCTGTAAAGTGACTGAACTAACTTAAGTATACACATTACACAGATTATTGTTACACAGAACCTATACAAACTTAAACTTCCTGGTCTACTATCCTTGATCTATTTTTGAATAATATAAGGCTAAGGCATGAAGTCAGCTTGGGTAACATATGTTAAGGTCATTCGAACCCAATTAAAATTGATGATCTCTACAATAGTTCCATGGGAAACTATCCAGATCCTGAATCAGAACTTACATGTTTACAAGGTTTACTTTTGCATTTTCAAATTTTTATATCGTGATATACAAACTGCAAATACTCTTGATTCTATCTTTCTCGTTGATTAATATAATTTGTTAAGTATTCATTTCATTACCATGTAATAATCTGTCATTATTTGTCATACAGGAATGATCACATTAGTGATCCAACGAGCATACAGTTGCTTTTTGAAATTTCTCAGACACTACATGGTAATATAGAGTTTATGAATGTGAAAGATGATGATGGCCAAGTGGCACGATCAATATCTCGCTTTGTGCACATGGTAACTTGTTCCTTTTGATATTATTTGGGTCTATGATGGCTTTCTCTAGTTGCAGTAATGTTTTAGCCACAATTGATTTGTTGACTCTTAACTGCCTCTATTTACTAGGTAGATTATGGAGCAGAGATGGAACAACATTTAGCATTTTTAGTTGATTGTCGAGGAGCTTTTGGTAAATTAAATGACCTTAAGGTTTGTCTTTGTTTTTCTTTGCAATTGTTGGCCAAGGACCTGGTAATATAGTGATAAGGTTATCATACTTTCTTGCAGGAAACTCTTGTTCACTCTAGCAATTCTTTAGCAATTCAAGCTTTGAAATGTGCTAAGAAACATCCGAGTTTCGTCAAATCATGTATTACATTTAGTGAAGTCACAATTCCTTCTATTTCTTCTCACAGGCAATTTGATCTTTTTCTAGAAACTGCAGAGGTAGGTACGTCAGCTTTTGGCACATCAAAGTTGCATGTATTCTTGCTGCTATTATATTTTCAAGTATTCATAGTTTGAATTTTTCAGGTTGCATTCTTAGGGGGCTTGGTTTCTCATTCAGATGGATTGATTGATTCAGCGATCAGATGTTTGCATGCTTTAGACATAATTGATGGTTAGTTGATGTGTAAAACCTGTGAATTAGTTGCTGACGCATTGTGGAAGTATTAAGCACCAATAAATAAAATTGAATGCATGTCATTTGTTATTTCTGGCATGTCTATTTTGTGGAATTTATTCAATACTAATTTTGTCGGAACTATGAAGAAACAGCTGTGCTTAAAATGTTCAGAACAATTATCATAATTGACAATAAAACTTGTTTATTGTGTCCAAACTATTAATTATTCTATATTTTAGTAATTCAATTCAGTCAATTGCGTTGGAGAAGAAAGGCTAATAATTTGGCATCTTGTTTTTTTCCTCTTTGTCAAATATCTAGTGATTTGAAGGCAAATAATTTAGACATCTTTTTTTTTTTCTCTCTTATCCCTTTGTCGTATATTCAATGATTTGAAGGCATTTTTAAATTTTGTAAATCTTTCAAATTCCTAAAATCTGACAAGAATTCCGGCATCTTGTAACATATAGCTTGAAAGCTAACATAGAAATTGTTAAATTATACAGTTAAGTCTGCAATAAGATGTTGAAGTAGAACCTACATGCATGGTCTATACTTGCTTTGCATAATGCAATGGATAATTATCCATAGGTGCAACTTGTGAAATTATTTGCCATTTCAATTCATTCATTTACTTACCCAGTAACAAACTAACAATCTAAAAATATAGTTTACTAAAATTGATGTATCAGAACTAGGATTGATATATTATTGGTTAAATTAGGTTTATGCTTGATTGATCAATATGCGAATTGAAATGGATAAAGTCATACAGTGGTACATTATGTTAACATTTGGCTAATAATATTAATTGGCAAAGAAAAGTTTTTGGCGTTAAACTTTAGGGTCATTTTCCCTATTGTTTTTACGGAAGGCTTCTAATGCTTAAAACTCAAGGGAAATGTGATAAAACAATACTAACTCTTTCTTGAATACAAGTACCCTAGCAATAGTTCTTAGAAATAAATAAAGGCACCCGCATTCTTTTACAAGAGGGTTTCTTATGGAGCATCGTTTTCTTTTGCTTACTGTTAGATATTGTTTAGATATTGTTTGATATTATTAAGATATTGTTACATATTGTTAACCACAATATCAAACAATATCTTCTGTTTATTCTATTTATTTTCAGTTACTCTTTTAGTTGTACCTCTCTCTATTATAAATATATTACCCTATGTGTGTTTATACACAAGGGAGATTAATCTCAAACCCTATTTACTCTATATTTAATATTGTATCTAGAGTTTAAGGTTATTTTGAATTTTTTTTTTTCGCCTTTATCCATTGCTGGAGCCGTCATCGTCGTCGCTGCCGGTTAAACTAATCTTCTACATTAGAAAAAAGTTATCTTTGTTACTGAATATTATTTGGTAGTATGAAAGTGTATGTCTAGGAAGGTTTTGATAAGGAAAGACTTGGTATTTAAGTGGGTAACCCACCTCTCTTTCCTGGAAACTTACCTGGTCTACTGGTTCACGCCGTTGTCACCGTCGCCGTTGCCAGAGTCATTTTTAATCGGCGACATACAGTTTTGCTCGTCTTTATCAGGCGACCACCATGTCATTGAGATCACCACTATTGGAGTTGATTGTCTGTTGTCTTCTGCGCCGTTTAATCACAACGAACTTGTTTTGGTCTTCTCGTTTTGGATCTGAACTTCGTGGGTTGATTGGATTACTTTGGATTTTTTAGGGTTTGTTCTCCTGTCCTTCATGACTTCTTCCACTCCTTCTGTTAATGATTCTTCTGTGTTAGCATCTCACCGTGATGACCAAACTCGCCCTCGCAAACAGGAAAAATGACGTCCTAAGTGTGAACATTGTGGCAAGCTAGGTCACAAGATTAACAAGTGTTATGCATTACATGATCATCCTCCTCAATTTGCTGCAGTTGTTTAGACCAATCTTTACCCACCTTTGTTTGCTGGGGATCCTCCTTCTTCTGTTGCATCTGACACACCTACTATGTTCAACAAATTTCTCAAATGGTATAAAGATCAATAGTTTTCTAGTTCCACTACGTCTATCGCACACACAGGTACATATTTTGCTAGTGTGACCCAATTCTCTTCTCCTGGTCCTTGGATTTTTGATTCAGGAGCCACTGATCATATTATTGGTAACAAATCTTTGTTCTCCTCTTTATCCTCTCCTAATTTTTTACCTTCTGTTACACTGGCTAATGGCTCTAGAGTATCATCTCATGGGGTTGGAACTGTTAAACTTTTTCCTTCTTTAATCATTGATAATGTTTTTTATGTCCCTGGGTCTCCTTTTAACTTGTTGTCCATTAGTCGTCTAACTCGTTCTCTTGATTGTGTTGTTTCTTTTACCAACAATTTTGTGTTTACAGGACCGGAGTTCGAAACAAGTTATTAACACAAGATATGAGTCTCATGGTCTTTATCATCTCCGTCCCTCTACACACGTTGGTACAGTTATGAAGTCTCCCTCTCTTCTTCATGCTCAGTTAGGTCATCTAAGTCTTGTCAAGTTACAAAAGTTTGTCCCTGCCTTGTCCAACTTGTCTAGTTTGGCATGAGTCGTGTCAATTAGGCAAGCATAGTCGTACTTTCTTTCCTCGTATCACACGTGGTGCTTCGTCCTCTTTTTCCATGGTTCACTCTGACATTTGGGGACCTTGCCGCGTTAAGTCTACTTTAGGTTTTCAATACTTTGATATTGTTACTTTCATTGATGATTATTCCAGATGTACTTGGTTATTTTTGATGAAAAATCATTCTGAATTATTTCTTATCTTTCAAACTTTTTTTAATGAAATTCAAACTCAGTTCAGTGTTTTTATTAGAGTTTTGCGCAGTGATAATGACCGTGAATATCTTTCTAATTCTTTTAAACAATTCATGGTTTCTCATGGTATTTTGCATCAAACTTCTTGTGCTTATATACCTCAACAAAATGGTGTAGCTGAACGTAAAAATAAATATTTTATTGAAACAACTCGCCTCTTTTAATTCATGGAGAGGTTCCTCAAAAATTTTATGGTGATGCTCTTCTTACTGCATGTTATCTCGTTAATCCCATGCCTTCTTTGGTTTTAGATAATAAAATACCTCATTCCATTTTATTCCCTCATGAACCTCTTCATCCCTTACCTCTAAGAGTTTTCGGGTCTACATGTTTTGTTCATCATTTAAGTCTTGGTCTTGACAAACTTTCTCCTAGATCACATAAATGTGTTTTCTTAGGATTTACAAAATCACAAAAAGGATACAAATGTTTTTCTTTCTCTTAATCGTTATTTTGTGTCTGCAGATGTCACATTTGATGAGTTTTCTCTTTATTTTAAAAGTCAATCTTCATCTCTGTCTCCATCCAATCCTGTCAACACTCCTAGTACGTTTAATGTTCTTGTTGTTTGTGACTCTCTAATTGTGTCTTCTTCACCATTAGTTCCTGCTCCGCAGTCAGCTTCTTCTCCACTGTCTCTTCAGGTTTATAGTCGCCGAAACCAATCACAACCACCACCATATGACTCCACTCAAGTGCCAACTATTCTATCTCCTCCGGATCTGACACCTGAGTCTGACCTTCCTATTGTCCTCCGAAAAGGTATTCGTTCTACACGTAATCCCTCTCCCCATTATATTGCTTTGAGTTATTATCGACTGTCATTATTTTTTATACATGTCTTTTCTCTATTTCTTCTGTGACCATTCCAAAAACTGTCTGTGAAGCTTTAGCCCATCTTGGTTGGCGTCAGGCCATGACAGATGAACTAAGTGCTCTTCATAATAGTGGAACTTGGGAATTGGTCTCGTTACCGTCTAGGAAATCTGTTGTTGGTTGCAGGTGGGTGTTTGCTATCAAAGTTAGACCTGATGGTACTATTGATCGCCTCAAAGCTTGTCTCTTAGCCAAAGGTTATACTCAAATTTTTGGGTTAAATTATGGAGATACCTTTTCCCTCGTGGCAAAGATGACTTTTGTTTGTATATTTATTGTCATGACTGCTCGCCAATAATGGTCTCTTTATCAACTGGATGTTAAAAATGTTTTCCTCAATGGTGATTTGCAAGAAGAAATCTATATGGAGCAACCTCTTGGGTTTGTTGCTCAGGGGGAGTCTTCTGAGATGGTATGTCGTCTTCGCAAATCCCTATATGGCCTAAAACAGTCTCCTAAGGCCTGGTTTGGAAAGTTTAGCAAGGTTCATCAACAATTTGGTATGACTCGGTGTAAAACAAATCATTTTGTCTTTTATCGACATTGAGTGTTGGATGTGTTTACTTGATAGTATATGTTGATGACATCGTTCTTACAGGTAATGACAACCATGACATCTCTAAGTTGAAACAACATATCTGTCACCATTTTTAGACCAAAGATCTTTGACAAACTTAGATATTTCTTGGATATTGAGGTGACACAATCCAATGATGGTATTGTTATATCTCAGAGGAAATATGCCATGGATATTTTGGAGGAAACTGGGTTGATGAGTTCAAAGTTTGTTAATACACTCATGAATCCTAATACTAAACTACTACCAAATCAGGGGGAGTCTATATCTGATCCTGAGCAGTATAGAAGATTGGTTGGAAAATTAAATTATCTTACAGTTACTCGTCCTGACATTTTCTTTGCAGTCAGTGTGGTAAGCCAATTTCTTAGTTCCCTATGTGAAGATCATTGGAATGCAGTCATTCTTATCTTGAAGTATATTAAAGGATCTCTTGGAAAAGGATTGTTATATGGTTCTAATAACCATACAAGAGTTGTTTGTTACTCAGATGCTGATTAGGCAGGATCTCCTTCGGATAGAAGATCTACATCTGGATATTGTGTCTTCATTGGTGGTAACTTGATCTCGTGGAAAAGTAAGAAACAGAGTGTTGTGGCAAGATCCAGTGCAAGAGCAGAATATAGAGCTATGACCTCAGCTGCTTGTGAACTTGTTTGGCTCAAACAATTGTTTAGAGAGTTACAATTTGGAGATGTCACTCAAATGAAATTTGTGTGTGACAATCACGCTGCACTTCATATTAGCTCTAATCCTGTCTTTCATGAGAGGAACAAACACATTGAGATTGACTGTCATTTCATTCGAGAAAAGATTATGTCTGGAGACATCAAGATTGAGTTTGTTAACTCAAGTGATCAATTAGCAGATATTTTTACTAAGTCTTTACGGGGCCTAGAATTGATTATATTTATAACAAGCTTGACACATACGATTTGTATGTTCCAGCTTGAGGGAAAGTGTTAGATATTGTTTAGATATTGTTTGATATTGTTAACCATAATATCAAACAATATCTTCTGTTTATTTTGTTTACTTTCAGTTACTCTTTTACTTGTATCTCTCTTTATTATAAATAAATTACTTTATGTGTGATTTATATACAAGGAAGATTAATCTCAAACCCTATTTTCTCTATATTCACCACTTACATTAATTGTGCCACCATGACTTCTATCTAAAAGAATGATCATTTTGTCTGTACTCTATGACATATATACTTAGAATCTAAATCTAATTGACTGTTGATTTGCTTGATTTTGTAGGCTTCCGAACTCCATCTGATGCTGAAGGACTAGTTTCATCTATTAGAAAGTTATGTGGCTTCTTAATTATAGTTCCAGGTTGTAAATATTATTTGTTTTTCACATTCATATGCATAGACACTTTAAAATCTCTCCTTTTGGGATGTCTCCACAATTAAAATTTGTTGTAGAAATATAAATATACTACTAGGTTAGGGATCTAGTTCCTTTTTATCTCTTCTTTGTATGCATGTATTTACTATGATTTTCTTCAACTTTATTGAAGGTACTTTTAATCTACCAGTCACCTATTTCCCAAATTACTTGTTTACATTGATCAGTTCCCGGTCTTGGTAAGCCACCCTACTTGAGAATACTTCTCTTATTATTTTAACCACTCTTTTCCTTTTGTGCGTCTTGTTTGATGAATGAATTGAAAACCCTTGCAGTTTTGAACCAAAAATGAGGACAAAGATTTTTTCGGCTATCATATTATTACTGACAACTTTATCACAAACGAGATTGCCATATCATGCAAATTCACAGGTATAGGTGTAAAGCTTTGAATTTCCATATTTTGTCTTTGCAATTAAAAGGATCTTTTCAATTGCATTAATGTGGAATAAAGAAAACATATTATCTGCTCGTTCATTCCAATATGGATTAAGCAAATTGAAGTTTGAAGAGTATTTAGAGAAGTCTTGTTTCTGTTTTGTTTTGTGTCCTAAGTAAAGGATATAAGTGTCATTTGGTGGTCTGGTCATAGCTCCACTGGAAGTATAGGTTTAGGATTAAAGCTTGCGTAGTATGACTATTCTGAGTCAGTTAGTGAATCTATTTTATCCTCCCCTTTACTTTTCTCTCAACCTTCCCGTGCCTGCTGTCTTGTCAGAAAAGTTCAGTAATGTCCTCGTCTGCTTATGCATTCAACTTCCCTATTTTTTAATTAATCAATACTTAATAACATCTTACCTGTTGAGGCCTTTCTCTTCCTTTTGGCACAACCTGCAGAGGCATAGAGGTGGAGAGGTGACTATAATATTGTGATCATCTATATTCAATCATCGTTGAAATGAAGATCACTATAGTCTGGGGAAGTCATAATCCCTTGTTCCACTATAATGCCGTTTGAGATGTTAGTTCTTATAATTAGTTTCTATAGTTTCACCTGTTTTGTCATAAATGACGGTGTTCCTGACAAGTAATGGTTTATGGGTTATGTATCTTAATCCTCAGAGCAATATATATATATATATATATATATATTTATTTTTTTATTTATTTTTTTATTTATTTTTTTTTCTTTTTAGATTCCAAGCAATGACACGTTATACTGTGGGGATTCATCTTACAACCAAGAACTTGTTTCTTTGTCTAAGCTCGTTCTTGAGAACCTGCTTTGTGCTGTTCAACAAGAGCCGTCCCAGGTATCATCATTTTGTCTAAATTTATTGTTTGATTATTTAACCAATTATAAATACTGATTTATTATGCTAAAATAAAGGCTGCTCGAGGAATTATGGCACTTGAAGCTTGCAACTGCATTGCATCATCTTTTATGGTAATCTGTTCTCTAGTTTTTTTGAACTCTCTTCTCATTATCATTGACGTGGGAAAAAAGTACACAGGGAAGAGGAGGATTCAAATTTCAATTTATAAATTCTTGAAGAACTTTTTAGTTTAGGAATACTCCCAGACAAATGGGTATATAAATAAAAAAGCAGTTAACAAATGGGTATTGATATGATATGGTCGTCTGCGGAGCTGTATCTGAATCATGGGCAGAGTCCACTTCAACCTTCTAATAACGGTTTCTTTCTTGATTAATGGCAGCTAAACAATGAATTATCATCTATTTGCCTTACACTGATCGAAACTGCCAAGTCATGTTTGAGTGCCAAAGACAGATACCTACAGTCAACCATTCAACTTGTAAATAAGCAATCGCCAACTTTTGTGGGGACTACGGTGTCTACTTCTGTATGATTTGTGTTCATCTAGGTTGATAGGTTACTCTGTTATATCTATTGTAATCTTATTTTCTATCGTTCTTTTTCTTCTGAAACGTTTTATCTCCATGTGGGTGAGGACGCACAAGCACACAAGTCGTGCTTTTGCTCTTCCTTCCTCGTTCTTTTCTTTCTTTTGAACGGGATGGCACAACAAGTATATTGTTTCCAAATATGGAGAACGAATTATACCGGGCACCATGTTAAATTTTCTGCGTATACAATTGACCCTATTCTATACTTTTCCTGACCGAATATATTGTCATAGATGGATTATACTCAAATGTATAGTCAATTATATTTAACATTGATTCTCATTGGATGTGTCTTAGATCGAAGCACAGGGTGAATTAAAGCTTAAAAAGAAAATAAATCCTTATAATATAAACAGAAATGGAAAGGTTGGTTAATTTACTAATCAACTAAATTTTCAAATAAAATATATAACAAAATTTCTCAAATAAAGCAGCCTGAGCATTGTTTAATTCTTTCAAAAATCACTTTTATTATAATCGAACAAATGAATCATGTTCACACTAAACATTTAGTTAAACAATAATGAAAAATATTTTATATTGATGATAATGGAAGATTTTATATATACATTATTTGATAAGATTTTTTTTAATAAATCTTAAAATTATATTTAAGAGATTTTTTATTAATTGATAATGTATGGAAGATAATTTTTTTTGTTATTCTACCCCAACATCTCGTATTTATTATAAAATATAATATTAATCTTGTATTTTTTTTTTTTTGAAGTGGATAATGGGGAAAATTTTCAGATTAATAAATCTGAAATATATTATATTTATTTTAAGTTTTAGATTAAACAATCTAAAATATATGAAAACAATATTTATTAAAATTTCAGTTCGATGAATCCAAAAACATTTAGATTATAGAATCTGATTTTTTTTATTTTAACAATTATAAATTTTTTAAAAACTTCCAAATTGTTGAATCGAAATTTTTGTAGATATCTAAATCCATAATGTCGAAAATTTTGTCTGCACTCTCGGATTACACAGCCGAGGGATTTTTCATGTCTTCAATTTCCATTTTGTAATTGAATTTGAATAATAATAATAATAATAAATAATGATGATAAATAATGAAAAATATTATAATAAATAAAAATATTATTACCATTATTTTATTTTTATTATTTTTAATAATAATAATAATAATAAAACAAAAAATAATAAAAACAAAAGATAAAATAATAATAATAATAATAATAATAATAATATTATTATCTGCTATAATATTTATTATTATTATTATTCTTACTAATTTATTATTAATATCATTAAAATTCAATTGAAATTTGCAATTGGTAATTGAATTTCAATTGCAAGCCATGCTTTGCAATCCAGAACTGCAGCGAATTTTTTATGATTCCGGATTCATCTATTAAACTATTTGAAAGTTTTTAAAAAACTTTCCAATTGTTAAATTTGAAAGTTTTCTAGATTCATCCATATGAAAAATTTTCAGATTTGTCAATCTAAAATTTTAATAAATATCATCCAATTATTTAATTTAAACTTTTAAAAAAGATTATATATTTTGAATTTATTAATTTATATTTTTTTGGATTTATTAATTTAATACATTCTAAAATATAGAAATATGTAAAAGTAATATTATCTTTTATAATAAATATAAAGATTTAAGATAAAATTATTTATATATTTTGGATTATTTAATTTAAACTTTAAAAAAATATTATACATTTTGAATTTATTAATTTAGAAAATTTTCGGATTTATTAATTTAATATATTCGAAAATAATCGAAATATGTAAAAGTAATATTATCTTTTATAATAAAGATAAAATTATTTATATATTTTGGATTATTTAATTTAAACTTTTAAAAAAGATTATATATTTTGAATTTATTAATTTAATAAATTCTAAATTATCGAAATATGTAAAATTAATATTATCTTTCACAATCAGTATGAAAATTTAAGATAAAATTATTTATATATTTTGGATTATTTAATTTAAAAGTTTAAAAAATATTATATATTTTGAATTTATTAATTTTGAATTTTTTCGGATTTATTAATTTATATATTTTAAAATATCGAAATATGTAAAATTAATATTATCTTTTATAATAAATATACAAATTTAAGATAAAATTATTTATATATTTTCGATGATTTAATTTAAACTTAAAAAAAACTATATATTTTGAATTTATTAATTTATAAATTTTTCAGATTTATTAATTTAATATATTCTAAGATATCGAAATATGTAAAAGTAATATTATCTTTTATAATAAATATAAAAATTTAAGATAAAATTATATATAGTTTGGATTATTTAATTTGAAATTTTAAAAAATATTATATATTTTAAATTTATTAATTAGATTTTTTTCAGATTTATTAATTTAATATATTCTAAAATATCGAAATATGTAAAAGTAATATTATCTTTTATAATAAATATAAAAAATTAAGATAAAATTAAATTATTTTTTTTAGATTCTAACGTTTAAAAAAAGTTGGAGATAAATCCATTTACTAACGGGCTAAAGGCCCAGAGCTCATTATAGGTAGGGCACATTCCGAACGACCAATCCTAAAATCATATTCCAGGATTCGTTGATTCATAATTCGCATATCCATAGCGTCAAACAAAAACACGTACTCGTCAATTTTAAATTTCAGGGAGAAAGAGAGTTCTGCGATCGATCGGCCGACGAAGTTGTGTTTTGATAATCAAGGAGCAGAAACGATGGATCTGGAGGTGGTTGGGCGTCACGCGATGCTGTTTGACGACGATGGCATGGCGGCGTTCGTCAACTCAGCGGAAGCTCTGGTGGAATGGAACTCCCTCTCCATCGATCGCTACGATGTTCGCCACCTTCTCTCCGCTCCCCTTCCTCCGCGCCTCAAGCGCCGCCCTCCTCAGGCTGAACCCGACCTCGATCACCAACGCTATCTCGATCTTCCTTCCTCTTCTTCCGATGAAGAACCACAAGGTAACCTAATATACAATTCTTCTTTCTTTTTACTTTCTAGTTCCATCCATTTGATATGATCCAAATATGATGTCGACTTTATTGGAATTGGTTGATGGAATTGTGTTTGTTGTTAATTTTTTTTTTTCACGACGAGAGGCTCTCGGAAGTTTGATTGGTGGTTCTGTTTAAATGAGGTTTTCATGGATCTTATTTTGTGTTCTTTCCTGGAGAGAAATTGCGAAGTTTTGTTTGCTTTTAAGGTTCATCCTAATTCGATAGAAAAAGTCAATCAAACGCAAGTTGAGTCCTTGGAAAATTTTAGCGTGAAATTTTGGTTTTCCGTAGAGTTCACTGTTTAAGATAAAGCTTTATTGCTTTTTTGTGGGTTTTAGCTAGAATGTTTCCTTGTAAGCATAGCTTTGTAATATTGACTGCAGTAGCGAGGATTTTTTAAATTGTGTTCTGACATATTGGGTTGTAGGCTATGAATTACCATCCTTCACATGAATATCAATATTTCTGTATAGTTAAACCTGATACGTGTTACTGAAGTATCCAGCATATGAAGCATCAATATTACAATTTTTTTCATAGATACATATACTCTTGGGTACTTCACCGATGTGTATAACCTCTAAAACATTTTATGAAATTCAGTTCAATACAACTATATAAAACATATAAGTGTGTATAATTATATAGAAACACATAAACAATGTTATGAAAACAGAAAACTTCTATATAAAAGGAATGAGATCTATGCAACACCAACTTTGACTTGAATCGACACTGACTTCAACACCAACACCATTTTTATATATAATGTATATAATCAACATGACAAAATTCTCAATTTTTATATAGTTCACACTGACTTTACAGTTTTAATATAATAACAACCTTCACTGTAGAATATTAGGATCATATCTCTTACAAATTAAAAGTAGTTAAAAACAAAAAAAATGTTATGAGCCTTGCAATGGTTATAAGATAAGTTAACTGTTTTTTTTTTCTATTTACTTTTTATTTAAGTAGTGTATTTACTATGTCTTGAATTTTATACTAATCCAAGGATTGATCTTCTTAAACGTATTCTATCTTATATATTTTTAGAATAATTGTATTGCTGCATTGTTTAGAATTTGAATATGTCTATGAGTTCTATGCATTATAGGATGTGGATATAAAGCTAAGGATTTTAACAATGGTTCGCAAGTAATTTTCTAAAATTTTTCTTCAAAAACAATCATCAAACAAATAAGGTATCAAATTTGTTATCATCTTCTAGACATATTGATATATTGTTTAGACATGACATGACATTTAGTTGAGGCAACTAGGTGATGGTGCATTGTTGGCTACAACTCACTTTTTCGAGTGGATGTTGGAAACTTGGAACAAGCTTTTATTTCCAACTTCCACCTCAGACTATGTTGAGTGTTTTATTTTTTTTTGTGCAACAACAATGTCACATTTGCAGGGTGGAATGTAATTTGCTACGGTTCCTGTGTCAGAATTCAAGTAAGGATGTTTTCACCTGGCTTCAATTTACGTTTGTCTTCTTCTGTGTTGCAATTACTGTTTTAGCTGGATGACATTGTTGCCTTTGAGGATTAATATTGAATTCTGATGTTGGATGTCACCTTTCTGTGTTTGTTTAGATAATGGTTCAGAGCCGGTGACTTCAGCTGGCTTTCATGCCGTTGCCTTTTCATATGGAAATTCCAATGTGTCCATGGAGACAAAGGACAATGATACCAAGTCTAGTTTTCGTCCTAAATTCCCAGTACCAGAAAGTCTACTCCATAATCTGGTGAGTAACCTTTGTCTTAATATATATTTTTTAATTGGGTGATTTTCAAATGTTACTAACTTAATTGACCTTTCATTGTTTAACCAATGTGATTAGGTGATAATTGTCTAGGGTACATATGTTATTCTAAGGCTTATGATGTCTAAGTTTCAGATGCTCGGAGCATGAATGGAGTTCTTGTGACTCAAGGTAGCCATTCACAGGCACCTTGTTTCCTTTTGATGTCATGAGAAGGGGCCGTGCAGGTGGGATTAGGATGATAAAAATTCCTTGATTCTTTATCTCTTGAGAGCAAATGGGATGATACATATCTTCATAAAGTTCTGTTTCTTGATCTTTATCATTATCCAAGTATATGTGAGGTTGTCATGTGTTTGTTTAGTAAGATACAAGTATCTAAATATTCTGCTTGCCAAGGTCCGTTCTAAGTTTATACTTATGCTAATTTTGAAACTTACATTTATTGATGAAGAAACATTTGTTGTTTGTTTTTGTTTTTCAGCCTCCAAATGAGAAAGTACATCAGATTATTTCAAGGACTGCAATGTTTGTCAGCAAACATGGAAGTCAATCAGAAATCATTCTTAGGGTGAAACAAGGAGATAATCCAACATTTGGATTCCTGATGCCTGATCATCATCTTCATGCATATTTTAGATTTCTTATTGATCACCAAGAGCTTCTGAAAGCTGACAAAGAAGATGACAGCTCAATTGAGGACATCAATAAGACTCAGGGGATTGATCAAACAGGTGGTGCTTTATCTTTGCTTGGATCTGTCTATGGATCTGGAGAGGATGAGGATGGTACATCTGAGAATAATTGTGACTTTGAGAAAAAAGAATGTGAGGGTGCTGTTGATGCTGTTAGTACTTATACTTCTCCTGGAGTAGAACAGGCAGAATCTTGTTCGGATGTGGCCAAGAAGGATGGAAGCATTTCTAAAAATACAATACCTTCTTTGAAAGAAAAAGTTCCCGTAATAAAGCGGAATCATTCTATCAGTACTGTTAAGACTGCAACCACAGGGAGAGCAAAAACAGGTGATGGCATGGATTCAATGTCTAATACGCAGAACAAGTCGCAGACTTCTGTCCCTAGTACTGCTGCTAAGATTGAACTGCCTGTTGTTGAACCTCCATCTGAATTAAAGAGAGCTATAGAGAAGATAGTCGAGTTCATCCTAAAAAATGGAAAACAATTTGAGGCTGTTCTTGCAGAACAGGATCGCCCTCATGGAAGGTTCCCATTTCTTCTGCCATCCAATCGATATCATACTTACTATCTAAAAGTTCTTCAAACTGTTGAACAGGTTGGTTTTCTCAGAATCATAAAAAATAACTTATTTTTAATGTGTGTTCAAATTGTGCCCTGAGAAGTGAGAAAACAGTTGCACCTGCACTTTACTCCCCTGTAGGCAAAAACATATCTTAATGGTCAGATATCATCGTCTTCTAACTTATATTCAGTGCCTTCAATTTCTAGTAATTATTTTATTTGGGTTCTGGAGGCATTTTGCGCACCTAGTGTGTTAATACTTAATACTGACCTTTCTAATTATGTTCGCAGTCCAAGTTAAAAGGCAAGGGCCACAAGAAGCACAATCGAGCAGGCCGTGCAGGGGACAATAATTCTGCTGTACATGATGAAGGTGACAATCTTTCACATGAATCTATGGCTTCTGATCTACCAAATGATATGGACAGAAAAGAAAAGTTCAAGATGACTATTGGCAAGTCAAAGAAGGATGGTCAAGATCCAATTCCCAAAGACCATGCTCAGAATACAGTTAGCATGGATGCAGCAGCGACAGCAGCTATTCTTCAGGCTGCCACTAGGGGTGTTAAAAACCCTAATATGGAATTTTTTGGCAAGCCATCAAGTGCTAGTGGTCAGGGCTTTGGAAGTGAGGGTGGGTGTATATCGAGCTCTGGGACTGGGAGCTTGTATTCATCTCAACCACAAGGTTTTGTTGAAAATCCAAACCTGACTGCAAAGGCTAAGGCTTCTGCCCCTGTTGCCAAGGCTATTGCGGAAAAAATAGCTATTGCAGCAGCAGGTGAGGCGGACTCCTCTGAAGCGCACATGACTAAAGAGCAAAAGATTAAAGCAGAGAGATTGAAACGAGCGAAGATGTTTGCAGCCATGCTAAAAAGTGGTGTTGGAGGTGAACTGCCACGAGCTTTATCAGTGGAGCCACTTGGCTCTGGTCTTTCAGGTTCAGACGCTGAGACTGGGAATCTTGTGGGTAAAGAAAGGGAAGGAAGTTCTGTTCCATTTGATGTTGAAAAATCAGATAATAGTCAAAATTCGGAGGATAAGCTCTCTGTTGGTAATTCAGATAGAGGTCAGAATTCTGAGGAGAAGCTTACCGCTGATAATAATGAACGCCGTTCAAACAGAAAGTACCGTTCAAGATCTAATAGACATGAAGAGGAGGAAGAAGTGGAGAAGGAGGAAGAAGAAGACCAAGAAGATAAAAGACATCATAAAAGATCCGGAAAAAGACATCGATCTTCACACAACAGTCGGGACAGGCATAAGAACAAGAGAAGACATTTGTCATCCAAAGACACGCATTCTTACAGAGGGGGCAAGCATGACAGTACCTCTGACGATGAACATCAACGTTCAAGGCGTCGTCATAGATATGATAGTTCCTCTGATGATGAACACCGACACTCTTCCAAACAACGACACAGAGAAGAGCGGTTGTCAGACCACAAACGAAGACATTCTCGCCGTTCTAATAAACATTATAGTTCGTCTGATGATGAGCATAGGCACCGAAGCAGAAGGGTAAAGCATGATAGCAGATCCCATGCTGAAAGAGAAACAGAGGTGGAGGAGGGGGAGATAATTATGAAATCGGAAAAGTCAGCAGTCAGTGGTAGCAGGGAGGCATCAGCGGGATTATCTAATGCAAGGGCTCCATCTCAATCACCTGAAGTAACTGATGTTTCTGATGAGCTCAGAGCCAAAATTCGAGCCATGTTGATGGCTAACTTGTAAAACAATTGTATTTACTTATACTCTTCTTCCTAACAGCGTAGCCCATTCTTCCTCAACTTTTCTTACGCTAAAATTAAAAATAAACACTTAAGTGCTTAAACAAGTATTTTAAGTTAAATATGTTTATTTCTATTTTATTTTAAATAAAAAGTTACATTATAGAATATAATAATTAAATTCAGAACTAAAAATATTTATGTAAGTATTGCGTAAAGATTTTGAAAATAGTACTTATAAAAGTTCTTTTATTGTTATTATAAGTATGCTAATGTTATCAGCTTTGAATTCAAATTATCGTATCTAATTTTAAGCTAAATCAAATTAAACATATGAATTTTCTTCTTTACACTAATTTGGTTTATTAAAATATAATAAAATCGTGTCAAAAGATTTTAATAAAATAATTATATATGAAAGTACTTATCTCGTACATTTATAGATAAAATGCTAAATCATCATTTTACTTTTAAATAGATAAAGGCAAATATCTCTATTTATTTATAAATGCCAGCGAAACACATTCGCTAATATTTATTTACATTATATATATATATATATATATATATATATATATATATATATATATATATATATCACTTTAAAAAATAAACAAAATATAAATTTATATTATTCTTAATTTCATATATAATCCTGCAAAGTTTTATCACTTGAAAAATTTCTTCATGGATAAACAGAAGACTATCGCAGCCAAAAACATATATCAAACATACAGGAGAAATTAATAATTCAATTAAAGTATGCAATATTCAAATGTGAAATAAAATAACATAATTCATCTTCAAGTTTTCAAGTTGACATATATCATATTGCACGCTCATTCGAACTTATATTTTTCATGTTCACAATAAATATTAAGTACTACGATTTCACGTTCACATCTGAATAAATATCAAGTACTACGATTATACAACAGATCAACTGTCTAACATCTTAGCCTGAAAGTTATATCTCGTGTCATCATATATTAACTTTCACAATTATAGACACTTGACTCTACTTCCGAAAGACTCTCATACATTGAATTAGATTCAGGATTTGCACCTATCACACTATCTTCCCTAAGTTGATATCTCTAACATAGGTACATAATTGAAATATGTCCCCTTGTGTGACAAGATAAATCTCTGTGACTTATCAAATATAGTTCTTTTTCACACCACAAACTAAGTCATAAAGACGTTCTTCGACTCTCACCACCTGATATTTTTTCTACATGAGTCAAATATCAGTAGAGTTATGATATCTCCTTTAGAATCTCAAATTCAATGCATTACTTATATCTCAACATAATATCTCCTTGAAAACTACTATGTTAACTTTATCAATTCATAGAGATAACATAACCAGATAATTTTGTTATACATATATTAACACCCAACACATTTTATTTCATGTTCAATACATGTATTTTAATAACTTAATACATATACATATCATTTATCACATTATAACAAAACATAATTTCTTTCTAATTTGACCTTTACCTATTATTTTTATTATAACTTTCTCTATAGACATCCTTATTAACTAATTTTTATTTTATTAGATTCCTTATTTCTGGGGCTTCAATTTTTACATATAAAAAATTAAATTTGGAGTTCAAAACTATTTTTTATCATTTTTTCGAAAACTACTAAGTAAATCTGAAAGCGCTAAACGAAATTTTGACAAAATGGAACCTTCAACACTATCCAAAATTCGTTGGGCGATTTTGAAAGCACTCGAGGGGATTGCAAGCACTTTAAACACTCGTTTTTAATTTGTTGAACGATTTTGAAAGCATTGTATGGATTGTAAACGCTCTTAACACCGTCTTAAATTCGCTAAGCAAATTTAAATTTGCTAGACAGATTCGTGATAGTAAATACTACATAATCTAGTCGATACCCTATTTCTAATGTTTAAAATCAAATTAATTCTAAATCTTACCTTCATTATTGTAGATTAATTCACTAATTTCAATATAAGAGCAATACATTCATACAAAAGATTATTTTTTTCAAACTCATATAAATCAATTATACATTCACATTTAATACAATCGTCGTCATTACATAATTACACAATCCATCTTCTTAAAACTTAAACAATATGACCAAGTCATCTTCATAATTTAAATTTTCTAACCTAGAGTACTATGAAAACTGAATATTACTAACTTCCCTTACCTTCCAATTTGAGTACTCTCAAGCTTGAAAGCTTCACATTCTCAATTTCTTAGGGAGTCACATCCTACTTATAAAAAATCTCAATTAACAAATCGAACATACTATAATGTTTCTAAATTAGTTAAGATTCATATTTACCCCCACCAAGATCACATGCAAGACTCAAATGCACACGTGCAAATCTTAATCTCAAATTTGTAAAAATATTCTAAAATTTGAGAAAAAAAAACTTACTCTAGTTAAGATTCTGATTGAATGAAAATATTCATCTCGTCGCTAGAAGTATAATGATGTACTTGGATTTAGAAAAATATAAGAATTGAGTAAAAAAGTTTTAGAGAGAAGACAAAGATTTAGAATATAGAATGATGGTGGTTATTTAGAAATAAAGTTTGAAAAGTAAAAATTTTCTATTTTAACTATTTTTATTTTAAAGGTTAAATTTCAAATTTTTATTTTATTTAACCATTGTTTTTTTTTTAACTATTAAAATCTCAATCCTTACATAAAATAACTTTAAAAAAAACTAAATATATTAAAATTATATTAAAAAGTTGTCAGCAACACAATTTTTTTTTTATTTTCATTTTTTATATTTTGTGATAGATTTTCAAATCATTGAAATTAAATAAAAAATCTTCTTATAAAAATTGATTTTCATTTAATTTTAAATAATAAAATAACTATTTTTAGATTATGAAATATAATCCTTAAAATATTTTAAATATAGTGATGAATGGCTATTTAAGTAAATAAATATTTTTTATTAAATACTAATTGAAAGATAGATGCTGCGTATTCATATTTTATATAATTAATTTTTAATTTAATTTATTTTTTTATTTTTAAATGTAATATTTTTTCATAAATTATTATCTCATATATTTATTATTATTTTAAATATATAAATTACAATAATTTTTTAATTATAATATTTTTATTTTTCTCCCGATGATAAAAATTAATTAAAAGTAGGCAGTTATTTAGATAGTTATTAATTTAGATTTTTATTAAACAAATAATTATTTGTATTTGATGAAAATAAAATAGTCATATAAATTTAATGCATAATTTAATAACGAATACAAATTAATACTATATTGATTCTTAAAAACATATAATTTAATATTAAAATAATCCAAAAATTACTTATTCGGATTCTTATTATAAATTATATAATAAATTAAGAAAAATAATCATTTTTCTAATAATATTATGTTTTCATTGATTTTTTTATTTATTTATTATCATTAAATAGTTTAACACAGTAATATTTTTAATAAAAATATATATAGAAAAATCAAAGTCAAGTTTATTGAAATTTTCAAATTGTTTTTTCGAAATTATGTTTTATTATAACAATTAGAAGCAATATAAATGGTAAGACAATCTCTAAATTTTACGATAAAAATGTTATTATTATGGATTTTTCATTTATTTCAAAGCTAAACTCCATTTTTCGAGGAAGAATTATTAAACAATGACTCCTCAGTGATGTATTTATTTTAGCGGTGGCCATTAAGCTAGCCAAACGACATAGTATAGACACTCTACGTATGTCGTAAACCCTTGGCAGCGCACACACTATTCGCAGCTTCACAAAATCGCCGCACACAACAGAATCCTCATCTTTACATCGAAGTTTTGCAATCTCCAATAGTTCTCTATATCTCTTCACCAAAGCAATGGTTGAAGCCTTGGAAACCGAAGAAAGGCCCAAATTCAGGGATATTAGGCGCTATTTCTGTGAGTACTGCGGTATCTGCAGATCCAAAAAAACCCTAATCACCTCTCACGTCAATTCGCATCACAAGGTACCTTTTTTCTCTATTTTTATTTCCACTTTTGCGAAATTAAACCCTTTCCAATCAACCTTATTTAAATTGTTGCAATTAGGTTGTCGTGTACGTTCATATATGACTTTCTTGTTGAATTTGGAGTGTTCTTAGGATGAGCTTGAAAAAACAAGAGCAGAAAGAGATCCTGAAGCAGCAGAGCCTTCGAAATCCAATACGTGCGAGGAATGTGGTGCCACTTTCAAGAAACACGCATATTTGTTGCAGCATATGCAAAGTCATTCACTTGAGGTATTAACATTTACATTCTTAAATACAAGATACGTTTTAGATGTAAAATTCTGAAAACACTTAAGAAACAGTTGTTTATGTTATGTTTTATACACTGTTGTGTTATTTGGAAAATTTGTTTTCTCGGAGACATAGCTTTGTGTTCTGACATGATTGTTTTATGATGCATATAGACTGAAAATACATATTTTGCAGGAAAGTAATCTATAAGATTCTAAAATTTTGGAAAATTATGGATTAATAGTGTGAAGCATTGGATCCCAGAGAAAGAACTCCAAAATGCACGAGGCAGCCAGTTTGGACTTGATGGATCAGTATCAGGTAGGGAGACCTCCTGTGAAGCTCCATCAAGGATGCCTCGGTCACGCTCTTTTGAATTTGAGGTTGGCAGTTCGTTCATTAATGTCTTGTTCTTGTCAGGTAGATGATATTTGTGTTATTGTTCTTTTTTTTTTGTCGTTAACATATTTTATGATGGCTCCAGAGGCCGTTTGTGTGTGCAGTTGATGGTTGTCAGGCGAGTTATAGAAGGAAGGACCACCTGACTAGGCACCTTCTACTACATGAAGGGAAGACTTTCAAGTGCCCTGTTGTTAATTGCAACATTGAATTCTCTTTGCAAAGCAATATGAAAAGGCATGTTGAAGAGATTCACGATGACAGTTCTACTGCAGCTACTGACAAAAGTCACAAACAACATCTGTGTCCAGAGATTGGATGTGGAAAAGTTTTCAGATTTGCATCACAGCTAAAAAAGCATGAAGATTCTCATGGTAGGGTTTTTTTTCCTGTATGAATTAGTGAAACATCCGTGTGATTTTTGTAAGGTGCTTGTTTATTTATAATTGTCGAATAATATTGGTTACAATTTTGAAGTAAGCCTTTATTATGCAGTTAAGCTTGAGTCAGTAGATGTGGTGTGTTTAGAGCCTGGCTGCATGAAACATTTTACTAATGTCCAGTGTCTTAAAGCCCATGTGATGTCCTCCCATCAATATATGACCTGTGACATTTGTGGATCTAAGCAGCTGAAGAAGAATATTAAGCGTCACCTTCGTTCACATGAAGCTAAGAGCCGTTCATCAGAGACTTTTCGATGCGAGTTTAAGGGTTGTAGCTGCTCATTCTTTAGTGTAAGACTTGTTAAAGCTGCTGGGTGTATATACTATCATTGAATTCTCAAATTGGTTATTAGTGATCTTTATTTTAATCTGTTTTTGGTTGTATCAACAGAAATCTAATCTTGATAAGCATAAGAAGGTTGTGCACTTTAAAGAAAAGCCTTTTCTGTGTGGGTTTCCTGATTGTGGCATGAGATTTGCTTACAAACATGTGCGGGATAATCACGAAAAAACTGCCAAACATGTTTTTATACTTGTAAGTTCTTTTTTTAATGTTGTGCCAAAAATTATCTGATAAGTGGTGTGTGAAAATTTTGCCTTTTAATTGACACACTCATCTGCTTGATGCAGGGAGATTTTGAAGAAGCTGATGAAGAGTTAAGGTCAAGGCCAAGGGGAGGGAGGAAGAGAAAATGTCCCACTGTTGAAATGTTAATCAGGAAGAGGGTTACCCCACCAAGTGAATTGGAGGATTGGTTATTTATGCAGGATCGTGAGTAGAATGCATTGAGCATTGTGTTCGTAATACAAGTAGGCAAAATGTAAAAGTATTATGTTGCCATGAATATATATTATGTATATATAGGATTAGTATTAGTCTTAACAGATGTACAAGATATAGGACAACATCACATGCATCCTTAACGGCATTTGCATCTTTGCCATGTTTGAATTGCTTGAAAGATAAGAAAAGGAATGTCTTCTGTGTTAACATTAAAATAATTGAAATTTTCTTTCTATCATATCACCAATCCAACCTTGGTCCGATTAGCAAGTGACAATTAATGTTTTGATGAGTTTCTGTGGAAACCCCGTCTAACCCTTTCAATTTGTGGAACTTAGTAGCCATTCTGGCTATTCTTTTTAATTTATTTAATTAAATTGAATTGGATGATTTCATAAATTTTAAATTTGATTATTTTAACTCACTATAAAACAACTATATAATAAAATATTATATATTTAATAAATTTATATTTTATAATATAAATAACATTATATTTTATTATCTTTTTAAATAATGTATTTTAAAAGAAAAATTGCATAAATTTAATATGTATCAATTTATTGTCCAGTTTATTATCTATATATAATTTTTTTGTTTTTCTTTTTTTATCCACATATCTTATTTAAAGTTATGATATTAAATAATTTTATCTACAATAATTAATTTAAAATTATTTTATCATAATAAAATTATTATTTATCTAATTAAAAAATATCAAATATTTATGAGTTAAATATATTTTTATTTAGTAATTTACTTAAATTGAGTTATGATTACTAAAAAATAAATATTTAATTTTTTTCTTAATAATTATAATATAACACTAATATTTGTAATATTTCAAATTTAATATAAATATTTATTTAAATATAGTAAATTAAATTATAATATTTTTACAATTTAAATATGTTTATTTTTCATAAATAAATAAAAAAACACTAGAACAAAAATTTTATGTATCAGTAAATAGATAAATTTTGTATATTAACAAAAAATAGATAAATAAATTTATAAAAATTTTATTTAAATAATTTTAAAAAAATACATTATTGATGTAATTAATCTAATATTTAAATTAAATCATGTATTATAAAAGATAATATTTTATTATTCTTTACGAACTTATAGTCTATTTATATTAAAGAAAATAAAAATCATGTATATGACATCTACAACAAGGCGGTTGAAGTCTCATCAACTCAGATTACGTGAATGTTCTACCATATAACACTGTTACTGTTGTTACGTGTGCTTGCAATGAATTAGTTAAATATAGGTTGAATTGAATAGAATTTCAGATTTGATTTTAAAAATCGATCATATCCACTTCAAATCATTAAATTGTGAATTAGACATTTTAAAGTCTAAACTATTTTGTATTATATATAAAAAACAAAACGATTCACTTCAAATCACTTTAGGATTGCATTTTATTTTCCCTCAAGAACCATTCTATACAAAAATATGATTGCTTATGAAATATTTTTATATGATTTAAATTCATAACACACAACTACATTGTACCACACTTCAATTGTCAAAACATTTTAAAAATAAAATAGTTTCTTGAAATCATTGTTTTTATATATATATATTTAAACATAGAAAAATGCAAATCTTGAAATAGTAAATTGCATGGTGTGAGACATTAGTAAATAGCAAATAGTCTAAGTCAGAGTCCCTCTCATGTTCTGGTTCCTGTCGTTTCTCCTTGAGGCTCTTTAGCAAGGTGACACGTGCACCATCTTACCTCACTTCTCAAATCTTTTCTTGATATTCTCACACAATAGTCTCAGTCAAAACAAAAACCCCATTTTTTGTTGCCGACTCCCTTGCATCTCTCCATCACTTCTCTCTCCATTTCCTCTCCTTTAGAAAACTTGTGGGCACACTGCACGACTCTTCTTTGATACTCATCCAACAACTTTCTTCCTAACCAAGCACACACTTATGTAAGACTTCTTCAACAGGCACTATATAACTTCCATTATATATTTATTCCACATGGAACCCACCTGGAATGATGCCATTGCCAAGCCTAATTCCTCATACCCTGTCATGTCCTTTAGGGGGACACCACTTCTCATGGATGCTCTTGATTTCTTCCCTGAGAAGAGTAAGGAGACTGAAGATGATGATGATATTGATCATCATCAAAGTGTCAAGTTTCATGTAGATGTATGTGCTTTTTATATCTATGCAAACTCATATTTTTCTGGAAAATCTTACCTTAGTTATTGTGTATGGGAAAATCTTTTATTTTTGTTTTATGTTGTTCATTTATAGACCAGTTTGGATCTCCTTACAAAAAATACTGGTGGCAACAGATCAATGGAAGAAAATGATGCATTGGAAACTATGGATGAAAAGAGTAAGGTACGTTGAATATTTGTGTGTGGTTGGGTTTACATGTTGTATATATTTTATTTCATCCAACAAAATCGGTAAATGGTTTAATATGATTAATTACTTTATGCCATAGTTTGTAGCTTTGGTAGCTGAATTGCACCAAATGAATGCTGAAAATCAAAGATTAAGAGATTTGGTTGATCAGATGAACAATAACTGCGATGCCCTACGCATGCAACTTATCAATCTAACTCAGAAGCAGCATAACCATGCGGTAATTTATTTTCCAATTTGTTCGATATCAAAGATGAAAATGAATAAGTAGTATTAACAGATGCACGTGTTTCAGAAAAAAATGGTAACAGAACTGATTGAATATCATATATTCAATGAGAAGATATATTGTTTTTGCCTGGTTTTGTGTAGAACAATGCAGAGAAAGAAGACATGGTTCCAAGGTCATTTTTAGACATGGCTGTCGCTGAAAAGGAAGAGGCTTCCCAGCAATCCTCGGAGGAAAAACTCAGAGAAGGCAAAAGCATGGTTGATTTGATGCATCAGCGTAAGAGTAATGGCAAAGACATTGAAGATAAGTTGGATCGTGGAAGGGAAAGTTCAAAAGCTAGAATGGAAAGTGACCAAGAAATTTCCAACAAAGATCCTAGAATGGATCAAACTTCAGAAACTTTGTCAATGATTAAGAAAGCTCGTGTGTCAGTTCGAGCAAGATCCGACTCTACAATGGTTAGTAAAATACTAAGCAAAATCAAATTGGCAAATGAAACTCTTTGATGTTCAATATGCATTAAACTCAGAATTAAGTAGCTAATTGGGGACATCTAATGAAGAGGAAAGCAATTTATGTTAATTAATTAATCTGTTGTTTGATGAAAGGACATGGATGATAGGCAATTTACGAGTTTAATGTTCTGTTGGATGAATAGCTTATTGTAACAGATTGCAGATGGATGCCAATGGCGAAAGTATGGGCAGAAGATGGCAAAAGGGAATCCTTGTCCAAGGGCCTATTATCGTTGCACAATGAGTACTGGTTGTCCAGTGCGCAAGCAGGTATGCATGCATGCACTCCACCATTATTTACTTACAATTGTTCAGACAAAACCCAGAAGGAAAATTCTCTTTTGGTGCTGAGGATTCTTGTGGGGAAGAGAAACGATAGCTAAAACCTTAATTACTTGAGAAATTCTTAAATGACGAAACACATATATCTTAGCTTGAGCGAATACATTTGAACGTCTACATTCGATTTAGGATAAATTATACTTTTATTTTATATATATATATATATATATATATATATATATATATATATATATATTAGTTCTTTATCTTTAAAATTTTATTAATTTGATAATTTTAAGACTTCGGTAGTTTTTTGTTTTAGAACATGATTCTGAATTATTTTTTATTGATTCAAGACGTACAAAAATGTGTCCTATATTCAAATTCAGTTACAGAAAAATAATGAAATCCAGATGAAGTTTAAATAAAAAAATAAAAGGTGAAAGTACCATGAAAAAAAAACTCTCCTGAACGACTGAAAATTAATTAATTATATATATATATATATATATATATATATATATATATATATATATATATATATTACAATTTTCAACGTTTTTATGGTCATTTGTTATTTTTTTTTCTACAATTTTCATCTAAGTGAATTGAATAATATAAACTTCACAGTCAAAAAAGAACTCAAAATATGTCTTGAAAACTCTAAAGTAATGTATATGCTTATTAGTGTAATACACCCAAGAATTTCTATTTTTAGCATATGTTAACATACACGAATTAGGAAGGAACATAATTTTATATTAAGATGAGGACATAACAGAGAAACAAAGTTGTAGCAACAAGAGATATTTGATGTTTGTTGGTAGGTACAAAGGTGTGCTGAAGATAGAAGTGTGCTGATAACAACATATGAAGGGCAGCATAACCATCCACTCCCTCCCACAGCCCAGGCAATGGCCTCCACCACATCTGCAGCAGCCTCAATGCTTCTTTCTGGATCAATGCCAAGCTCAGATGGCCTAATCAATCCAACCATACTGGAAACTGCTTCACTTCCATGCTCTCAAAACATGGCAACTCTCTCTGCCTCAGCCCCATTTCCCACCATCACACTGGATCTCACTCAAAATGCATCCAACTCCTCAAAGCTTCAAAGGGAACCACACAACCAAATGGGCCTCCTATCTCCCCTTTTGGCTCACAATAAGTTTATGTCAGTTCCAAAAATATTTGGACAGTCACTTTGTGATCAAACTAAGATTGCTGGTTTACATGAGTCTCAGGGAAAGGACACAGCTCCATCATTTGCTAACTCATTGAATGCAGCTACTGCTGCTATCACAGCAGACCCCAATTTCACTGCAGCTCTTGTGGCAGCAATAACATCTGTCATGGGGAATTCACATTCAAGTACAAGTGGCACCAATAATACCAGTGGAGATGAGCAATGCAATAATAATGCATAATTAACACGCACTCGTTAATTAGTTTTGTTGTGTCATTTTATTTCCTTTGGAAATTGGTTTAGTTCATTTTCGTATTCAAGATAGGTACAATTTTGATTTGGTCAATGTCATTCATACCAAGGATCTTAATCACATGGATGTATCGATCACTATATTATGCTCCTTCTTTTTCTATGTTTAAGATTGTTTTGCAGGAAAAAAAGACACAATAAATTTGTTTATTCTAATAAAATTTGTCTTGTAATTTCCAATTTCCTTTTTTTTTTCCTCTTTCCATACAAATAAGTATATGTACATTAAAAATTAGAAGATAATTAATATTATTTTGAATTTTGCAAATAGTAAAATAAATAAAAATTCTCTAAAAATCCAACACTTAAAAAATGAAATTATATGTCAAAATATAGTTTTAATGATAAATAAAGTACCAAAATATAATTTAGCCTATTTAGTATAAAACTATATAAAGTTACTTTAGTTATATGTAATTAAATAACAATGTACAAGATATTTACAATCCAAGCCTTATTTTATATATTTAAAATTTATTTTTTAATTTGTAATCTGCAAAATTATGAACTCTTATACACTGATTCGAAATATTTGCTTTACCCAATTGGATCATCGAGCGTCATCATAATTTTTTTCTTGCACTTTTATAAATTACCCTCATATACGGACAATTCAAAAAAATATATTAGAATGTCTTGTGAAAATTTGTTGGATAGTGAATACATAATATATAAGATATTCTTTTTCTTTTTTTTTTAACTTTCGATTAAATAATTTAAAATATGTAAAAAAAGTTATATATTTTTTTCAAGTTTAGGGTGGATATTGGTAAATTAAAAAACTTTCTAAATAAAAGAATCACACGATAATACATCAATATTATTTATTTTATTATTATTATTATTTAGTATTTTATTATTGGTAATAATCCCAAAATTTTGTCTGGATTGATGCATTTAGGAATTATTATTATTATTATTATTATTATTATTATTATTAAATAATAACTAAGAAAATTAATGTTAATATATTATTTTCTATATTTTCCTATCCGAAAAGTTTTTATATTTATTAAGCTAATCTTAAAAATATTTAATTGTTTTATATGTTTTAGATTGTTTAACCCTTTTTTTTAATATATATATATATATATATATATATATATATTATAAATTCATCAATTAATAATTTTTCAAGATCGATAAAATATGAGACATTCCAAAGTATATTTATGAACTATCAAAATTATTGAAATATACAAGAATAATACTTTCGTAATAACTATTGGGTGCATGAAGAAATTTTGTAGGTACAAGGAGAAAATATCTTAAACAGATTTGTTTTACAATCCAAAATATAAACAAGAGGCCCAAAAGAAAGAGGATATACATGTTGGACATCACAAATGTTGGCCCATTAATGAAAACAATGGTTTACTTTTAAAAGCAGGTCTTCTCCTCTTGTAGCCTTCCAAGCCGACACACATTTCCTCCTTACACAGTCGAAACACTCAGTTTCGTAGCCGTTGTCTGCCTTCAAAATAAAAAGAAAAAACTATTCATTTCCCACAAACAACCTTCACGGTATTCTATTTCACCATCATAACTTTCCATTCTGATTTCAAGAGAATTTGTGTTGGATTGATCATGCTTTCGCTGTTTTTCATTTCCTCTCTTGTGATCTTCGATAGTTTTTTTTCTTTTTTTTCGAGATTCCGCTGCCGTCTTTTCTGAAGCGTGGCTTTAAAGCATATGCCTTTATACTTAGTGATTTCTCTTGTTTCTAAGCATTAAAAACAGTGATTCCAATTAAACCACTTTTATTTATTTTTCCTTCTATAAATTTCATTTCAAGTTACTTTTATGCCCTTTTACTTCCCGTATTGAGAGTTATAGGATTTGAGATTTGAGATTTGAGTATGCAATTAATGGTAATTTGTGTGTTTTTGTCATAATATATAAGGATTCTGTCCTGTGCAGTCACTCCAATAGAACACAATGAGTGCTGCGTCTTTGTTGTTCTCCTGCTCTATGCATGTGGGTGTGTCTCATCCCAAGCTGGCTGCAAAATCCTCTGTATGTTGTTTGCTCAATCAGCCATGGAATAATTTGAATCCAAAAACATCATTTGGGAATTTAGGAGTCTGGGAAAAATCTAAAATTTCACATAAAGGTGATGAGATCATGTGGAGGACAGGGGCTGTTCAAGTTGAAAGTGCACCTTCCTACTCTGTGGGGCAAAAATTTCAACTTGACGATGTCATTGAGGCCCAGCAATTTGACAGAGAGACTCTCAATGCTATTTTTGAAGTTGCAAAGAGCATGGAGAGCATTGAAAACAATTCATCTAGGAGCCAAATGCTTAAGGGTTACCTCATGGCTACCTTGTTTTATGAGCCATCCACCAGAACTAGGCTTTCATTTGAATCTGCCATGAAAAGATTAGGTGGGGACGTTCTCACAACTGAGAATGCAAGGGAGTTTTCATCTGCTGCTAAAGGAGAGACGCTTGAAGGTATGTCCTTTCAATTAACAATGCAATGTTTTGTTAGTGGGTGCATTTCATTGTTGATCGATTTCAAATTGGAGTTTCATGGAACTTTACTTCTTGCAGATACTATAAGAACGGTTGAAGGTTACTCTGATATAATTGTCATGAGGCACTTTGAAAGTGGTGCTGCAAAAAGAGCAGCAGCGACTGCTAGCATTCCTGTAATCAATGCAGGGGATGGCCCTGGACAACATCCCACCCAGGTATGAAGAATTTGCCACAATTAGTACAGTTTAGAAACCAATGCACAGAGAATGTCAAGTAGATATTACCATCATGGCATGATTTACTTTTCAAAGTGATCTTGAGCTACGGCCTACATGCATAGAGTACTTTTTACTGCAAAAATTGCACAGTTTCATTTTCGTTTGTGACATTGGCTTGACAATGCACCTTTTTGTTAAAGCCATGATCAACATTGCATTTTGATATATAACCTTTTGCTGCTCAGCAATTTTGTGGAAGTATAACTAAAGAATTCACTTAACGAGTTTCTTTCCAAGATTTGTTACTCAGGAAAGGTTGCATGTTGTCTATAAAGTGTATTATTACCTTGTGACAGAAACTTCAAAACAAACCCCTAACACTGCTGATGCTGTCACATGGTATTTGAAACAGAACGGTCGACAACTTTTCCTTAAAATGACCCATGTTAATTGTGTAAAATTAATTAATCAAGTCATACCTTAAGACTTCATTCAAGAAATTTATTTCCAATAGACAAAAAGCGCGGGATGTACAAAGCCTGATTAGAAGGTGAAAACTGATTGAAGTATAAATCTTAAAATATTTGTTTCCATTTTCGAGTGATCTGCATGATAGTGAGGATAGAGATAATAACTTCCAGGGTTATATCATGAGTGCCCACTAGTTTCCTAGCCAATTTCAGTTTTCTAAGAAAATATTTTTCCACCTAAAACTTCCCTCAATACCTTCTTATATACTTTATTCACACTTTACAAGATGATTCCATGTTTGTTTCTTCTTTAGTGTTTATCTTGTAGAGCAAAAAAATACAGACAAGGGAAATTTTTGTGACTTTTTATTTACTACTCCAGCATTCTTCTATAGTTAAATAATTTGAGTGGTAAATGGTTGATTTTATTTTTGTGCTTCAAAACTCTTTTCTTTATTATTTTGCACAGGCACTGCTAGATGTTTACACCATTGAAAGAGAGATTGGAAAACTGGATGGAATTAGAGTTGGGCTTGTGGGAGACCTTGCTAATGGAAGGACAGTTCGCTCACTTGCATACTTACTAGCCAAGTATCAGGATGTGAAATTTTATTTTGTATCTCCTAACGTGGTTAAAATGAAGGTAACTGCTGCAAATTCTAGCCATGCCGTGATTTCATGAACAGGTAATATGTTGGGTAGTACACGACAAAATGAGTTATAGAATGTTTTTGTTTTACCATAGGATGACATAAAAGACTATCTGACATCAAAGGGAGTGGAGTGGGAAGAAAGTGCTGATTTGATGGAAGTGGCATCTAAGTGTGACGTGGTTTATCAAACTCGCATTCAGAAAGAGAGATTTGGAGAGAAAATTGACCTTTATGAGGAGGCAAGAGGCAAGTATATTGTAAATAAAGATGTTCTAAGGGTGATGCAAAAGCATGCTGTGGTTATGCACCCTCTTCCAAGACTTGATGAGGTAAACACTAAGGAGTTATTCTAAATTGTTATGAACACAAGCATTAAGATTAAATAAACTAAATTGTTCCATTAATTTCATGCAGATCACAGTGGATGTTGATAGTGATCCAAGAGCTGCATACTTTAGGCAGGCAAAGAACGGTCTATATATTCGGATGGCACTCTTAAAGGTATTGCTTCTTGGTTGGTAAGGATGCATTCACTCTTCAAAGTGAATGGGATTATCTAAGATTTTCTTCATTTCCTCTTAGCGTGTTTGGTATCATGTTGACATCATTTCTCACATTTAGATTGATACTAGTCGGTATTAGTGCTGCGTCTTATAGTAAATGGACGTGGTTTCTCATGTATCTAATGTGTTTCCAAACACAGCTTTCTCTATTTACAAGCGTCACAAATACAGTGACAGAAATAAAATTTTCTTTGAGTAAAATTTTCCTTCATGTGCAAGTTACTGTCACCAACCAACTTAGAATATAAACCAACCTAAATTATTAAAACGTGGAAATTTATAACATAACATCCATAACCTTAGTATTTTGTTTTTTAACTTCAATAAGAACTGGTCATTTTGTATGTCACACGGAATAATCTGGATATCATCTATTTTTTACTTCAATCTACTGAGAATTCTCTAATATATTCTTTTATAATGATGCTCTACCTAAATTATATGACTAATTGGTGTAGAAAGTGCGAGGTCACCTTAAAAATGGATATAGAACCTTTTTCTTTAAAATTATTAATTAATCATTGATGCGTTGCTATGTTATCATCACAAGGTAAAAAATTTCCCATCGAACAAGAGTAACAGTTGCCTTGTAAATCACGCCCCAACTTTATTCCATTTTTTTATAAAATATAGGTTTTAAAATAACTTAATATAGTAATTTCAAAACATAGGTTCTCCAATTTTGGTCGTCCGAGTTGTGAAAAAAGTTAAAAAAATGACGTAAAAAGTTTAAACTTTTACTGAAGTATTTTGAACAAAACATTTGTTATTTTATGTTGAAAGATTTTTTAATATTCGAAGAACAAATGAAGAGAAAACTGTGATAAACATATCCCTTCTAGTTCATGACAACGTAATAAACACTATTAAATAGACTTCAATACCTCAATCAATTAATCTTTGACTTCTGGTCACGAAATACCCGTTGTAGAGCTCCAAAAAAAAAGGTTAACCGTCCTACTTTGCAGCTCACGTTGAGTTGGATTCAACTAAAAATATATTGACCTTAAAGCAAGCTGACCCAAAAAGGAAATGCCTTGCATGTATACCGTATTTTAGATAGCATAGCATTTGATACTTTCTAATATATTGAGGTTATCACACCAAATATCATTTGATTGATCACGAAAAGTAACTAATACTGGTAGATTTTTAAATTGGACTATTTCATATATCCTACGTTTCAATCAATTAGAGACTTTAATTAGAGACTTTACAAATGAACCGAGATTGGCATTCAAAGAATAGAAACTTTACAAATAAAAGCCAACGATTACTGCTGTATAGTTACAGTTATCTATTATTTCCGATGTCCCCATGATGTACCTGGAGGATGATATATCTGGAGGATTCTTAGCTAGTGTATATCATCTTACAAGAATAAAATATGATATAAATCATCCCTAGGTGGTGCGCATAAAAAAAATTGTACCAATACAGCAAAGAAACAAGTAAAAATAAATAGGCAACAATTTTCTATAACAATTCATGGTCAAGAGTACGATCCTAGACTACAAAAAGGTATGCTATCGCGAATAATAATAGAAAATGGAAACAACATCACTAATAAAATATAGAAAGAAAAAACTTCGAGTCAGGAGTATAACATGAAAGAATTTCTTACACAGCTAAACGTGTGAGCTAATATGTAGGGAAATTAGGATCCACATTGTGGGCCCAAGACTCTAAGCCCCCAATAATGTCCTTGGCAGATGTGAAACCCATTTTGTGAAGACATTGAATAGCCCTTTGAGAATCATTTCCCCTTCTGCACACTACATACAATTGTGCACTTGATCCAGAAACTAGACCACTGTCCTCTTCCTCTTTCTTCAAAGCTGATGATATTTCTGGTAGCCTAGCCTCTAATGTTGAGAGTGGAATGTTCAGGGACTTTGGTAGAGATACAATCTTGAAATGGTGAGCTGGTCTAACATCAACAAGCACATGTGGTTCCTTCGTAAGAATTATTTCACCGTACTCCTTGCTGCTGATTCTTGATTCATTCGGAAGTAGATTTAACTTCAAAGGAGGCTGCATATGCATTAATGACATTGGAGATATCAAAATAATATACTGGAAGACAATTTTATCACCAGCAGTCTCATCCAATACAAATTGGCGAAGAAAAAGTACACCCAACTAAATTTGAAGCAATTTCATCTACATATAAGGGAGGTGAAAGGCAATAATAAAAGAAATACCACTCGCAGAGGAGTCTCAGTGAACTTCTCATAATCAAATTCTCGGAATTTCTGTTGGGTAAATGTTGCATTTTCTCCACAAGCTTCACAATGCATAGACCTTCCTCTGATTTTGACCTGTGAATAAAAGGATAAACAGCAACAAATAAATAAGATCTTGCTATGGTGTCATGCCCAAAAATATTCAGGGTACTACAAGGGGAAAACATTCAGACAGACAAATAATGAAATTACATCCATTATATCATTACTTTATAGCATATTTACGATATGATTAAGAACTGTAAATATTGCTAGTCTCATTTTAATAAGGGATAGACAATTTTATAAGCAATTTATATGTAACATTTATAAGTGACAGAAAAATTAGTGTGAATCACTCGAGTAATAGTAATGTCAATCAATTCCTCTAAAGTTGGAAATCCTTTATTCTAATAGTTCCAATACCACTACAACACAAAACCCTTACTTTGCATCCAAGCTATTTATCCAAATAAAATCTTAGTTCATAAGAAAATGCTAAACATTCAAACAAGTATTTGACGTCCCCCATTTCTAAAATCGTAAGAGGATTGATAGCAACACGCTCTAAAATTTCTCTATTATTGGGTGGAATTTATTAGAAATCATAATTTTCTCTACGTCTCACTTTTAAGTCAGGAGAGAACTAAGTGGAACCCGCCAAAAATAGCAATTTCAAATAAATTTTAGCCAATAATAGAATGTTATTAGTGAGAATGTCGCTAGCATTCTCAAATCCTAATAGACATTGGAGTTCTTAACATACAATACGAATCCTTCCAGACAATGCATCCAAGAGAAGCATCCTTCCTGAGAGTGGTTCACCAACAGAAGCTGCAATCTTAATAGCCTCAAGAGCTTGGAGACAGCCGATTATACCAGGAACTGAAAATGATCAGAGCAAATGTCAGAAAAATAGAACAAAATAGTAATAGCCAGACAAATAATAAAAAGGTACTAATGAGAAGTAAAGCAACTTGAATTACAAACATTCACAGTCACTGAGATGGATGATAAAAAGTTCAGCATCCAGTAATCAGAGTTCAGCAAAATGAAATATAAATGAAACAACTTAAAACATTCAAAACAAATTGAATTTTAGCCAATAAGTCTTAATAAAGACTACTACCTTCCTGCTAGACAACAAGAAATTGCAATGTGTCTCGGATCACCCTACTATCTTGTCATTCTTATTAAACATTTAGATCCTTTGATTCCCCATTTTAAATTTTCTTCTTTATGTGGTATAGTAAGATTCATGAGATTATACAAACTTTTAAGCTAGCTGTGAACCAGTGAATTAACAAAAATCCTTCCCTTCTTCTGTAAAACTTGATGGCTTAAAACATAATGATACTTCCACATTTATAGAGACAGATTTAACAAAAGGAATCACCCAATCGAACAAAATATTTAGTTGTCACCAATAATTAAAGTATTTATAACTATGATTCAGTGAATCAGCTTTGCAATGAACAAGAATTTAGTCTTTTGGTTGGCATTGTTTCTTATATAAATGTCTCTTAGACTAGCAATGAAAAGTAAAACTGATTTGGTTTACAAAACCAGTAGTAAATTTACCAACTCCAAGAACTCCACCCTCCGCGCAACTCTGGCATGCCGTTCTGGGTGGTGGCATAGGAAAGAGGCATCTATAGCACGGACCACCATTGTAATTGTAGACAGTCAGCTGCACAATAAGTTTCCATTGTTAGAACTTAAATTATGTGAGGTAATCAAGCTCACATGATGTCTTGTCGCTCCATAAAGCATTATTCAACTTCAATGCTAGAAATGAAAAATTATAAATATACCTGCCCTTCCAATCCCAATGCAGCACCTGAGACTAGAGGCTGCACATGAAAACAATTAATATTGAAACTGTAAAACAAGCAACTTAAGCTGTCCCTTAAATCACATTATGCACATAGATATGATAAATCCATATAATTACAACTTTTCAAATTTATATAAAACGGATGGCTGGTGATTACAAATATTTTAGAGATAATAACTCATATGACATATACACTTTGAAATTATTTGTAGGCATCAATATAGGAGCAAGTATAACTTCCTGTTTTGTTGAGTTAATGTGAATATCTTACAAGAGAATGAACCAAACATTAAAAACTATGCTGACTTCGGAGGTCCATTCAGGGAGGAACCAAAATCTTAAGTTAACAAGTGAAAAGGTCCATGTGACATCAATTAAATGGTTACAATTTGTTCATACATCAAAACATTAAGATTTACCTTTCCTAGAACAACGCAGCAATCACTGATCAGGTACCTGGTAGGAGCATTATCTGTTGCATCTACTATTATATCATATCTACCAAATTCGCATAATTAAAACGGAGAAAAACATGGTTAGTGGCAATATTCAAAGTGAAATGAAAAGGTTAAGCATAGAAAGTAGAGGCCTCAAGCAAAAACTAAGATCAATCCGATTACAGAAATTATACTTGCTGAGGATTTCCAAAGCATTAGAAGTCCGCAAAGCTTCTTCATGTTCCACAACTTGAATAGTGGAGTTGACCCTAACATTCAAAATATCTTAGTTCCAAGAACAATGATGATACAAACATTTTTATTGGGGGTTTATTCAGTTTGTCCACAAATATTGATGTGATGAATAGTAGGTGAGAGGGCAACATACGAGCGACAAGCGGCGGCCGCGGACTTTACTTTTGGCTTACCAACATATGCTTCTGTGTGGATAACCTGAAACAAGGCAAGAACTTGTCAAAATTAATAACCAAAGTGAAGTTAACATAAAAAAAAAAAAAAAAAAAAAAAAAAAAAAGGTAAATGAACACTACACAGAAGCAAGACACTTTAACCAAAGGCTGATGCCAGACACAAACAAGATACATGTTGCACCTGCTATGCCTAAAGAAGAAGGTGTGAGGGTAAAACAGAAACTACCGTACCTGCCTATGCATATTATTCAGCTCAACCACGTCATGATCAATAATACCCAAGCGCCCTGGGTGTAGTTTTTAAGTTGTAAGCTTCAAAAGTGTATATTAGACTAAAACAATGTTAGTCAGAAGTGTGATATTTACCAACACCAGAAGCTGCAAAGTATAACAATGCAGGAGCACCCAATCCACCAGCTCCCACAACTAAAATCGATGACTTCAACAGATTTGCCTGCCCTGCTCTCCACAAACACAAAAAGGTGGTAAAATTTAAAACAAATAAATAAAATAAATTACCATATTAGGGCTCTATGTCTGACGTCTATTTTTTCCCCTGAAAACAACACATGGCAAAAAGCAATAGAACAAGAATACTAATTATAAAGTTACCATAAAGCAATTGCAACATGGAACTAACCTATATAGAATACTTGAGTATACATCTGTAATGAATATGAATCTTCTTTCATTCTGAATTTAAATTTAGTTAGGCATATGTAGCACGATAATTAAGCATATAAGATGTTGAAGAGAATACCTTGAACACCAAAGGCGGGAAGCATAAGGTGACGACTGTATCTGTGGATCATGTCCTGCGTCAAACCATTAGTGGAGTACGAAGAAGAACCGTTGAGCGGTGCGGCGTCGTTTCGGAGATGAATCTCTCTGAGTTGAGCTTCAAGCGCAGAGATTTTATGCTCAATTTTGGCCTTCGCATCCTTCAAGGAATCCAGTTCCCGAAGAATCTCTGACGCCGACATGGCAACAACACAAACTGAACTGTAACTGTACTCTCTTTTCCTCGCTTCTCTTCTCTTCTCTTCTCTTCCCTTCTCTTGACTTCACCTCCACTCTCGTCTCGTGTTCTTGCGCAACACCCACCAAAATCAAACCAGGGTTTTCTAGCCCAAATTTACTTTTTCACTCCCTAACCTCTGGTCCAAAATTACTTAAATAAAAATAATGTTTTAAAAACATCACATTTTAATTTTATATTTATCATTTTTTTTACTAACTCATGCTTGTAAATAAAAAAAAATTAATATCATTTTATTTATTGATTATATAATAAATAGCATGCCTTGATTTATTCGAAATGTAAAATATAGTATATTGCATAAAATCCAGGGTCTTGGTTGGTCGTTTAATTATTAGTAAAGAAAACAAAATCAAATTACAATATTATATACATAAAATACAATGAGTAAAAGTAGATTAACTTCATTTTATTATATCACGAATTTAAAATAAATTGAAAAATGTATTTATATGAATTTTAATTTGGTTACTAAAAAGACCATAATAATTTCAAAAATAATTAAAATATTTTTAAACTATATAACAAATTTATTAAAGAAAATTATTTTGAATAATAATTAATACATGATTAAACACTTAATGGAATATAATATATTTTTAAATTTGTAATGTATAACAATGTAATTAACTGATTTGAACAAGAATGCTAAAATTAAGATGTTGGTTTTTACAAGAGAGTAAGAAGAAAAAAATATGAATCACACAATTGGATATTGATTGTTAATATTTAATGCCATGTGAGATACAATATATTGATGATTTCTTTTTTTATCAAATATAGTACAATACGTATTTAAATTGAATTGTTTTAATATTCATAAATATTAAATATAGTCAAATTAGAAAAATACCAATAAATGATTAATTTAATATAATGTGTTTTTTATATATAAGTGTAATTCACCTTAGTCATTGATGGATGGTTAGTATTAACCAATGGCAAATACATGAATATGTGGACTCTGTCGAGGTGCAATCTTGTCTTTTGGTTTGTATTTAAGCAGACACGGGACACCACAGTGCTCCAAGAATCTCAACTCCAATTACAATATTTTTACCATCTAGTCTCTGTCAAACATACATTGGCTGCAGATAGAGGGAGAGAGGAATCATGGTTGGTAGTCAGTTCCACACTCTTCTCCATGCCACTTCAAGATCATCTTTGCTAAAGTCCAGCAGCAGTAAGCCATTCTTGAACAACACAATCAAGGTATTGTCCCTTTTATTTTTCATTCTTTCTTAATCTGAGAACTTTGTATTTCCTTGACTCATCTACCAATTGTTCTACTTCAATTTGCTTCTCTGATGTAGTGTTAGTAATTCATGTAATTTTCTTAGCTACTTTCTGTGGAAACTTTTATTCTTTTGTAATAATAACCCCACAAGGAAATTAAGTTAGACAGATGAAAGGTATAATAACTTCAATCATTTTCAGATTCATTTTGCTTTAGATTGGAAACAAGTTTTAGTTAACTTTTTTATGCGTTTGAAATGGAAATTTAATGGAGGGTTTTCAGTTTTCTGCATAATACAGTTCTTGAAAGTGGAAATCTTGACTTGGGAACTGGATTAAAACCCAGAAAGGCTTGTTGAAAGTGAAAGCAACTTAAAGGGGTTTGCTATAAGGGGTAGTAAAAACTAATGATTTTTACTGTGTCTGGACAATATGTCAAAGAGTGAACAGAAAGTGGTGTATTGGTTTTTGGCTATTAAACGAATGAACTAACAATTTATATCAGAATTATGGGCAAGCAAGCAATGGAAACCGTAGCCGTTTGATGGAAGAGAGGGCACCTTCCACAGCTGAAGAGTTCGAAAGAGTTGCACGGGAAAAGGCCAGGGAGACCAAGGAAGGAGTAGCAACTCAGAATGTTGCCAAGTTATATGATGGTGCACAAGATGGTACGATTGGTGACTCCAAGGTTGGATCTGTCAAGAACTGAGACTGAGGAGTGATTAGAATTTAGAGACATATTCTCTAAACTAGATTTCTATCTATGTATGCAACTAGAATAAGATTGTGTTATTTTCCAAGATTTTAATTGTGATTGTTTTCTTCAGAAGAAGAAACCGAATAATTTAAGGTTTCAGTCTTTTATTAGTGATATTATTAATCATTCTCATGTATATCAGTATATGCAACTGCTACTTGAAATACTGGGTTTGAGGGATTAAACTTTGTGATTTCAAAAATCTAGCCAACACTTTGATAGTAGATGGAATGAGATCCTTCTTCATGGTAAAGTGACGGGTATTCATCAACATAATATAGTGTAGTGATTGAAATATTTATCACTTAAGTATTTTATCTATTATTTGTTTTTTTTTATATTACAATAATTATAACTATTAATAATATTTTATTTTATAATCTTATATTATGGTAGAATAAAAAGATGTACTTTTTCTACAAGTAAGATGGTTGTCCTAAATGTTATAAACTCCATCTTTATTTTAGCTTTTTCATTGGTTGATTATGTTAGTTTTCAATCCAATTTGGAAATCGGACAAGAATGTATCGCAACAACTAAGCAATATGCAAGTTGGTTTCTACTAAAAACAAAATTCCTCAATTTATTTTTTTATTTTCGTCACTTGAAAATATTTTTATTTATCTGTTTTTGGAGAGAAATTTATTACCACATAAACTAAAGAACCTTTTGTATTAGGTATGAAGAGAAGTAAAAATTGTTGTTATTTAAAAACTTGTTTTTCTCTTACAGTGCTATTTATTTATTGTTAAGGTAAGATGTGTGTTTTAAATGATAGAAAAGGGTTGAGGGTCCATCCATTGGGGCTATGTTTTTGTCCTAACTCATTTTCGTGGTTGGGAGGTATCATCATCCACTATGTACTTTGATCATTTGGCATAATTTTGTTATAGCATTTAAAAAATAGTGTATCAAGATTATATATCCTTGTTCATGGTAATTTTAGTATTGATATTTTTAAGATAAGAACATAATTTACAGATTTGTTAATTCTAATCTTATCCTATGTAACTAGTATAAGCTTATAATTTAATCAAATATGATCTTATCCTAACAAGCTTGTTGATTTTAATACTGTCTTATTAGCTATATTTTGATCAATTGGAACCCTACGCGTACATAATATATTTATTGTATTTTATAGCAAAAATATGCAATAATTTTTATGAATAATATTTTAATTTAGTTAAGGAATTATATTTGTAATGCTTTGCAATTAGGAGTTTAAATAATTTTTTATCCAATTTAGATATTTTTGTTTTAGTTTTTTTTTCATCCGTGTTATAATAGTAAGAAGTTGCATATCTTAATTATTATAATAATAAGCAGTTACAGATCTTAACATTATGTTAAATTAAATAATATATTATTAATAAATAATTAAAAAAATAAAAGATCAAATTTATAAATATTTAATCATCATCAAATTTAGAGAAAGTATAATTATAAATATTAATATAAATTACAAAATTTTAAGAATAATAAAAAAATCAAAATTAAAAATATTAATATAAATTAAAATTAATATCATGCATATACAATGGTATATTCAAGTTAAGCATCATTTTTAATTCCTAATACTTGGATCTTATTTTATTTTGGTTTTGTTTAACTCACACCCAAAGTGTTAAAAAGCTAAATATTAATTATGATAATCAAAAGTTTGAAGCACTGGATGGATAGATATCATGCCATGTCAGTTTCCTTCCAAAATAAAAGTAGTGGGCCCAAGACTTCCCTACTCAAATTCAAAGAGATGATGATGACGAAGAAGACCATTGTATTTATTCTCATTTTATTTTCTCCCTTTTAAAAAAATATGGACAGATATTTATACATGTCAGGTGGGTTAAAATAAAATAAAATAAAATTATGCACAGAAATTTCTCCTTCCTTCACAAAGTTATCCTCATGTTATTATTCCTCCTACTTTTTGTAGAATGTAAGATATATAGAAGATGGCACGAGTTTGTTAGGTGGAAATATATAGAATGAAACACACTGAACCATGTCCTAGTACGTGAGAAAGTTCGTTAGGTAGAACTACTTAAATAGATAACTTTTCTGGTTTTGCTGTGTTTTGACAAAGGAAGAAGTAACACCATTTGATGAGAGTTTGGCCCAAATATAACCTTTTCAGAGTAAACCCTCTTGTTTCAGTACACTAATTAGAAAACGGGCTTTGTTCATAACATGCTTCAACCAGTTATAACTTTTGGACACCACACAGAGTCAGAACAAATGAGATGAAATTTATAAATATTTGTACGGAGGACGAAGGAATAAGAATAAAAGAGTAATGTTCTACTTCTCCAAGCAGTCTAGTGTGTTTAGATCCGCAATACTGGAAAATTTTATCCTTTTGAGTTCTTCTAATAAACCTCAAATCTATTTTAGGATTGTGAAATTTTTTGGAGGTTATATTCATGGAGGAGTTAGAAGAACTCTTATCTCCAGTCAATTCATAGTCAATAGTATAAACATGGTCACGCTCATCATAAACTGAATCACTGAAATTACTATAGAAATCAGATACAAAAGACATGATAAAAAAAAATTTAAAGTGTAGTTAAAGAAAATTCAAAGAAAACACGAAACACTTACAAAAAGAAAAAATTAGAAATATTAATATTTACCTAATCTTAGGCACATTAGTCGATAAAGAAAACCTTATCCTTGCGCGACATCGTTACCAAAAACCCTTATTTAGTCATATTGAGAAGGTGAAAAGGTTCTCAAAGATAATTTAAGTTCAGTTAAACTCAATAAACAACCTAACTCACATATAACTCAATAACTTGATAATTCCGAATTTAAATCGACAAGTTATGCACTTAACAACGTAAAAATAAACTCATTCATGGTCGTGTTAACCAAAATTCCAAAATATTAGGCTCTTATTTTGTGACATAGAACTAAAGAATGAGCTTTAAAATGTTTGAGAATCAGTGCAAAGTATTATCAGTTGTCAATTTTAATGGAGCTTCTACTTTTAATCGTACCTCTTTTCATTCATAAACTTCTACTATGAAATAAAAGGAGAAAGATGTGAAAAAAAGGGGGAAAGACAAGTTAGCAATTAGGAAAGAAAATAAGAATAGTTGAATTTGGTGTGACGGTTTAATTAAGAAAGTTAGATTTGAGCATTTAAGAAAATATTGATTAAGTTTGAATTTATGAAAAAGCCTGTTAAACATACAGATCAACTTGTTTATTTATTTTAATATGATAAAAGTTAATATACATATTGTAATTTAATATTTAAAAGGTTTATAAATTAAAAATCTCGTATTATAAGTAAAATAAATATTTAAGATAAAAATCAAAATATCAATTAAATAATTTTATTATAACTAGTTAAGTTTATGTTTTATGATCGGATCTATTAAGTTTCTTAATTTTTTGGACTATTTAAAATGTGATTTGATGATCTATTTAAATTTGACTTGTTGTGATATGAAAATAGTTTCTAAATAGATTAATAGGCTAGGCTGAACTTTAAAAGGTATCGGGCCTTGATTTTATGGCATAATGCCTAAAACAAATAAACTCGATGGCATAATGTGTATATCTCTTGGGCTCACAAGTCTTGGGCCTCCGAAGATGTGTTATTTGGTTGAGTTTCTGGGCTTTAGTTTAACTTTTTTTCCCAAAACAAAACTTTATAGATTTTATCCTAAAAATGAAGGTTATATACATTTAATTTAATTCTTAAAAGTATACACATTCTCAATTTGGTATTTATATATAATTTTTTATTAATTAATTATTATAGACGTAAACATTACCTATTTATTTTAGTTCATATAATCACATATTGACTATACACTCCCTTGAACATTTAAATTTTGTTTCTTGTACATGTAATATTACTAATTCGGTCTTTATAAACAGAGACTAAATTAAATATAAAAACCAAATTATAATTTAAACATACACAACGGGATTAATGATCGGAAAATTAACCGGATTAATTTTTTTCCTGTTAATTTGTTGCATTTGATATCGAGAAATGCTACCTCTCTTTTTTTATATATAAATAGTTTAAAAAAATCCAATATAAATTTTAATTTCACTACAAAAATAAAAAATATTAAATGTTAGTATTAAGAAAGAATATTCCTATAATTTATTTTCAAAATGTGTTAAATTTCCTTCAGTTAAATTACTTTCTAATTTATGTCTGGCTGCTACTTGAGTTAACGTGGTTTTTCCAGAATCTCTGAAGTCCCGTCTAAATCGTGAGTGACCAGAGTCGTCACGAAATGGCGTTATAGTTTCACGATTTTCATGCAGAGTAAATTATCGTGCTTCATTAAATTTTTCCAATTGTAAGTAACCTTGTCCTTCGGTCAATGCTCTTGCTGAAAGGTGACATTACTCGCTTCCACACTTTTCATTTTACGACATTCTTGTGTCGTGAATACCATGTACTAATTTTGCTTCAAGGAAAATGACACTTCCCTTAGAATGTTCTGAAGTAAAAGTGTCAAGTGTTGGCACACCACGCGCTGTTAACGTGCGTCAACCTAGTAGGAAACAAGAAAAACGGTTAAATGGGAACATGGTCTCTTGTGCTGGGTTTTCACGTTTCGAACCTTGTGATTGTGACCAATACTTGATTTTGAGGACTCAAAAAACCGAAACATCGTGGCACTAAATCCTGCTTGATTTTCGTTTTGTGTGGCTTTTCCATGTGGCTCATGCGAGACCATTTCCCCGCAAATTGGGTTGCAAGGAAAAGTGCTTTTGGGCCTTTAGCTCATGCCGTTGCAACCGTAATTAAAGGGGAAGAAGAAGAATGGGAAAATAAATAAATAAATAAAAAATCAGACAATCAGCAGAGTTATGGAGAAAAAGAAACCCAAGAATCTCGTGAATTTTTTGAAAACAGTCTTTTTCAGATTTATGGGATCTTCGATCTCCGTACTTTCATGCTCCAAGTGTTGCATATTACACTTCCATCTCTTGTGTCGGTAGCTGCGAGTGTTATTACTAGTAGTTCCCAATCTATCAAACTTGAACTTTTTCAACTGTCCATTTTTGACGTTGAAACCAATTAAATTTCCACATGTTTAAATGGAAAAAAAATATAAAGTACGCTGGCAAATTGTCTAAAAGGATAACCCACTTTCAATACTCATGCAACTCATGACAATTGCTAGTAGAAGGGGTACACTTTCCTATTCCAACTAATGCCTCTAGACACATTTTGCGTCCACATTGATTCTATAGTTTGTATCTTACTATATACTCAAATTACTGTGGCAGCACAAAGTAAGCACTGCGAAGAAATATTGTTTGAAATGGCGCACAATGGAGCAAAAATTTCTCTATAACCTAACTAGATAGAAGCTATCAAAGGGGTTTCATTGTGATAAGTATGAGCTTGTGATTGATGCAATCTAGCAAAAACCCCTACTAATGCTGCAGTATTGTAGGTGCAAGCCTCTGTTTGGATGTAATTTGGTCGCTCGTCTTTAAATTGGTCTTTGATATCAGGCCCACCAACCAGGGCCCCAATGAGTACATTTGGATTGGGTTCAACGCGTCCATACCAGTTATCATAACCCTGAGTGCACCCAATAAAACCCTTGTTTTCCTTTAATGATTCAATGGATGCGCCCCTATGGTGCACCCTCTGGGGGAAATTGGGACCGTAGCCTACCAAGTAACTCATACCCATTGGATTAGAACCCAGGATGTAATCAACCTGTGATTTTGCAAAGGCAAACATCTCGTGGGGACCCACCACTCCTTTTTGGCAAAGCAGCTTCTGATGTGTGGCTAGGAGGTGATCAGAATACAGTGTGAGAAGAAACGATGCCGTTGCTACGTATTGCATGTTGTTCCATTGGCGGGTGTACAGTAACCCTCCTGGGGTGCGCTCCACGTTACTCACGTTGTTGAGGTTGAGGCATGCGCAGAGGTAGTGTTCGGCTTGCGAACGATACTGTTTGAGTACGACTTCATGCTTCTTTTCTTCCATTGAGAACTGTTCAAAGGAAATTGTCGGTGAACAATAACCATGCTATTCCATTCTAAACAGATTAAAATATATGCTTAAATCAGTCTCAATTACAAATTTTACATTAACCACGTACACCTGGCGATAATTTATTCGCCATTAGCCCATGAAATTCACAATTAGCTCTTTCTTCAGTTTATTTCTTTTTTACTTTCTTTTTATACCGTTTTAGTTTTTATATAATTAATAAAAAATAAATTATTTTTCTCATTCTATCATTTTTATTTTCTTTTGTTTCTTTTCCATCAAATTATTATATATTTTTATCCTCTTTTTCTTTCCTCTCCCACTCTATTTTTTTTTCCTCTACTAAGAAAAACTTATAGGATTGTTGAATAATAAATATTGGTTTAATTGAGTTGATGTGTAAAGAAAAGAGTGGTGGGAAAAAAAGTGAATAAAGGAGGGAAAATTTCTGTATAAATGGAAACAAATGTACATCAAAACAATATAATTAATTATAAGACATGACTAATTATGTTATTCAAAATTTGAATTCAAATATATATATATATATATATATATATATATATTTAAGTCAATACTTATTATGTGTTATTTTTAAGTCAATAAATGAGAATAAATAAAATAATTGATAATAAATAAACTAATATTTTTCTCTTCTTTCTGTTTCGTTTCCCTCTATTAAATTGAGAAATAAAGAAATAAACTGCGGGCCACATACAACACAGGTGAAGTAATACTACTAGCCTAGTACCTCCATGTACCTTTCGTTAGGACATTTTAAAACTTCAAAAAGATAGAAGAATGATTAACAAGATATACTACAAACACGATTTACAATAAAGTAAAAGAAAATCTGCGTTTAATTGGGAAGTGTGTACGAGGAAAGAGAGGATTAGTTACCATGGAAGCAATAGCTTGAATACCAGCATACTTAACATCCCAGCTGAATTCAGTGATGGCCCAAGTGGTCCCCCCAAAGTCATGAGCCTTCTCCAAAAAATAGTTTAAATATTTGTCCTTCAGGGTGGCCTTATATAGCCAAATAGCTGCCCATAGCAACTCATCCTTGTAGCCACTAACCGAAGCATAATACCCTTTAGCCACTCCAACACTCTCATCATATTTTCCTTTGTACTTGTCACCAAACTCAAACAACTACAACAACAACAACCACGTCCCAATTATAATCTCTGTCACCCCATAGTCAAATTGAAAAAGTACTCCAGTTATATATCTAATTAATTAATCAATGTCAATAAAACAAACACCTGCTGTGCATGATGCAAAAGTAGTTGAGAGTAGTGTGGGTTTGTTCTCCTAAACACCATGGATGCCGCAGCCAACGCCGCCGCCGTCTCGCCGGCCACATCCGAACCGGGGTTGTCGGCGTCAACCTTGAAAGCTCTCCGTGATGTCGTCATGTCCTCCGGCCGCTGCCAACAGTAGTGATCAGTGTCCCCGTCACCCACCTAACACATGTTCACAAATTTTACAAACATATTTAAACTTTGTCTTTATTTTATAGCACAATCTTTTTAAAATTTTATTGAGTATAATTTCGGAATATTATGCAAAATATCTTACTAGTATAAACAAAAACGTTAGCACACTTCTTAATATACATTAAAAGTTATTATATCATCTGAGACAAGTGTGATTTTTGACTACTAATCTATATTTGACGGAAGGCTAATTATATTTTCCAAATTTTAATTAAATAAAAAATCAATAATGTGAAATTTGATTAAGACTGTATATATAATCCATGTTCATCGCAGCTGCAAGTGATATCACGCGCCAGTCACGGCAAGATGGCAGGAAAATTAGGACGAATCCGTTGTGACTGTTCCGACATTAAAATCGATTGCTCCTTTTAGTTTGGAAGAAGTATTGAACCCATTCTCAAAATTAATTTTCAAAAAAATGAAAACTATTTGGAATTGCATGGAGGGAATTGAAATACATACCTCTACCCAGAGAACGTTGGGTTGTGTGTGGGCCTTGATGAAATAATCAGTCCCCCACTTGATGGCCTCGAGCGCGTGAGCATACTCGCCGGCAGTGTCGATTTGTTGGCCGTATTCAATGACTGCCCATGAGAGGAGTGTTATGGTGAATGCCATGGGCAACCCAAATTTCACATTGTCCCCTGCATCGTAGTACCCTCCCACCAAGTCCACCTATGGGTCCCCAAAAACAAGAACCATAATGTTGGAACGAGTAAAAACCCAAAAAAGAAGAATGAAAATAGCATAGTTTAAGGTTTGAATGTTGTAGGAAGCAATGAAGCATGTACCCCTTGTTCTAGGCCATCAGTGAGGGCAGAATGGTGACGCCAAGTGACCCTTTGGTTGTAGGGTAAGTGTCCTGAACGCTGTGACTCGAAGTAGAGGAAGCTCTGGGAGAGGGCTTGGCTATAGTTGAAGGACTCACATAAAGGGAGGAAGATCGCTGTGAGAGAGAGTAAAGCAGGACACAGTGTGAAAGACAGCACGTTAACGTTGTCTTTCTTCATTTCTCTCCCTCTTATGAATCTTTCTCTGTCGGTATACCCTTGTTTCTCTTTATAAATGGTGTGTCTAGTGTTACATAATTTTCGTAGGGTGGTAGAGCTAATGCCTTTGGTCTTTCTTTTTATTCTGTTTGTGAACAAATTCAGACAAGGCGCGTGAGAAACATGTAAGGGGTGAATTTTCTGTAATTGAACGGCTACTGTGTGCAGAGAAGTTGAAAATATAATTGTAACTGATTCGGTCAATTCATGGTGGGATGGTAGCATTAATGGTACTGACATATACTTTGTTTTGTTGGTGTATATTTGGAAGTAAATATTTGATAAGTAACGTACACACACAAAAATATTGATAATTAAGTAAGTATATTCATCTTAATGCCTATCTTAAAATAATGGAACAACTTATTTACCTGTTCGCTTGTCCAATCCCTTTCGGTCCTGTTCTTTAATTATTCTTCTGCTTTGTCAAACTTTTTTTTTTTTTTTCGTGATTTCTTTCAGTGCATTACATAATACATTAATATTTGTCTAAAACATGGTGCTGTTGATTATAGAATTAAAATATTTTTTTATAAACAATTTTATGTTAAATATAAACATTATTTTATTAAAATTTGTTGATACAATAGATAAAGATAGTGAGGTGTTTGTAAAAAATATTTTTTTATTGAAATAATTTGTATAATTTTTTATATTACTTTAATATTTGTTAAATATAAATATAATTTTTAACTTTCAGTTGCATAAATGAATGCCTTAATAGAGACCGGTAAAAAATAAAGACTGAAGTAACTTCACATTTCACACCAAAACATCAAACTAAAATTTTCTCATAATGTAGTCCATACATTAATGGTGTTAACAAATTGGGAAAAAATCACTCAACAAATATTTTATATTAACATGTTGCTACATTTGTAAGCAATATCATAAATTTTTTAATACAGATTTCAAAATTTATAATAGTTATTTGAGCACAGAAATCACATTTTATCATTTATCTGATAGCAGCAAGTATAACCATGAGTTTTTGCATGAAACTTATGTTAAATTAAACTATTTAATTTAATTGTATTTTGTAATGGTATGTTTTGGTTGTTTGGCTCTATGTAAATTGAGTCATCCCATTGTGACAAGGGATTAAATATGTTTAATTTATTTTTATCTACATATTTTGTGTGACAATTTTAATTTAAGTATTTATATTTAAAGTTTGACTTAAACTTACAAAATTATAGAAAATGTAGTTATTTTGTTAATTTTATAACAATAAACATATTTAATTAAATATTTAATTTATGTACAAAATTTAAAGTCATAGTTAATTATTTTATCTATTTTCCTGAGTTGAAAAGTTATCATTAATGGAAAAACGTGTGAGGAATATTTTATTCATTTTGACAAAATATTGATTTCAAAAAATAATAAATAGTTAAAGTAAAATTAAATATTTATTTAAGTATAAATTATTCATTTAATTATTAATTGATTTTATTAATCAAATAAATTTTTGCATTAATATCTTTAAATAAATATCTTATTTTTTAATAATATGTATTTAATATATAATTATAAAATATTTGTTATTACAAAAATTAACTTAATAAAATAGTATTACGTTGAATAAATAAACAAATATATTAAATTATTATATTTTATTGAAGTAATAATTATATATATGTAAAATTTATCAATAAAAAAATAGATAATATTTATTTTAATAAAAATGATTTTGTAAAATAATACTTTTTAAACTTTTTATAAGTCACTTCCTAGTATTAAGATATTGAATTACAAATTTACAGTCATATTTTCATGTTATTCAATTATTTTATTTTTTATTTAACATAATACTTAGACTAACACTTAAATTTGTAATAAATAATAAACATGAATATTATAATAAAAAATAATATATTTATTTTACATTTTCATTATTATTGAAAAAATAATAATTTTTATATTAATCACTTTCAAGTATCTATTTCAACAATTCTTAAAAACTAATAATAAAAATATTATTTTTTATTTATTTTCTTGTATTAATAATTTTCTACTATCTATTAACAAACGTTAGAAACTAATCATAAATATATACAGTGACATGCGCGAAAATAGAATTAACAAAAAATAACAAAATTAGTGAGATACTAAAAAAATGTTCCTCCTGAACTATAAAATAAAAAAAAATTATTTATTTTTAAGAAACAAAAGTGTTGGATCATTGTTTTATTTTTAAAAGTAAAAATAAGACAGATGGAACACTAGTATATGTACAAAAACATACTTAAATATATCAACGATTCGCGATGGATGAATATGGGCCAAATGTATGGGCTGATGAAAATCTGTGTTTCAGGTTCAATCTTAAACTTCATAACTGGTTTATTTAAGATTTGGTTGGGCTGGTCCACCATCTCAGCATGCGAACATGTGTCACATTGGGCCTGCAAACAACTGAGGAAATTATTTGGGTCATTCCGATATTTTTTTTATTTATTTAGCAGACATTTTTCCTTTTGCCCCCTCCGCTCCTTATTTTATATTCCCAAAACTAGTTTAAAATCGGAATTTAATAAGTAAATTATGAGATTAAAAATAGTAAGATTTGATTCTCAAAGAATAAACAATGAGGGAAAAAAACAAGTTCCACGAACTATTTCTCAAAGAATGAAAATAATAAGAATCATGAATAGATTATGAGATTGTTTTAAAAATATTTATAAGTGTAAGTTTACTCCTCTAGTTCAATACATCACAATAAATTATTCCCTGAAGTTCGTTCTTTCTAAAAAGTGAAATTTCTATTTTTTTCTAACCACGTAGTTAACAACTAAACACGAGAACTATCGTTTATGTTTTGGGTGAACTATTTATCTAGGTTTACAAGTAGAGATATAGAGTTGATGTAATGGGAAAGAAAAAATCATAAATAACCTAGTGTATATTGTTGGGTGGAGTGGCTAGAAAAAAGGACAATAAATATGAAACATAGGTTATATAATATATGTGTGTCCCACTTCCACCCAATCCATCAATAGAAATCTTCTTGTCCTTATCTCTACAATTAAATTCTTCCCCTACAAATGGTTGGAAAAAAAAGACATTTCCATTAGGTCACAAGTCAAGTAACCCTTCCCCAAAAGAAATATCTTTATCCCACCACATTTCCACAATTAAACCCTCGCAAGCTAAAATTGGTGACCGAGTGAACCAACCACAAAATTGTAGAGTGAATTTCCACCATAAATACCGTCAAATTTTCCCATAAAATCTTAGTAAGATGCAATGATATGAAATTCATATACCGACCTAAAAAGAGTAGCAATCCAAATTGGGTGGCATATTGTATTGCAACTATTGTGATAAGATTTTGAAGGGGCACCTAAATTGGGATGATGCTATTTGGCAAACAGTTTTGACTTACTCAAAACAAAGTTTTCATTTAGTGTGCAAAATATATATCATTTACAATTACATTACATAATTGAGATTTGTCAATATCTCATAAGAAGTTCAATAATTAAATGAATACAATACATGAATGTACCAAATATAATTGCCTCTTGCTTGACAAAACAAAACACCCAAGTACAGGTTTCTTAATAATAAGTCCCTTTTACTTCATTTGGTTAAGAGGAACAGGACTCTGCCGACCTCAAATGGGTCCTTCATTTCCTCAACTCGTGCACCCAAAGTCCTAAGAGTGAATCTTTCGTGTTCCGGTTTCATATTGATAAAATATTTATAGGGTGAATTTTTATATCTAAAATGTTGTTTGTTTTTGAAGTTTTAGGTTGATTTCTTTTTTAAAACGTTTCAGTTTTTAATTTTTTTAATGATGTGGGACTTATAAACATAGACATAGATAATATGATTTAAATAGTTGTTAATTTATTATACATTATTAATTAATTTTATAGTGAAAGCTTAACATCAAAATTCTTTTACAAATATTTTCAATAAAAAAATACATTATTTTCATAAAATAAATTTAATTATACATAAATTTAAAATGTTGCTTTTTTACACTTAAACTTATATATTCTTAATATTTTAAATAAAAAATTATATGTTTGAAACCTAAATTGAAACTTGTATACCCAAACAACAGATAAAATATATGTTTTATTAAAATGAAAGTATTAATTTATACCTTGGTCCGTAAGTATTTTAAATTAGTAAATGGTCCCCATACATATTTGATTGCATTCATAATGCCAAAGTTTGTTGGCTGTACATATAGAAGAAGAATGAGCCATTTCACCGACTATTATACAGGCCAATGATTATTTTCTCTATAAAAACCATTATTCATTTATTTTATTTTATGTTGTTGATAATGTTACGTCATTTTTTTATTTTCCTTTTTGTCATTTGTGTTTCTCAAACCTTGTACATACGGTGATGTAACAGATGAAATTAAGATAATAAAAAAGTACACAAATATAAAATGTGTTTACGTATAATTATATTCTAACATTGTTCTTTTTGGCTGTCTTGATTATTGTCTGCTAAAATAATGTTAAACGAAAACCCTTTTGAAAAATATGATGTTTTAAGCCATGCATGTTGCTATGTTGGGATATGGATAAACTATAACATCATCTTTGTTTTTTACTGATTTTGAAAAACAATAATTTAGTCATCAAACGATATTATTTTAAGACTAAAATGTGTAAACTTAATTATTGGGGCCATAGTAAACTAATATCTATTACACGCTACCCAAAAGTCGCTATTTTAGGGTCATCATTTTAGAGTTAATTTATGTTTAAACACCATTCACTTGAACTTTTACTCATTTTCCTTTTCAGAATCCCCAAATACATTTCATAATCAAAACAAGAAAATAATACTTTTAATATGTCATTTGTCCCAAAAAAATTCGATTGAAATAACTTATAGTCCTTGCAAATTACTTCGTTTGTTTTTCATTTCTACAAAAAATTTGTTATTTCTATATCCTAATATTTTTTAATTATTTTCTTTTAATCCTTATCATTATCTATAATTAATTTAACATTGTAAATATAGATTATTAACTAATATAATCAAATGGTTTAAATTAAGCTAACTGTAATATAGATTCGAAATACCAAGAATCTAACTGTAATTAGACTAGTACAACATGAAAAATTTCAACTGATACGTTTGTATGTATAGTAGATAAGTCAATGAAGATATTGTGGTTATTTTATATTGATTCATCAAATATACTAATAATTTTTAAAAATATTTTCAAACTAATTGTAATATTTAATTTAATTTAAATATATGAAATACTAACAAATACTCTTCGTATATTTATTATATTTTAAAAAAACATTAGTAAAGTTAATAAAAAATATTTATAGAATATATCGTTTATAATTTTTCAATATAGCATTATACTTATAAAATAAAATTGTGATGAAAATCAGCAAGAAATTAATTAAGTCTTTAAGAACATCATTGTCACGACATTGAACAAATAATTTAGAAGAAACCACACACGATAAAAAAAAAATTTGAATTAAAATATTATTTTGTCAGGAGGATTATCATTAAATTTAAAAAGATTTGACTACAAGAATATTTTTTACTTACAGAGATATATTACTCTACCTAGCCTGAAATAAGAGAGAAAATGGTACTAAGAACAACAAGTGAGCCTGATACGTATGTGAAAAGATATAAGAACAAGTATGGAAATCCTTTTCATTGATTTGCACACGGAAATATTTATCCAAAAATTAGTGAAGCGAACTTTCTATGAAACATGTGGATCAAAAAACCACACTGTCTGTCACGCGGTTTTTGAGATTTGTCTAAAACAGATAATTTCATTTCTAAGTAACTGATGTAGCATTGTGTAGTGTGTGTATATGTGTGATGCATGAAATGAGAACGAAAACACAGAGTCCACCATGGATATGGTATCTTAAAACGTTTACATACGAATGATTGATTATGTATGTTGTATGTTTGGAGATAGTTGTGAACACGGATATGGTATTTGAAGAAAACCTAGATGCAGTAGTCCAAGTTCGGCTACCTAATTACTGCTAGAGATTATAATTTAGCCATAAATTAAACAAATGGTTACGAAGCTTCAGATTTTTTTGGTGAGGTAAACTAACAGCAACAATATTTTTTTGTAAGAGAATAAACGGAAACACGACCTAAATTTCTATACATTATACTTGAATTGATTTGGAAAAAGAGTTGATTGAGGTAATGTAATACGTGTCTGTATCACCAATTGCAGCAAAGTGAAGTAAACTGGCACCAGACAAACATGGCCAGATGAACAACCCCAATGGTTAAAATAATAGTAGGACAGTCTCATGATGATGCGTACTATTCATTGGCAAGGAGTGATGAATCATTGTACAGTATATAGTAATGAATTAATTGATTCCACCCGTTTTTTTCCAGTTTACCCAGAAGAAGAAACAAACCAAGCAAACATGTCATCAAATCAAGCATGGCTGGATGGCAAATTCCAACGTTCAAATTTAAGCAAAATTATTGAAACTAGGCCCTGTTTCCCCAGATTCATGATTCTCTCAAAATGAACCCAATAAACATTTCTTGGGTACACAAACCAACATGTGTCTCCACTCTCTTCACGATCGATACCACACCCCGTTTCATTCGTGACGTGTCCTTGTCGACAACGTTGTTCCAAACGATGCGCTCCAGGTGTACGGTCGATAAGAGAGCCCACTACAAGATCCAACGGATAGTTCAGCTAACATTTTCTAACCTTTTTTCTATTTTTTTTCAAAAGAAAACACATTTTGTCTTCCCCTGGTAACATTTTCAAACCTAACATTAGCAGTTGTGAGATATTGCATTGGTGAGTGGGTCTCCAACACGGGTCCCACACGGCTTAAAGTGAAAGCTCTTTTCCTTCAACCACGTCACGTCACCAAGTCCCCACTCACTATAAAGTTCCACGCCCTCCTTCCTCAACCAAAATAACTGCAATTTTTTCTTTCTCTCTTCTGCATGCCCTGCTTCTCTCAGAATCAGAGCATGATGGCTCCTCTCGCATTCTCCTTCTTCTTCCTTCTTATCTCATTCTTTTCTTTCACATCAGGTAAAAACATCTCTCACTACTTTTCTTCATGCTCTTTTTCAGTCTGTTCATACACAATATTTACATTTACTTCCATACATATTTTTAGTACTACTCTTTTGTCAGAATTTCGATTCAGGGTTTTAACTCCGTAGTCTATATTTACCTTTTAAAACATCTATAATCTATGCACAAAACTTAGGTTTAATTATATAGATATTTGTGTTACTGTTTTTCAGTCAGGCATGAAAATTCGCACGAATAAGCTAACATATAAAAAACACATACAAAACTACATCTTTAAGTGTTTTTCTTTTGTTGGTTGGTTTATTTGCATGGCTATAACTTTGATCTTTGAATGTTAACGTCATTCTGTGAATGTTTTGCAGAAGCAGGATCCGTAGGAATAAACTATGGACGGATTGCGAACGACCTACCTACCCCGGCGAAGGTGGTGGAGCTTCTGAAGAGTCAGGGGCTGAACCGTGTGAAACTATACGACACCGACTCCACCGTGTTAACGGCGTTCGCTAACTCAGGAATCAAGGTGGTGGTTGCGCTGCCAAACGAGCTTCTCTCCAACGCCGCCGCGGACCAGTCATTCACTGACGCATGGGTGAAAGCCAACATCTCAAACTACTACCCCGCCACGCAAATAGAAGCCATCGCGGTGGGCAATGAAGTCTTCGTGGACCCCAACAACACCACGAAGTTCCTCGTACCCGCCATGAAGAACGTGCACGCTTCCTTATCCAAGTACAACCTCGACACCAACATCAAAATCTCCTCACCCATCGCACTCTCCGCGCTCCAAACGTCCTTCCCCGTCTCATCCGGTTCATTCAAAACCGAACTCGTCGAACCGGTAATTAAACCCATGCTCGACCTCCTCCGCCAAACCGGTTCCTACCTCATGGTTAACGCGTACCCGTTCTTCGCTTACACAGCAAACGCTGATAAAATCTCCTTGGACTACGCGCTCTTCAAAGATAACCCCGGCGTGGTTGATTCCGGTAATGGTTTAAAATACACGAACCTTCTTGACGCCCAAATCGACGCCGTTTACGCTGCCATGACAGCGCTTCAATACAACGATGTTAAGATCACAGTTTCGGAGACGGGCTGGCCTTCCGCGGGGGACTCGAACGAAGTAGGAGCGAGCCCCGAGAATGCGGCGTCGTACAACGGGAACTTGGTTCGGCGCGTGTTGGGACAGAGTGGTACCCCCTTGAAGCCCAATGATTCACTCGACGTTTTTCTCTTCGCGCTTTTCAACGAGAACCAGAAAACGGGGCCCACGTCGGAGAGGAACTACGGGTTGTTTTATCCCAGCGAGAAGAAGGTTTATGATATTCCGTTGACGGCGGATGGGGTCAGTGACGCGCCGTCCTCTGGCGTGGGGAAGAGCCAGACTCCGGTGAGTGGGGACGTATCAACGACGTCCCATCAGGGTCAGACTTGGTGCGTGGCGAATGGCGGTTCTTCAGAGGAGAAGCTGCAGAACGGTCTTAACTACGCATGTGGAGAGGGTGGGGCTGATTGCACTCCGATTCAACCCGGTGCCACGTGTTACAATCCTAACACGTTGGAGGCCCATGCTTCTTACGCATTCAACAGTTACTATCAGAAGAAGGCACGTGGGGCTGGCACGTGCGATTTTGGTGGGACCGCTTATGTCGTTACCCAACCTCCCAGTAAGTATTACTATCATCAATTGTTGTTTGCTGGTATAAAGATTTTTAAAAACATCCTTTTTTAGGAAGAAATTAGACGTGCATTGGATTGAATTATCATTTATCATTGTTCATGAATCTGTGTTTAAAGTGTGTTTGGTGAATTTGTGTTGCAGAGTACGGGACCTGCGAATTTCCCACCGGATACTGAGTGGAGAGAGATGTATGTGGCCAGAGTTTTTAGAACCTTTCTTTCGTATTCTTCCATTCATTACACGTGTTTAGGTTTTGATAAATAAAGTTTTATTATTATTGCTTTGGGTTACTGATTTCTTGACTCATTTATTTGTAATTATCTCTATTTATTTTAATTAAAAAAGTTGGTTTTAAACTTGTACATCTTCTTTACGTTTCTTTGATACATTTATATAACAGCATAGCAAGCAATGGAAGCTTCTTTGAAATTTCTAACATTTATTTAATTTGAAGCTTTCATCAGCCGTTCTAAATATTAAGGATAGGTGAGAATATTGATTGAACTCATCTTTTGATGGGTCATGAACATGGTCCAAACTAATTGACAATGGGCTAAGTCCATAGCTTATAAGTACCCAAAAATGTAAAAAAAAAAAGAGAGTCACAATCTCCTATGCTCTAGGCCCTTGATAGTCATACTATATTTTGTGTTCTATCCTTTGTTTGTTAACATAAAATCATTGCGTACTTGTCATATGTATTCATCCTTATGTACTTTAAAAATAACTCAAACTTGATTTCATGTTGAAACATTAATCATCGCTGCCAATAACATTTACAGAACAAAATATTTAAGTTTAATCTTTACAAATTTTTTTTGTTAGTTTTAATTGTTTTTTCACTGTATTTTTTAATGTAACTTTAAAAGTGAAAAGTAATAAAGGAATTCTTAAATTAATGTTTATTTTTTAGTTATATTTTTAGTATTTTTTTTCTTTTTTTCTTAATTTAAAATGTAGTTGTTGATTATACTTGTTAATACTTTAAAAAAAAAAAAATTACATAGTCTATAATAAGGATTGAATAATAATTATTAGGACATATAGATAATATAAAAGTAATAAATATTTGTACTAATATTTAAAAATACAAAATTTTATTTATAGGAACTAATGGAAATGTATACTTTTTTTAATTTATTTTGTGTGCTTTTTTTTAAATATATTTATTTTTTTCTCATATTTTTATTATTTTTAAATATATAGATCGTAATGATTATTTTTTTAAGTATAACGTTTTTTTCTTTCTAAAAAAATCATTATATATATAGAGAGAGAGTTATAAATTACAATGTTTAAATTAAATATATTGTATGAAATATAACATTTTTTTTAATCAAATTATTAAACAATTAATATATTTTATTTGTTATATAGTTATTAAAATTGTTATCCAGCTTGATTATAATTAGTTGGACTAAAAAATTCATTATCAAAAAATATAATTAGTTAAAACATGTTTAAAGGTTGTATTCAACAATCCTTTACATCTCCACGTTCACCATTCCAACGTGAACTTGTCAAGTTTACAAGTTATTTTTTATTTCGTTTTATTTAAGTGGACCGAAAATAGTTGAAGCGTCTTTGTTCAGATTTTACTTTGAGCTTTCAACGACCAAAGTCTTGGGGAAAAAGTGTGTGGGCTATTAGCCCAAATGATTACGAAGCCCAAAACAATTTAAATATATTGACTTTTAAAGAGACTTAATTTCTGGGGAAACAAGGAAAAAGAGATTGAAGAAATTAGTGTTTGTGATGATTGTTAGTTTAAAGAGGGTAGTTATGGAGAAGTATGAAAATAATTGAAAGGAGGGAAACCTAATGAGAAATTGATGGATGGAAGAAAGTGAAGGGTGGTGCATTGGAAGAAAGAATAATAAAAGCGGAACCGACCACCCCCACCCCCACCCCGCAAACGTGGCCAAGGCACCGAAATGTTGTTGCGTGAGAAAAAGCGCGGGTGCATAATTTTCCCGCGCACCCTGAATCAGTGAAGCAAAAGAAAAAGACAAAAAAGGGATTGGACTTCACTTCCCACCATTCCATCAATGCGTTTCCCGAGCCACCTGCTTCCGCAACTGCCGTGCCCGTTTCGCAAGGAATTTTTTTTTAAATTAATATAAATAAAATTACATGCTACATGCTAAATTGCCGTTGTCCCCACTATAATAAATTCTATTCAAAAAATATTTTCCTATGAATTATATTTTACAGAAATAATTAAATATATTAAAATTATCTTTTTATCTTCACTTTTTTTTTAAATCAATACTGCCTTATCTTCATGTTTTAAGATATAAAAAAATGGGTGTAGTGAAAATAATAATAATAATACGCGAGAATATGTTCATTAATACTGTATTTTATTATTTATTAAAAGTTATATGAATGGTATAGCAAGGAAAGGATGAATTTATCTCATTTAATTTGAACTAACTCACGTGAACTTCATTCAATAATAAATGTTGGATCTGAATATATAAATTTTCTAAAATATATTAAAATGATATAGAAAGAAATTTAGTTCAATTCAACTACTTAGGACAATTATCTTGGAAGGGGAAATTTTATTTTTAAGTGAATTAAAAACACCTAATATCAAAAGACTAAATAAATACAACTAAATATATTTTCAAAATAACACAAAATTTATAAGGAAATTCCTTTCTGATAAAAAATAAGAGACTAACACTTGAACTAAAGCAATAAGATGATGACATTTACCTTGCAACAAAAAATTGTAAAGTGAAGAAAGTACAAGTTTTCCAAAAATGGAAAAAAAAACTTACCTTGCAATAGAAAATATGTTAGTCTACTTTTGTCATAATAAAGAAAGATAAAAAATCTTGCTTTATTTTATTATATAACCTAGAGTGATAAATTATGTTTAATGCTTAAATTGACACTTTTTTCTATCTGAAGAGACATGTCAAGAAAACATACTTCAAGTTATAATGAATACTTTTAAAATATTTTATTATAAACTCTTAGTTACCTTATATATATATATATATATATATATATATATATATATATATATATATATATATATAAGGAATTGTTGAAACTTAGTGCTTTTTATTTGGTATGAATGTTTAACTTTAATTATATTACTTCTTCAAATTATATAAAATAAAAATAAAAACTAGTGATTTATTGCATTGGCAGTAACTATTTTTTTTTTGTCTTTAAATGTCACTTTATATTCAATCCAATCAATTACCACCCATCTTTTTACTTTCAACTAATATATCTACTAACTTTTGGAATTCATTACTTTTTTTTTCAATAATTTAATAAAAATAAGTACTTGGGTTGGGTGGATAAACATGCAAAGTCTTGGTGTTAGTTTTGTTGTACAATTACAAATTTAAAATAAAATTTTTTAATTTGTAAATATTTTTCATCCATTAATTTGGTATATTTTCTTTGCGATTCTTATAAAAAACGTAGAAATTGACCATTTAAAAAAGTACATTCTTTTCTATAACTTTTTTAAAGAGAAGTTGGATGAATGTGTGAATCAATTTTATAAATAACATGTTAAGAAAAGTATTTATAATAAAATATTTCTTAATTTATTTATTTAATTAAATATATTTATTATTTGTATATTATTTTTTGTCTTTCTCCTTTTATTTTATGTCTTTTATTTATTTTTTATTCTTCTATTTATACTTTTAATTCAAAATGTTATATTAAAATTTAATAAAAGTATGTTAAAATAATATTTTTAAATTAATAGTGAATTTAAATAAATTATTAATTATTTAAAATTGTGATGATAGTAAATAAATTTGTTTATAATGATAGTAAATAATTGATTTAAATTTATTTTATGATATTTTTTAAATATGAATTTAATAATGTAATATAATTATAATTAAATTGAGTTATGATGATTAATAAAATTAAGTAGTTTAACAAATATTTATTAAAAAAACACTTTAAAATAATTATTAACTTTTTTTAATAATTATAATATATTAATAATAATATTTGTAATAATTTAAAATTTATCATTTAATATTTTTTAAAATAAAATATATTAAATTATAGTATTTATAAATAATTTGAAATTTTTAATTTTCTGAAAATAGTAAAAAATTATTTCATCAAATTTCAATATAGAATTTCTCATTAGAAAAATAAAATTAAACGGGAAAGATGAGAGAAGAGGAAAATAGAAGGAGAGAGAGAAGAAAAACATGCAGTGAATGAGATGATAAAAAAAAATAAAGAAATAGAAAAAAAATTGTAAAGATATTTTTATTTTTTATTATTAAATTTTATATATAAATAATAAATAGAATTTCTTTTTATTATTAAAGTTTATATATAAATAATAAATAGATTTAGTTAGGTAAGTAAATTATTATAAATATTTTTTAAAGATATTATTTATAAAATTGATCAGTAGTGTTAATTTATTTTTGTTTACTATAAGGAAAAAAATAATTTAATTATTAAAAGAAAACAATTTTGAAGATATTATTTTAATATTTAGTACAAATTTATAAAAAAACTATATATTTAATTATACATATTTTATTTTATAATAAAATTAAAAGTATATATTGATACATTGTCTTTTATGTTACCACATAAATAATAACATCAGTAGAAGGAGTTAAAAAAAAAAAAAATCCTATAAAGTAACTGATGTCATCACTGTGACTGTGTTATTTGAAAAATGTAAAATAAATATCCTTTTAACGCCTTTGACATTAGTAAAAATGAATATTTGACATTACCTATAATCTTTAAAGAGATTATGGATAATACTCTTTATTCTTTTAAGCACCTTGGTATTGTCATGCTTGTCCTCTGATGGAAAAAATATTATCAATTATTTTGAAATCCCTACTTTTAGAAATATCAAGTGTAACATTGACGAGGTTACCAAGGGTTTCTCTGGTTTTTTTACAAGTGGAGGCATATTCCATGGAACGAGGGAAGAACTCTTAAGTGATTTCTCTGTGGGAGTTAACTACAACTATGTGTGGTATTATTAACTGATTTGGGTTTTATTAACAAAAAAAATACAAGCCTTAATTGTTGGTTACTTAAAAAAAAGAAAGCTGAATAAAGTGAAAAGTACCAATTGTTCAGTAAAATTCTGTCGAATTTCTTACCCACAAACAAATACCCTTTTTGCTTTATGCAAGCAAAGGGTCAAACATGAAAATCACAGAGTTTTTTATTTTTCTGATAATTTTATTATCATCATCTATGCAAGTAAAATGAATAAACATACATTTTCAAAACTAATTTGAGTATGATTATATTGTTCACGTGTAAAATTCAACCCAACAAGACTGTATATTTCGATTTAATTATTTAAGACCACAGAACTACTCTCAATCAATGACAGTTCCTTTTCACCTTAGTCAAATGGATATTATTGTAATTGGGCATCTTTATAAAAAGGTGAAGAAGTAGCAGCAATCTGAACAGCATATTTCAGCAGTAGGACTTGACAGTTCCAACATCAAAATATCAATATGTAGTTTTCTTTGGTTTAAATTTAGGTTTGAGTTAATTACTGGCACGTTGGGCAGAGAAAAATGGCAGAGAAAAGATAAAAATAACAAGGTGAAAAACCATTAACATTTTTGCTCCAAATGAGACTTATGATTCCATGCTTTTCTTACCATTTTTCTATTGTTTTTTTTTTTATCAAACAAAAGATTTAAAACAATATTGTTATTAACTTTTTATTCACCATCTTTAATATATGAAACTTTGAATTTTCTCGAGGGTTCTTATATTCCAATTTCTGCCAAACTTTCCACTGTGACCTTGATTCTATCATTTGGATTCACCTCACATTAAATATTATCGCTGATATCAAATTTTGTTGGTGATGTCTTTTTTTGTCGAACAATAGGGTCTAAATTTTATTTATCAAAAATCATTATCACAGCTTGTTTTTAAAGTTAACAAATTGTTTAACTTCAAAAACTTGAGTTTATATATAAGCTTTATTATATTCGTATTTATCCTCAACCATATAAATTATGACGCCCTTTCTTTTCTTTAGTTTTGAGGCGCTGTTTGGTTGATGATATATAAATGAAAAGAAAAGAAAAAAAAAAAACACCGTGCTTCTTGCAAAATGGAGAATCGTAGAAGTTTATGTTCCTTAAATGATAACGGTGTTTGGCAGAATCAACTTTTATTAGTTTTTTCAATTGACAAACTTGTGTCTAATCTATGCTTCTTTCATTAATTTGAAAAAAATAACGAAAACATATCTCGTATTTAATGGAAATAATTATTTTGTTACACACAACTACTATTTTTTTACATTATCAAATGCACATTTTTAAAAATATTAAGTAAAATTCAACTAGCCAGAACTTTCTTAAATAATACAATGATGTAGACTTAAAACATGGCAATTTTAAGTCTGTTGGAGACAAATTAGAGAGAAAACGTGTCTAAAAATATTTAGGTATCGACAAACTTCATACTAAAGTTTTTATATATATAATTTATTACTTTTTATGATATTTGTTTAACAATTTAAATTTGATAAACAAACTTTAATAATTAAACATTTCAATCCATCTTACTCGATAATTCATTATTTTATAATACAGGTAATATCAACAAAATAGAAAATATTAATTAATTTTTTGTTATAATTTGAAAACATTGATTATATTTTATTAAAAAATTAAATATATTTTTATTTGTTAATATATATATTTTTTAAATAATAATCATTTAAATATAATATTAAATATATTTATTAATTATTTGATATGAGGTTCAAGCATATGCTGAAAGGAATAAATGAAAAAAATAATGTAATGGAGTCATGTGAAACCTGTGAGCATACGAAGGTGCATTATTTTATCTTTCTCCCTCTCCATTTTAAATCTCATTGCTTCCATGACTAAAAAAAAAAAACTTATTTCCCTTTAGAGAATAACACATAAAGCACAAAATATAGAAATAATCACATAAAATATTTATTTTAAAAAAAAAGTAATTGAGTTAAGTAAGCAATTTTTCAATTGTTAAAATATCCTTCAAGATTTATATGGATTAATTGAAAAGTCTTAAAATAGAAGTTAGGTTTTGAGATAAAGACAGAAGATTTAAATTTCCATGTAAAAAGTTATTGAACCGTTTTTTTTATGGACTATTTTCTTTGATGGTATAATATAAAATAAATGTTGGTAAAAATAAAGATAATGTTGTGGAGTGTAGAAATAGGTTGAGTTCACACCAATAATTACAGGATTAATTTTCTTAGAAGAAAGGAAGTTCACACCACATATTAAAAATATAAAATAAAAAGATATTTAGCCGGCTATAAACTGCACTTGGGCATGACATAGTTTGCTCATTCGCCCTCAGCCGAAATATTTGAAATGAATGAAAAAGAACAAAACTCGTTTCTTTGTCAAAAATTGATCCAAATCCATTATTACATGGTAAGGAAATAACATTCATTGATTAATATTTAAGATACTGATAAGATCATTCATTTGTTGCATTGCATTTACCCTTCTCTGTGCTCATTGGAAATAAAAATAAAAATTTGATATCATGAGAGGGACCTCACCAAATCAAAAAGTACACCAACCAAGAATAGGCAAATTTACCTCCAAGGGACACTATCGTCCTTTCACAAGATCCCTTAACTCACTCTTCGAAATTTGAAACCAAAAATTAAATAATAAAAAAGATAAAGGAGGAAATAAAGAAAGCAAGAGAAAGGGTCAGTTTGAAGGGAAAGGTAAAGAAATCGAGAAGATAAAATAAAATAATAATAATAAAAAAAAAGGTAATCCATGAGGAGAGAAGAAAAACGCGAACACGAACACGCTTAACGTCCAATTTTTTATTTATTTATTATTTAATTATGAATATTATATTTTTGTGTGTTAGTGTGTAGTTGAAGGAGCAGAAGAAGAAGAGAAGGTGGTACCGCCTTCAATTCTCTCTCTTCTTTCTCTCTCCTCTTCTCATCCTCATCATCTTATACCTCTTCTTCCATCTCCATAACACACATCCACCACTTGTGAAAAACCCATTAATATCACACACACCCTGACATGTTTCTCTGAGGCCCAATCCAAGACCGCACCTTGTCGTGTTGGACCAACCTGGGTGTCTGTCTTTTTTTCTTTTTCTGATTTTTTATTAATTTCTCCAAAGAGATGCGGAAGGGAAGAGGAGGGGCCGCGTCGGTGGTCACGGCGGCGGCTGCGGCAGCCAACGGACCTGTTTTAAAGGAGCCTCGGTACCGGGGCGTGAGGAAGAGACCGTGGGGGAGGTTCGCGGCGGAGATCAGAGACCCGTTGAAGAAAGCGAGGGTTTGGTTGGGAACCTTCGATTCTGCTGAGGAAGCTGCCCGAGCCTACGACGCCGCCGCTCGGACTCTTCGAGGACCCAAGGCCAAAACAAATTTTCCCCTCTCACACCCTTTTTGCTATCCGCACCCCACCACTGATCCTTTCTACTATGCGGGTTTCCACGACAACAACCACAACAACCTTAACAACCCTCAGAGACCCACCTCAAGTGGCATGAGTAGCACCGTTGAGTCCTTCAGTGGGCCCCGCCCTCCCACTGCCGCCACTACTGCGGCTCCTTTTTTGACCGCTAAGCGGAGATACCCGCGCACTCCCCCTCTCGTCCCCGAAGACTGCCACAGCGACTGTGACTCCTCCTCCTCCGTCGTTGATGATGGCGATAACATCGTCTCCTCGTCGTTCCGCCCTCCGCTGCCCTTTGATCTCAACGCGCCGGCGTTCGACGACACCGCCGATGACGACCTGCGCTGCACCGCGCTTTGCCTCTGATCGTGCGATGATGGTTTTTAATTTCTGATTTTTTTTTCACTCTTGATTTTTTGTTATTGCCATGCGGAACAAATTAAAATGATGATCAGATGTAAGATTATGGTAATATGATCTTAATTCTGTGAGAGGGAGATTCCGTGATTGGGTATATTTTCTTTTCTTTTTTTAATTTTATTTGGAAAGCAATATTGAACGAAAAAAAGAAAAGAAAAGAAAGAGTAATCATGAATTATGATATGTTTGTTGAAATAGTAATGTGTGTATGCATTGCTCCCACGGATCTCTTTCTCTCTTTCTCGCAGTGTGTATTCTAGTACCAGTTAAGAAATTCAGTGTTGCTCTAACTTAGATTTAGTTTCGTTCTAGTTCCCTTGGATATGTTTTCGTTACCATTGGTTGGTGTTCCGAACATGGTTTCGTTTATTTTGTCTTCATTTCCTGAATTTCCAGTGTTAGAAATTATTTAACGCCCCAATTGAATTTGTTCTATTCTAAGTGAGTTTTTTTGGTGGCTTTTGCGGTAGCTTAGGGCTAAGTTGTGTTTTTTAGTTTGATTTTCTTCCTTATCTTTACGACCAAGGGTATATAAAAAAAAGAGCGTTTTCAAAAGGAAGTTTGTTTGGTGAGTGATAATTTGTTGTTTTGCCTTTTCTTGTTTTGGGAGCAATGGCAACAGGAAAAGAACTATGATTTTGCCTCCGATGGCACTCAAGTTGTTTGGCAGTGTGGGTTATTTAGATCTAGGTGTGAATGATTGGAATAGGACACGGATAAAAATGTTTTTTTTTTTTTTTTTTTTTTTCTTTTGTGGTGGTGACAGCATGATGTATTACAAATAAGATACGAATTAACCTTAATTATATAATAATATATAAATGATTGAAATTTAGTCATATCTATATTTAATAGTTGATTTTATACCCGATTATGTAATTAGTTGTGTAATTATTAACTTCTAACTATGACCCATGTACGTGTAATTCATGTGAATTGTTATATACAAGAAATTTGATTCAGTGAAATTTGTTACTTTGTCGAGCATGAACGATTCACTAATTGCTTCAGTGGCGGTCATTGTGCAAGAAATATGCAGGTGGTTGCTACATAAATCCAAAGAAATTGATGTGAGACATTTGTTGCAGGCTTTGGGTATATCATTCTAGATTGAATACTCTGAATATGTCACAATTTGACATTGTTATTCCTAGATTCAATGCTTTGCTTTCAATTTCATAGTACACTGTTCTGTCTATCACATCAAAGAAGAAAATAAGGCATCGGAAGCTATTAAAATGGAATCCCGTTTCAAAGAGTTGGTTTATTGCATAGTTTTCCTGAGCAGCAATAGGATCTCATAATTTGTATAAAAATATTAACATTATAATTTTCATGTCAGGGTGCATTTATAAGTCAGGATATAAACTGCCATAGAAGGCCATTTGGGTACTACTTCATAAGGGTATGGTGACACTAATTATATGAGGTATTATACGCAAAGTAATGTTGCCCAGAGAACTTTTATTCTTCTATAATGTCTTGTGCATGTTGCTGAGACATGTTGGTGGCATGTTTATATACATTTCAGAGTTAGGCACCACTGCATTTCATTGCATTCCACATTACTTGGTTAGCGTGTGAGTTGGTTAATTAGCTGCTTCTATGGGAGGTCTTAATTTATAGGTCAAGGTGGGTGAAAAATATATCTTACCTACAGTTTTGTTGGTTTATAATATTTAGTAATTAACATATATAGAACTTGCGTTATGTTATTGTAACTTGAATCACGCATTTTATTGGTTAAATCTTAATGATGAGGTAAATATACTTCCTCAACCATGGAAATAAAGCAAAATCCCCAAATCCAAAGCCACAAATTGAATGAGAACATTGAAGGCACAAAGATGAGGCAAAAGGGGATCAAGGTGAAGGGAATAATACACTCACATTGTGATGAGCAAGGATTTTTATGTGAGGGGTGCTCACTGCTCTCTCTTCTCCTCTTTCATTTATTTTCTTGTATTTAGGTACAGAGGACTTTATTGTATCCTTGGATTTGTTTATGGTCCTTTGTTTGTAAAGCGGAAGAGAGAGAGAATATAAGAGAAGAAGTAGAGAATATATTATTCTGAAATCTTACAATTTTCAAGATTATTCGCGGAAACAAGGAAAAGCTGGGAACTTAGGCTATGAAGGAGTTGATTGAGGAAGATAGAGTTTAAGGCTCTGAGAGAGCTGTAAATTCTACTTTAGCAACTGACTCTTTTATAGACCTTAAGATTTTCCTATTCAATTATACAACTGACATACTAGTAACAAGTGGGTGACCAAAGACATAATTACAAGAGACACCTGTGCTAAAACAAAAGATAATTACAACTGACACGCTTTTACTTTCGGCGGCCGACACTAAAAACAAAATTACATAATTACAATGGCTTTTCTTTCAGCTTTGTGGGTCCCCATTTTCTTTGCGTAGGGAATCCACTGACTCTTCTTCTGAAAGGGGAACGATAACATCTGTTGGGCGATGAGCCAGATAAGCCCAGCTTCTTACTAAGATGCTTTTTCTTAGAGAGATATTTCATGAGGATCTTCTTCTAATTTCTTCATAATATTATGAATTCTTCTTTGCAGTTCTTTTTTGGTTGGATGAATTAGTTGCTAGAACTGATCAAAATCAACATTTTCTTCTTCGTCTTCATAAGGATCTTGTGCATCTTGAATATTAATGATGACTTCGTTTTCTTCTTCTTCTTCATCGGAGCCCAAAGAGGATAATGCTTCGAGCATTTTTTGTTTTAATTGGGCTTTTTCAATTTTTGATGAGAGGAGTTGTGTTAAGTCTATAATGTATTTTCCTTTTTCTTTTATTGAGGGTATTTCTTTTGGTATTGAGCCTTTTTTACTAATAAGGCTCATTTTCTTCCAATTTTCGAATTTTTCTTCTACATACTGGACTTCAAATTTCTTCCACCAAAAAGCAGAGGGTTTTTGGGTATGTTTCGTCTTTATGTTGATGGACTTCAGGAATGTGGCCCAAAAGCCAGCTTATTCCCATAGTTGAACAGAATTTTATAATTCGAAGATATGGAGGGTATTGAGGAGTAAGGTTTTTGTATTTCTGATATATTTTCATGATTTTCTCGGGAATTATTGCCTGAACAGGACCTATTTGATTAAACCAGTCAATAAACCAGTTAGGTAATGAATTGGGTATTTCCTTTTTGAAACAGATATACTAGGAATGCCTAGGGTTTGTGTCGAAGAGTATTTTGTTCTAGGCTTCTTGGTAATCAAAGTAATTATAGGATGGGGGTCAAAAGGCCTCGAAAAGCTCTTATCAGTGAATGGATGTTGATTCCATTCTGGGTAGGAAATTATTTTAATAATTCTTAATTTTGAGTAACTAATAATAGAGGGATCTCTATCATTAGGGATGCGAGTTATTTCAGCCGAGCCGGTATTTATTAAAATGAATTGGTAGAATTTTTTGGTTTTCTTTAGATTTTCTTATCTAGGGATCCAACTCCAACCTAGAGGAACTAACCTTTTAAGTATTCCATATACATCTTCTGTATTCCAATCTTCTTTTAGAGTGATTATCTTCTGGCATCCTTCTTTTATATGGAATTCTTTCTTCGGGGTTGTTTCAGGGGAAGTATTCTGAGCTTTTTGTGGGGTTAATGGAGTAAATCTGTTGGGGAGAGTGGTTATTGAAGTAGGAAGTTTTCGGGTAGCTATTGTTTTTGAATATGAGGGAGCAAAGTCATCTAGAGACAATGTAGATGACTTAGGATTTTCTGTTTTATTCTTTTCAGGGGTATTTAGTTTTTTAGAGGGGTTGCCATGGGAGTGGCCCCGCAAAAATTCTCTTGTTAGAAAATCCGGTATTGAATTTTCTTTTCCTTTTATAAATTCTATTTCAAATTCAAAGCAAGATAATAAACTTTGCCATCTTGCAAATATTTTTTTTGAAACTATATTTTTTACATCTTTTTCTAAAACTTCTTTTGCAGATTTACAATCAATTATTAATAAAAAAAATGTATTTATGAAATCATGTTGAAATTTTTGTATATTTAAAACTATGCTTAAAATTTCCTTTTTAATAGTGCTATAATTTCTTTGGGCTTCATTCCATATTCCTGAGTGATATCTTACTATTTGTTCGGGAGTATTAGGTAAATGTTGTTTTAATATTCCTCCATATCCCATATCGGAGACATCGGTTTCTATAATTATTTTTGCTTCGGATTAGATATTCCTAGACAGGGTAGAGTCTTAACTAATTTTTTGACTTCTATTACTATCTTAGTCATTTCGGGGTCCAAGGTTTAGGATTTTTTCTTAATCTATTGAAAAGAGGTTTACATAATATTCGAATATTAGGTATAAATTCGATACATAGTTTAAACATCCTAAAAATCTTTGTAATTGCAATTTATCTTTTATTTCATCGGGAAATTTTTTCGCAAATTCAATACTTCTTTTAATAGGGGTTATAGTTCCTTTATTTATTTCATGACCTAAAAATCTAATCTGGGTTTGGGCTAGTTTTATTTTCTTTTGTGATATTACCATTCCATTGGTTTTTATAATATTTTTAAATATTCTTAAATGTTTTTTTATGTTGTTCTATTGATTCGGAGAATATTAATACATCGTCAATGTAGACAATGACAAATTTTGAGTAAGGGTTTAGTATATCATTCATTATTTTTTGAAATTCTGAAGGCGCATTTTTTAAACCCATAGGCATTACATTCCATTCGTATTGCCCAAAAGGTACAATAAAAGCAGTTTTATATTTATCTTGTTTTTTTATTTTAATTTGATAATATCCACTCTTCATATCAAATTTAGAAAATATAGTGGCTTTATAAATTCTGCTTATTAATTCAGTTTTATTAGGTAGATGATACCTAATCCATTTTAAGACTTTATTTAGAGGTTTATAATTTATTACCATCCTTGGTTCTCCTCTTTTTAATTCGGAGGCATTTTGTACATAGAATGCAACACAACTCCAATGAGATTTGCTTGGTCTAATAAGTTTTTTATCTAAAAATGATTTTATTTTTTTTCTACAGTATTCTAGCGTTTCTTTATTTAGTTGTACTGGTTTGGCTTTAGTAGGAATATTCTTTTCTAAAAATCCTTCTTCATAGGGTAATTCTATTTCAAAAGTATGTCTATTCCAAAAGGCGTAGGAACCTCTGCACATACTTCTTTTATAATTTCTTGTTCTATATTTTTAAAGGATGTAATTACTTCGGGATTTTTTAAGCTGTTCTTCTATTCTTTTGTATGCTATTTCTTGTTTTAAATATTTTATATGGGTATTTTTAGCTTCTAATTTTAATAGAAAGTTTTCTTCATTTACATTAGTCACTAATTGTATTTCTTTATTTTTTATTGGTTTAATGAATTCGAATAAAAGGTTTTTATGTTTTATTCCTTGTTCGGATACTTCAAAAGGGTAAATTAATGATAGAAATGGGGTTCCTAATATCATTTCTTCACTAATATCAGGGGTTAATCTAAAAGTATTTTTAAAACAAGTTCCCTTATTACATATGCTAACGTTTGACAATTTATATTTTACTTTTAGTTTTCAGAGTTGGCTGTTCTTAGGGTTTGTAAAGTTTTTTCATAAAATTTTGTAGGTATCAATTTTTCTTTTATACGAGTTTATATCGGCTCAGAATCTACTAAAGTCTGTAAATTGTTTATGAAAACTATTTCCAATTTTTAATGTAGCTTTTATATGCCATTTTTGTTGTAGAATTTTTAGTTGGTTAACCTTCTCAGAGGTTGATTCATTATTTAAGATATTTTTATTATTTATAATATTCATTTTTTCTTCTTGTATTTCATTTTTTATTTTTAATTCTACTAATTGAATTTTGATTTCTTTAATTTCTTCTTTTAGAAGGCTTATTTCTTTTTGTAAATCTTGTAAATTTACAGATTTTTCTTTGTTTATTGCTTTACGTAATATTTTGGAAAAATCATAACCATTTACTTCGTTTGGTACTGTTTCTGCTTCTTTCTCACTTAATATTAATGTTTTTAAACTAGTTAAATATTCTAGTTTATCTTCTTCATTTGTAAGTTTATCTACCATTTCTAGAGCTATTTTAGTTTCTGTAGTTAGAACATTTAGGTTAAATATACAGTCACAATTTTCTTCATTCTCATTTTCACTTGTAGTATGCTCATCTTCACTGCTACTAGGTTCTATTAGATTATTAATGTCTTCTTATGACTCATATAACAATATTTTTGCGATTTGATTTTTGGTTTCTTCACTCATATCTAAGTTTTGTATTCGTTCTCTTACTCTACAATCTTTTTTCATGTGTCCGTATCTTCCACATTTATAACAAACTATTCCTTTCTCGGGATTAGATTGATTATTATTTGTAGATGTGTTTGTTCTTATTTTTCTTTTAAAGTTTCTAGGGATGTTTCTATTATTATTCTGAGAGAATTTTCGTTTAATTATTTGTTTCTTTATTTTTCTGGAAGGGGGATCTAATAGTTCGTATCCATATTGTATACAAAAATCTCCTAATTCTTTTGTACCACTTTCTTATTGTCTTTTAATATGCTTTTCTAATTTTAGATTATTACATATTTCTAAAGCAGTGTTTTTAATAGTTGAAATTATTTTTCCATAGGTTATATCTTGTAATGGTTCAGGGTATTTTTGAGCTAATTTTTCTCGTACTTTTGTTGCGAATACTGGGGGTAGTCCCGCAATAAATCTTTCTTTCCAAAAAGTTTCTTTACAATCTGTTCTAGTCATTACCATAATTATAAAATTATCTACATACCATCTAAAATTTCCTAGAGTGGGACACCTTAGATTATGTAGCAGGGTACTCGTTTTTTCTTCAAAAGTGTTAGAGTCGCCCATAAAATTATGGATGATTGAAATTATTAGGGTTTCTACCATTAGAGGTATTTGATTATTTCCTTCTTGTTTTACTGCTGTTAAAATGAATCTTCTTTGGTCTGTAGTCAGATAATTTTCCCACCATCCTTTAAAAATATAGAACAAGAAATTATAAAAGAAGTATGTGCAGATGTTCCTACCGCCTTTTGGAATAGACATACTTTTGAAATAAAATTACCGTATGAAGAAGGATTTTTAGAAAAGAATATTCCTACTAAAGTCAAACCAGTACAACTAAATAAAGAAACACTAAAATACTGTAGAAAAGAAATAAAATCTTTTTTAGATAGAAAACTTATTAGACTAAACAAATTTCCTTGGAGTTGTGCTGCATTCTATGTGCAAAATGCCTCCGAATTAGAAAGAGGAGAACCAATGATGATAATAAATTATAAACCTCTAAATAAAGTCTTAAAATGGATTAGGTATCCTCTACCTAATAAAACTGAATTAATAAGCAGAATTTATAAAGCCACTATATTTTCTAAATTTGATATGAAGAGTGGATATTATCAAATGAAAATAAAAGAACAAGATAAATATAAAACTACTTTTATTGTACCTTTTGGGCAATAGGAATGGAATGAAATGCCTATGGATTTAAAAATGCATCTTCATAATTATCCGCGAATAATATATTTTTTTACTAATTTTTGTTAAAATTTTTAAAAACTTTTTAAAATCTTATATTCCTCTGTATCTTCGTATCTCTTAGACACCTCCGTAACTCTTTCATTTTCGTTCTGTTATCCTTCTATTTTCATTAAAGATAATTTTTAACAAAATATTCATTTTAATATTGATGAAAAGTATATATAAAAATTCAGACTACTCAGTCTGAAATACATTTTTAAATCTGAAATTAAATTTTAAAATAACTAATCTATAACAACTAATATGAAAATATATTTTATATTAATTGTTTCATAATCCATTTATAAATTAAATGTTCTGAAAATACATTTTGAATTAAGTGTTTTAAAAAAAATTAATATAACTAATCTAAAACATATTCTGAGAATAACTACTTCATAATTTATTTTTATAAAAGTCAATTTACAATAATTTTTAGAACACTTAATCTAAAAATAGTTTCTCATTTTCAAAAATGGATGTATCATAAATGAATTTTAAACTAATTATTCTAAAAATGAGGGTGAGAACAGTTAATCCAAAATAAACAGGAAATAAAAAATATAGTTTCAAAATATAATAATATAAAAATAAAGTAAAATTTATTTTAAGTACTGAGACGCGTAAAAAAAATTATGGACGAGCATAATTTGTCTGAATTAATTTGATAAAAAGGAAAGAATTGAAAAAAAAAGTTAAATTGTTTATAAAGTGTTGACTTATCCACTCACTGATCATTAAAAATGATTTTGGACATGATAAAGCACTGTAATCACATCACAAATTAAAAGTTTTTTCTAACCTGGCATGTTTTGAATAAAAAATATATTTATATTTTAAAAAAATACATAATTATGTAAATATTTTTTAAATCTTACTATTTCTGCATGTTGAATTACTATTACCATTAATACTTAAAAAAATGTTTTTTAATTTTAATTATTTTATTTGAATATAAAAATAATCCGCAGGTCAACTCATTAGACTGTAGCGAATAAGAAAAAAATGTCAACCTAACGTTTTTTATCACCCTTAATTATTTGTATTAAGTGAAAATAATATAACTAAATGAAAAATAAAATAATATTTTCAAAATAATCTTACTTATTATTTTAATATATTTATTTAAATTTTTTTATTATAAACAAAAAAGACTAAAAAAGCACCTACTATTTACACGTGAGTTATATTTTAAAATTTTTGAAACTTTCTTCACAGAGTAGGTCACCCATTGTTTCTGCACAAATCCAAGTCCTTTCATCCAAACGGGATGGGGCTACCCACTGTTTTTATGCAAATCCACCCCTTCACATTCACCAATGTGATCTGAAAAGGGCCCTCAATAAAATCTTATAAAATTGTTGTCTATTTATTACTACTTTTATAAAACCCAAAGAATACTTTAAAACACAGAAGAAAAAATATCATTCATCTTATTAGTCTCAGCATTGTAATTTTTGGGATGTTACACAGGCGTTTACATTGCAAGGTGACCCCACAACTACCTTAATGTATTTTATCCAAGGCACAAAATGCAATAAAGCTAAGCATCGATACTTGGTGGTTAAGATCAGAAATCGCAGGGTTTTGTATACGTTCAGCAACCAAGGTGGTGTTGCAGTTGTCAGCTCCATCACCGGCAATTCTGGCACTATAGTTAGCAGCAAGAAGATCATTTTTCATCTCACCAAGGGCACTCCTGAACGAATTAATCACCCCATCGTAGTCAGAGGTTGCACATTCTTCAATGCCTGGATCATGTTTTCCCTCCACTAACCCCTTAAGAAAGTTTTGTCCTTCAATTCCCTTCTTCAACCCCAATTTCAGGATTGCCTCTGCAAGTTCAACAAAGTTTTTGGCGAGGACGATTTCAGGATCTCCTTTCAGGATTTTCATGCATAAGATGTTGTCTTCTATGGTTTCATTGCAAACTTGGTCAATCAGGTCAGGACCAACACCAAGCAGCTTGTGATGAACATCAGATCTGGCCTTTGTTGGCAAAGGAGAATGAAAAATGAGGATCAAGCAAAGAGTGAGGCACAAGGAACATACTGTTGAAGAATTCATTTTGTGGTGGGAAGTTCTAACAAGGGGCGAATGGATCGCAATCAGAGAGTGTGAATTAACTCTTCAAGGTTTTGAGTTCTTTTATAACGTTGCTCAATCACATAATAATTAATGCATTTAATATATCTATGCAATATTTTTAATTCCAACATAATGATCTTTCTCAAGGAAAGATTCAAGTTTCAATTTTGGATCAATTTCACACCCAAAAAATTATCATCTTGGAAATACAAGCTTCCCTGCATTTTTATTTGATTGGATGCTTCAGATTGATTATATTTTAAGCACTTCTTGAAACTTGAACAAACGAAACTGCACCGCTGGTCCAAGTTGAATATTATTTCGTAATATATCTGATAGATAAATTCTGTATTAAATATATAATATTTGAAAAGTTTAATAATATATTAACTATATTTTATTAAATACACCGTTACTTTTCATATTATTTTATAGTATTTTAAATGAATTATAACTTATACTGATATCTATTAAATAGCTTGAAATTTATATCAATTAATAATTTAATGAACAATCTATTATTTTTTATCCCTTCAACTAATTTCATTATGTAAAATTTGTTTAATTATGATAACACACAAAAAAACGTGATTAAGTAAAAACTCAAGTTAAAATGATTTTATAAAACCAAATTAAAAAAAAAAAGTAACATATACGCATATAATCCCAAACCTACAAATATTTACACTATCACCTAGCATTTTCCATAAAGTTATCCTGATTCTACTTAACTATCATAACAATTACAAAATAAATAAAACACGAGGATGATCTATCTTAAATATAAAGTTATATAACACAATTTTTTAACATATAAGAATAATCTATATAAATAAAAACAATTAATTTTTATTCAGAGAAATTGGTTGAGCTAAAATAATTCGTTAAGCGAAATTTTCGTTTTCTTCAACCGAATTCTTAAGAAATATAATCATTTTTTTCTCATGAGGAAGTATAGTTTTCTGTGTAAGATTATTTAATTGAGCAAATTTTGACTATAATTTGACCAATCCTTTCAGATAAAATTCTCTAAACAAAAATAATTCGTTAAAAGAAGTCTCAACTATTATTAACTAAACTACTATTCTATCAAACGAATAATAATAAAAAAAAAAACTCAAAACATATTCATAACTCTCCAAGATAAAATATTACCTTCATAACTTAACCAAAACCAAAATCAACTATCAACATTAAATCTTTGTTTACTTATTATTTTCAATTATAATTAATATAACTTATTTTCACTTATTAAAATTATTTTTAAGCATTTGTTGTGATTTTTCGTGATGATATATTATTTTATTTATTTAAAATATTTTTCAGAAATAGAATTATCAAACGATTTTCTTTCTTATTTATTTATAAAAATAATTTTTCAACATTTATCTCCATAATTATTTTTAAAAACTAAAAAGAAAAACAAAAAAACCCTAATTACAAATTACAATTCTCCTTCCTTATCCTACCGTTAATTCAAACCTATTTGGATGTAAACTGTTATCAGCCCAAATATTCCTTTTATTTATTCCCAAAATTTTAGTCTTACTCCATCAACTTAAACTCAAATATCTCACCCACTTAATCTTGAAACAAAATCACACAAATCATGTACACATATATTAAATATGTACTTAATTACCACTTGTTAAGTAATTTCACACATTTTGTTTTATTTTTAAAAGAAAAACAGGTACTTACGGTGAAGTTGTTAATATCGCTTGACTTTTATTAACAAAATTATGTATTCCATGTAATATTAACTATATAACTAACGAAAATAAAATAAATTTTTAAAAATATTTTAAATAATTAATGTAAGAAAAAAATATAGACGGACAGTTATTTTAACACCTATTTTGTCATTAATATAGATAAACTATCTCTTGATATTTATATGTTAAATCCAGAGTTAAACTTTTTCACAAATAAATAAATTAGTTGGTGATTATATGTAGGTCTATGAGTTATAAATAATAATAATAATAATAATAATAATAATAATAGACATTTTTTTTATTCTTTCACGTAGATATAGATTATTAGAGTTGTATTGTTTATTTTTAATTGATCATATTAATCCAATCTTATATTTATTTTTTATTTTCTACAAAAACCACATCCTAACAATATATACAAAGCATATATAACAATAAAACTTTTGACTAAAGTGGTAGATTCAGTTAGTTCAACATCTAATTAGAAGTTTTTAAGGATTAGAGAGAAAGATAAATAATAAAAGAAAAACAAAAGAGTCAGAGGAGAGGAATACTAATTATAAAAATGATCCTGAAAATAGTCAAATTAATATAAATTCCTACCTGATTGATTAAAATAAAAAGAAAGGATAGAGAGGTGTCAGGAACATCCATTTTTCAAATGAAGTCAAGGCAAGAATCTGAATAAGCAAGCAAAGAGAGTGCCAAGTTGAGACTTCGTACAAGCATTTGGTAATAATAAAAAACAAGGTTCGTTAAAGCACCATTTCTGTGCCCCCTCTGGTTAGTTTCTATCGCCAATACGACACCGTTAATGCGAGTCCTCCTCGTAGTTTAACCGAAAAAGATAAAAAGCGTTAAAAAGCAGCATCTCGAACACCGCGAGATCTCAAACCCGCAAGCTTTTAAGCTTTCAATGGAGTTCGACCCGATCCCAGTCGGTTCGTGCTCCAAAGAACACCAGACGATCTACAAGGACTGGTTCAATTACGCTGATTCAGGTACAGTGCATCACAGCACAACTCCTTTGTTAGTGATTTTTGTTTTCGTTATTTTTCTTCCGATTTTCCGGTCCTCTCAAAACATTTCACCGTGCACTTCGTTTTTCAGATAGCGATGGCCGCATTACGGGGAGTGATGCCACCAAGTTTTTCTCCATGTCCAATTTGTCTCGCGAAGATCTTAAGCAGGTTTTCTGTTTTTTCTCGTTTTTCTCTTGCACGGAAACACTTAATCAATATAGGTAGGAATTGCAAGTCATCGAAATCGTGAACCAAATTTCTTGGATAATATTTGATTGCTTGCTTAGGGGATGAAGTGAAAAGTGATAAAAGTTGTGCATTATTAACATGCCCTACTCCCTTTATTCTTTCCTCATTCATAAATTTAAGTGAGGCGCACCACTCCAACGCGTTATCATTTGACATTCAATTGTTTCTTCTTAATTAATGGTCTGGAGTTGCAGTCCGGGTTATTGGCTGTGTTGAATACCCACCCACTTTAAATTTGTCACCCCAAGTAGTTTTTATCTGACATTAGTAAAACTGCGTCCCATGAAGGATACCTGTAGTCACTGCAAAAAAAAAAAAAAAAAAAAACAAAGCTTGGTATTCCAGTGTGCATGCAATTGTAGAAAAATAAAATAAAACTGTGATTATATGCTTTCACAAGTCGGCGATTTTGGTTTAATGTATATACTATCATTCATTCCAAAAAATAAGGAACAAAATTTTGTTTAAAATACTATTTAAAATATTGTCAACTATTTAAAATGATTTTTTGAAACTTTTTTGCCAGCGAAATATTTTTATTACGCTTATTACATGACACTTCATTATTTCATGATAATATTTATTTTATACTGATAATTTACTAATTTTGAACTCTTACAATTTACCTCAAGTAGAAGTCAGCTTCGCAATTGTTTTATCTCTAACAACTGAATGGTTTAGGCAATTAATGGGTGTGTTGTTTAAATAATAAGTTGTACTTGCTGATAAGTATTTATTTTGTCTTTTTTTTTTAGCTGACCCAAGTGTTTTTTTGTTTGCCTAAGGTGTGGGCTATTGCAGATTCAAAGCGGCAAGGATATCTTGGTTTCTCTGAATTTATCATTGCTATGCAGGTAAAAACCATATGCATTTTTTGTACTTCAATGCAGATAAAATTCGAAATCTTACTCATTTGAAATGTAGCTAGTTTCTTTGGTTCAATCTGGGCACTCAATAACACCTGATTTGCGGACTGGTGATGGTAAGTTATGCATGTTTAGGTTTGTCTTATTATTTTGTTTGAATAACATTTTATTATTATTAGTTTATAATGCACATTCTTGTTGCTGAACCTGTCTACATGTGTTGATTCTGAATGTCTTCTTGCAGATTTAACCTAATGGAAGTTTACTTTTATTTCAGTTGATTTTACAGATCTACAACCTCCCATAATGGATGGTTTGGATGCATTACTAGTTGTAAGTATTTATTTCTAATGTCTTTTTTCTTTTTACATTGTTTACATTTTTATGCTTATTTTGTGAAGGTTCTGACCACTCAACTTTGTTTACCCAGAAGAAAAAGCATAAACATAAAGAGGTTGACACAAATGGTAATATATTTATCGTTTCATTAAATATGGTATTCATATTGATTTTATTCTCATATTTCTTCTTTCCTTTTGAATATCTAATCTAAGTTCAGTAATTGCAGGTAGTTCTCAATTGCAACTATCACCATCAAGTAATTGGTTTTCTTCAAAATCAACAAAAAAGGCAAGCACTCTGTTACTGTTAATTTGATGGATTTTTGTGCATTATCCTTGCCTTCCAGTCGACTAGAAAACATACCGAATATTCATTTCAAGTTTTCAAATAATGAGCAACTTGATGGTCATTATTGGTCTGCTTTAGGTTGTTCTGGTTTGGTTTAGTGTCATCTAGATCTTGAAAAGTGAATGTGAGAGACATCTGGTTTGGTTGCTCTCTATCTTCTATAAGATGATTAACCAAATATGTTTGGGTAATTATTAAGGGGCTGAAACCTACCTTATTCTTGGATTTTGATACAAGTGCTTAACTGATATTTGCCAATAATAGTAAGGTGCCTGATATTCAACATGTGAACATTGTTGTCAGTTTAAAAATTGTATTATCTAGTTTCTTCTTTTTGGCATGACAAAATGTGAATTTTGTCTCTTGGCAATCTCAACAACTAAATTTGTCTCTAATATTATATGAATCAAGTTAACATTTCCCTTAAGGTCATCGTACAGATATGTTCTCTAGGACCTTTTATCTGTATTTCTTATCTCCTTACTGTTGGCAGTTCTTTAAAATTGTTTAATATTTCTTTCATAGGTGCCTCTTTCCTCAGTGACATCAATAATTGACGGCTTGAAGACACTCTACCTTCAGAAGTTGAAGCCATTAGAAGCCACTTACCGTTTTAATGATTTTGTATCCCCATTACTGGTCCGTAAGTTATTTTGTTTAGGTTGTTACTTCGTTTTAAATATCTATAAAGTTATACAATTAGTTTTTTAATTGATTGTAATTTTTTACAATCTGTAGACAAATAGTGACTTTGATGCCAAACCTATGGTTATGCTTTTGGGTCAGTACTCAACTGGTAAAACAACGTTTATCAAACATCTGCTTAAAAGTAGCTATCCAGGCACGTGATTCTCCCTTCATACATTTGTATCTCTCACACCTCTTATATCTTATGAATCAATAATTCTAAATCTCCCTGCATCAGCTTCCTACCAATCCTTCTAATCACTAAATGAACAAAGTATTGAATGTTTTCAATGTTTCTAAAATATGAAATGCATTTATTTATTTTGTATGATATTCTTTTGTAAAACTTTAGGATGATATAACATTATTTTTAAAATATATAATTACTAATCTCTGTCATGTTTTTCCCATAAATGTTGATAGGAGCGCATATTGGACCCGAGCCAACAACTGATAGATTTGTTGTTGTCATGGTACGTGGAAGCCAAGCCAATTGTTTTTCTCATGACTCTATATTACCTTCAGTGTTTTCTCATTTTTAAACATATAAATCAATTTCGCTTCTAATTCATGGCAAGATAAAACATCTTTGGCAGATGCTGTGAGCGTCAACACTGAAATGGCAGTGTTGGAGTGTCAGTCATGCCTCCACACCAGCACACCACTCCATGAACATTTGAATGACATGTGTTGGACACTGCTAAACTGGTGTCTAATTAAACAAATAGTTTTTGATGGCTTGTCACTCGACTCAGTCATCTGACCCCTAAATATGGCTTTAGACTTCAAAGCACTGGTCTATTAAAAAATTTAGAAAATATTTTAACTTTCAGAAATCAACTTAAAATATCATGATTTATATAAAAAAAATTTAAAACAAACAAAATGATAAAAGAAACTTCAGCAGTAAATTTAAAATATTGCTTCTTAGTTTTTTTTTTTTTTTTTTTCTTTTCGTGGGGCTCATTATAGTATGGCATGAGTAAATCTTAACAAGTTATTTTGAGAGGGTGAATATACAAATTCAGAATTTCAATTTAGATATTTTGCGATGTTACTCATTTTTAGTTTCAGCTGAGTTGCAAATGCTAATGATCATACATATATGTATAAGGTGATGCGCCTTGTGCTATATTTTGGACATTGCCCTGTGTTTCTCTGCCTGTGCTTCATAGTATGGAAGTTCAAAAACTTGACAATGGAACTATGTAGTTTTTCTGTAGCATTAGTGCCAATATTTGATGGTTTTGAATTATTTTCTTAATAATCCTTTATCTTGAAGTCATCTTGGAAGATGAGCTATTGCATTAGTGTTATCTTTTAACTAGCAAATGGTCTAATGTACAGTCCGGATCGGATGAGAGAACTGTTCCTGGAAATACTGTTGCTGTCCAAGCAGACATGCCATTTAGTGGCCTTACAACTTTTGGCACAGCATTTTTGTCAAAATTTGTCTGTTCACAAATGCCTCATCCTGTAAGATGATCTAGATCTTTTCACAATATTTACAAGATTTTCCTTTTTAGCATTGGTGTTTGACTGTCTCAATTGTCCAAAGCTACTGGAACACATCACATTTGTCGACACTCCTGGAGTTCTATCTGGAGAAAAGCAACGGACACAACGAGCATATGATTTTACGGGTGTAACATCTTGGTTTGCTGCTAAGTGTGATTTGATACTCCTACTGTTTGATCCTCACAAACTTGACATCAGCGATGAGTTCAATCGTGTGATATCATCCTTACGGGGGCATGATGACAAAATCAGAGTGGTTTTGAACAAGGCAGACCAAGTTGATACCCAACAAGTAGAGCTTGCATAGTCAAACTTCTGTTGCTTATCTTTTGAATCTTTCACAACCTCCTCGGGTGAAATCTAACCTATATTATGTTGCAGTTGATGAGGGTGTATGGAGCCTTAATGTGGTCACTTGGGAAGGTGCTGAAGACACCTGAAGTAATGCGTGTGTATATTGGGTATGTCACTTCATTTATGTATATATACTTATCTCAATGTTCAACTGTTGTTTTTGTTATCGACAGTTGGGGAGAGACTACTTGTTGATATGATCGTAAGTTTTTTTGAGATTCTGTTTTTGTATTATCATGAAGTTGTGTATGCCAATGCCATTTTAGCACTGGAAGATTTGTTCCACACTACCTCATGTTTTATGCAATTTAGATATGACATAGTTGTATTATTTTATTCCTTGTTTATGAGATTGACATGTGCTCATTTGCTCATAATCAACCTTCTTTTGGCAGCTCCTTCAGCGACAAGCCTGTAAATGATGCTGCCACTGGTCCAATTGGTAAGGAACTCTTTGAAAAGGAACAGGATGATCTTCTTTCGGATCTGAAAGATATACCAAAGGCAGCTTGTGATCGAAGAGTGAGTTATTTACTTGACTTTTATTTTTTTTTATCGAAAGAATAGTTTTCCACTAATATTAGGTTACTTAGGACGTGTTTGGTTGTTTACTTAGTTTCTGAAAACTATTTTATATAACATCTTTCAAAATGTGATGTTAGAGAGTAAGAGTGGGAAAAGATTATTTTTGAAAACAGTTTTCAAAAAACTACACTTATCAAAGCTTGGGACAGTAGACATGGTGAAACTAAAGGAACAAAGCCTTTTGATTAGATTGTCCTTTCGTGAAATTACAAAATGAAAATTAATGTTATCAGGTCTTTAGTGTCATTATGTCCATACACAGATTTTATATACGATAGTCTCCTTTTCATGTGGTATAAATTCTATAGTTGCTTATTGTAGGTGGTTGTCTCATATTTTCAATTTCAGTATCCAGTTTATATTTAATTTGTTGCAGTTACCTTTATTGCATAATTAATTCTATTGTTATTATATCTGTATTATTGACTATTGTAGATCAATGAGTTTGTCAAAAGAGCCCGGGCAGCCAAGATACATGCTTATATTATCAGTCATCTTAAAAAGGAGATGCCTGCTATGATAGGCAAATCTAAAGCTCAGCAAAAGCTCATTGATAATTTGGCAGCTGAATTTGGAAAGGTATGAATCTATTAGTATATTCTTTTTGTTTATCTGCTTGTCTCGGACAACACTTATTTTGTATTCACACGACTGACAAATTTAAAACAGGTACAAAGGGAGTTCCATTTACCTCCTGGTGATTTCCCAAATGTAGAGTATTTCAGAGAGAGATTGAGTGGTTACAATATTGATAAGTTTGAAAAATTGAAACCAAAGATGATACAAGCAGTTGATGATATGTTAGCTTACGACATTCCTAACCTCTTGAAGAATTTTAGGAATCCCTATGATTAAATTTCTGAGCAATTGAGTAGTTCTATATCAGATTAGTTAGAGTGACGTTTGTGGCACAAATTTTACGGTTTTTGTGCAATGCAAGTTCGTCATGGGATCTTATGTGCCATCCGATGGCCTTTCCTTCTATGTCGGTTGTTTTATTATTTAATTTATGTCTTTCTAATTTTGTATATTTTGTCATCTACAATAAGGTATCGAGACAGAAATAAAGGTAAAACATAATTACATGTTTGTATCAAATTTAGTGTTGCTAAAGACAATGATTAACAGGTAGCTCTAGTCGTCAAGGAAATATATTGCTCTGGTAAGTTTGAATTTCCTTATTAAATCTGTAAAGTGGGAGTGTGAATCCCTTTAAGGTCCAGTGAGTGTCACCAAGTTGACACGCATGACCATATGATGCTATTGCTTACAATTGTTGCTGACGATGATAAGTTGAAAATATTACTGCTTACTAGTTGGGTCATTTTTATGCATTTTGGGCTATATATATACGATTTTATGTCAATAATAGGTGGCAAAATGATTTAACCATGGTTATCAAAATCAAAACCGAACTGGCGGGTTCAACCGGTTGTATTGGAAACCAGTTTGGAGTTTCCTAAAAATTGGATGAATAATAAATTGATTAAAAATTGGATAAAGAGGTTAAAAATAGATGAAACTAGACGTGCACTTTTTTTTTTAAGAGCTATGTAGTTTTGTTTTATATACTTTTTTTTTCTTTTATAGTTTAACATAGAGATATGCAAGAAAAGAGAATTTTTTTTTATTTGTTGTGGAATTTTTTTATTATTATAATTTTCATTTTTATAACTGTTATTGTCAGTCATTTATTATTTTGATTATTTTTTTCGTTGTCAATTATTATCATAATTATAATTATTTATAGAAATACAATAATATGGAATAATTATATTCTTTTAATTTAAAAATTAATTTAATAAATAGAGAATTAGTTATTTTTGATTTTGTAATTATGTCTTGAAATAAAATAAAATATATAAATTTTGAATTAGAATAGAAGATATGATAGTAATATTTTTTTTAATTATTTTTAAGTTAGGTATATTTTTTTTAATTATTTTCAAATTAGTTGTAATTTTTTTTTCTAATTATTTCCAGTTAAGTATAATAATAATTTTTTTCTTTTAATTATTTAATATTTCAAATATTTGATAATATATTTATTTATGTTATTTTTTTTATATATTTTATAAATATTTTTATTATTATATAATAATTTTTTAAATAATATTTATATTAGATTAAAATTGTTATATATTAATAAACTTATTTAAGTTTAATATATTATTATATTATTAAAATATATTATTTTATTAAATTGGGTTTAATTTCAATTTAATTTTCTATAAAATCTCGATTGAATATTTGAATCTAAACTCTTACGTTCACCAGCCGTCCGGTTTCATGAACCATGGATTTCTCTACGAACATCTTTATTTCATTTCATTTATACCATACCATTCCATTTTATTCACTTTAAAACATCTACAGAAAGCGTTAACATTTTTTATTTGAAAAATGCTACCATTAGTAAAGTTTTTTTTTTTTTTTGTTCTTTACTAAAATTATTATCCATTTTCTTATTAATAATTTTCCTTTTACTTTCTTTTTAATTTCATAATAATTGTGTAGAATAATTGAAAATGAAGGGATAAAAGTATGTGCAATTTATAAAATATTAATGGGTCTTGTTTTAAAACTTTTGAAAAAAAAAGGAATATTTTTTTTAAATCATTACATTTATTTAAGGAACAAAAATTATGCATAAGCTGTCACACCAATGACTTTTACTTGCATAATTTTTTTAACTTATTCTTTAACTGGGAAATTACGTTCACATAAATTATATATGCAAAATTTAAAATTAATATGAAATTATATATATATATATATATATATATATTTCAGAATATACTAAAATATAAATCATTTAAATGTTTTTTATTATTTAATTTTGAGAAAAATGACAAATATTCATAATTGTTGGGATAAAGATATTTGATTAGCTAAATTATAGGTTTATATAGCGGTACAAAATATTATATAATAGAACTTTTTTTATTTAGTTTTGATTTGTTGGAGTAAAATACTATAAGATCATAATATTTGTATATAAAAATAATATGAATAAAATTATAGAATGAATTCCATATTTTTCAATTTGGTACCAGAGCTTATAATTTTTTTTCTTTTTCTTTCTAAATCCTTGGAGATCTTAACTGGAGAGATGACATAAAAACTAATTCCAGTGGTTGTTCAATCTAAAGGTCTCTTCAACGTAGAGATCATCTTAAATGAATCTATGACGTATGGTAACAACTAATGGAGAAACACATTGCAAAGAGGGAAAAATTGTCCTATATCCGTGAGAAGGTGAAGTCTCCAACAGAGAAAGATGAGGGATATGAAAAATAGTACGCTGAAAACCAAAAAGTGAAAAGATGACTACTGATGTCCATGAAGCCAGAAATCATTAAAATGTATCTTCGCTTACCCACTACCTTCGATATTTGGAATGCTTTGTCAAATGTGTTTTATTATGGAAGTGATGAGCTACAGGAGTTTGTCCTGAATCAAAGGGCATTCATTGCAAAACAAAATAATAGAACCTTAACTGAATATTATGGGGAGTTGGTTGAGATTTTTTAGGGAATTGGACCATCGTGACAAAGTAGTCATGAAGGACCCTGATGATGTGAAGTCATATCATAAGTCCATTGAAAGATTAAGGGTGCATATATTCCTTGCTGGATTGGATGATGATTTTGAGCAAGTTTGTGGAGAAATCTTGCGCAAGGAAGTGACACCTGATTTAGAAAAATGCTATGCATTGATCCAGAGAGAGACAATCCGGCGAACAACGTTGAAAACAGAAGATATGATTTCTGATTTCACAGTTATGATGACAAAGAAGCATCCAGTAAATCATTACAGCAAATCGAAGCAATAAATTTTTTTTGAAAAAAGTAACTACAAGTGTACTCAGTGTAATAAGGATGGACACACCAAGGAATGGTGCTATGAAATCTTAGGATACCCCGAGTGGTGGGATCACATTCGAGTATCGAAGAAGAATAAAAAAAGAAATCCAATTGTTGCTGCTGTAACTGCCATTGACAAAGAGGACGACAAAGACATGATGCTTGCTACAATTGTAGGTAATGATGATTCCAATGGTAAGGCTTTAATAAGCACATCTACCATTCTAAATAATGTATGGATAATTGACTCTGTGTGTTCTGATCATGTGACTTTTGATGTTAGACAGATTAAAAATCTTAAATCTTTCTCATAATAAAGTATTTCCACAGCCAATGGTAGTAAATCCACTATCATTGGAGAATGAACTGTCTCTATTTCAAACAATTTGAACCTTGATACTGTCTTTGTTGTTCCTTCTCTTAAATATAACCTATTGTCAGTCTCGCAAATAACCAAAGCTCTTTTATGTGTTGTAATTTTTGGGCCTGACTCTTGTATATTTAAGGACATTCAAACGAGGAAGACGATTGGTTGTGGTATTGGGCGAGGAAGGTTGTATTACTTGGACTTGACAGAAAAAGATTCAAAGAGACTTTGTCAAGTGCTAGCAACAATAATGTCTCAAGAAGTAAGAAAAGGCGAGAGTATTTAGTTATGACATAAGCGTCTAAGACATGCATCTTTTGGTTACATAAAGAAATTATTTTCAAATGTATTTGACACTTCAAATTTTTATTGTGATGTTTGTGAGCTTGCAAAGAGTCACAAAACATATTTTCCTTTAATTTCAAATAAAAGTTCTCTTCCTTTTATGATCATTCACTTTGATGTATGAGGTCCATCTAAGGTTACAACGTTGGGTGGCTCAACATGGTTTGTAACGTTTATTGATGATTGTACTAAAATGACTTGATTATGTTTAATGAAGTTTAAAAGTGAAGTTAGAGGACTATTTCATAAATTCTGCAAAATGATTGAGACCCAGTACAAAATCCAAGTTCAGGTACTACATAGTGACAACGGAGGAGAATAAATGCAATCAGAACTTCAATATTTTTTAGTAGCCAAAGGAATTGTTCATCAGAGATCTTGTTCAAATACTCCACAATAGGATGGGGTGACAGAACGAAAGAACCGTTATCTATTGGAGATGGTCCGAGCTGCATTGATTGAAGCTCACATGCCAACAATATATTGGGGACAAGCTCTCACATATGCAGTATACACTATCAACCGAACACCGTCTAGGTCTCTTGAGTACAAAACACTTATTCAATCACTTACAGATGCAGTAGTAAGTCATAAAATTGTTGAACTAACACATAGAGTTTTTTATTGTATTGCTTATATTCACTTACACAAGCATCAGAGAAGTAAATTTTCTCCTAGAGCTGAAAGGTATGTGTTCCTTGGCTATGCGAATCACCAGAAAGGATATTGGTGCTACAATCCACAAACCAAACAAATGTTTACTACTATAGATGTAGTTTTCATGAAACTTTGATATATTTTTCCCCTGAGTCTGAAATTCAGGGGAAGAATGATGATGAAGTTCAGACTTTTGTTCCTCAAGAAATTGATATTGAGGTCAGATTGAAGAAAGAAAATTACAAAGTTGTATCAAGAGATGATGAAAGTGTGCAACAATGTGATGATCAACAACCACATAATGAAGAAGATTTTGAGTATGTTGAGATCTAAAATTTGCCTGTTGATGCTGATGATATACCACACCAATCGTCCCCTCAAGAACCTAATACAGAAAAAAGAATTCTACCAGATCGTGTCACTAGAGGTATCCCTAAGCCTACTTATGATCCTGACCTCACCAGTAAGACAAGATACCCTATGAGTAATTATAGTAATTATATTTGTAATCAGATTTTGTCTAACTCAAATATCGTATTTATAAGTCAATTATCTACTGTATCTATTCCTAACAGTATGCAGGAAGCTTTAGTTGACTCCAGGTGGAAGGATACTATGAATGAGGAGATAAGATCCTTGCAAAGAAATAAAACATGAGAATTGGTAGATTGTCATTTGGAAAGAAACCAGTAGGATGCCGATGGGTGTATACTATGAAATTTAATGCAGATGGTACAATTGAGAGATTCAAAGCTAGATTAATGACAAATGGGTACACACAAGCATATGGAATAGATTACACTGAAACGTTTGCTCCTGTAGCCAAAATTATTACAGTTTGAGTACTGTTATCTCTAACTGTAAACCTTGATTGGTCCTTACAACAATCTGATGTAAAAAACGCCTTCTTACATGGGGAATTGTCTGAAGAAGTTTATATGGAGCAACCAGAAGGATGTGAGATCCCGAATACACATAGTAAGAAGGTATGCAAGTTGAAGAAGTCATTGTATGGACTAAAATAATCGCCATGAGCATGATTTGGTAGATTCACCAAGTCAATGCTTGTTTTTGGATATCAATAGAGCAACCAAGATCATACCTTGTTTCTAAAGAAAAAGGAAGAAAATATTACAATTCTTATTGTCTACGTTGATGACATGATAGTGACGGGAAACGATCTATAGGAATGCAAGACATTGAAAGAGTACTTGACAAAAGAATTCGAGATGAAGGATCTTGGTCCTTTGAAGTATTTTCTTGAAATTGAGGTCTCAAGATCAAAGTCAGTTATTTTTCTCTCACAACGAAAATATACATTGTATTTACTGAAAGAAACTGGAATGACAACATGCAAACTAGCAAATTCTCCAATTGAAGGGGGATTGAAGTTATGCATTGAAGAAGCTCAAACTCCAACTAACAAGGGAAGATATCATAAACTTGTAGAAAGATTGATGTATCTTTCACACACCAGGCCAGATGCTCTTAGTGTGGTTAGCCAGTTCATGCACAATCCAGGTGAAAAACACATGGATGTTGTTATACGAATTTTAAGGTACATAAATGTTGCTCCTAGAAAAAGAATTATGTTCAAGAAGAACTCCAACTACAAGGATGTGATGGTTTATACTGATGCAGATTGGACATGTGCTCTTCATGATAGAAGATCAACCTCTGGATACTTTACATTTGTAGGAGGTAATCTTGTCACATGGAAAAACAAGAAACAGAAAGTTGTAGATAGATCCAGTGCAGAAGCTGAACTTAAAGGAATGATTCTTGGACTTTGTGAATGTTTGTGGCTCAGACTACTTCTCTAGGATTTAGGGTATACATATACATGTCCCATTCAGTTGTATTGTGATAATAAAGCTGTGTGCGACATTGCTCACAACCTTGTCCAACATGATCAGATGAAGCATGTGGATGTTGATAGATTTTTTATCAAGGAAAAACTTGATAAAAATACTTTGGAATTGCCAAATATTCGATCTGAAGATCAGCTGAGACACATTCTTACCAAAACTGTGACAAGTCAGATTTTTAGGAGATTATTGGACAAGTTGGGAATGTATGACATCCATTTACCAACTTGAGGGGGAGTGTTGGGATAAAAATATTTGATTAGCTAAATTATAAGTTTGTATAACAATACAAAATATTGTATAATCAAAATTTCTTTTATTTAGTACTTGATTTGTTTGATTAAAAATACTATAAGATCATAATATCTCGTATAAAAAATAATATAAATAAAATTATAGAATGAATTCTATGTTTTTCAATTATAATAATATGAAAATAATTCATTGGTTGGATCGAAAATTTCATTTTTTATACGAAGTAATTAATGGTGCTACAATTAATAAAAATTATATTGATATAATTTGTTATTTCTTCATATAAATATAAATATAATTATGTATTGTAAAAAAATTATGAAAAAAGTGTGATGAAAGTCTATATCTAGCAATTTTTTCTTCATTACTAAAGAAAATGAAGGATGTAACCAGTGACAAAGGCTATCGTACATCGTAAGACTTCATTATTGGCTCAATTTATGGAAAAATGAAATAAAATTATGAGTGGGATGGGAGTGATAGAATGAGTAGAGAGACACATCTTTCGACGAGTTTTGATAAATTTGAACCAATACATAATATATTTTAAATTCACTCTGTTAACAAAATCTTTTCGTTATTCTTTAAGACGTTATTTTTAGTTGTATTTTAGCTTAAGTTTATTCCCTGTGGATACATGACCCATCCACCGAATCATCATGTCCGCTGAAGTCTACGAAATCCATGGATTGAATTCAAATTGAAATTAAATTATCGAAAGGGATTAGTGCACGTGTATCAAAATTCGATGCAATCATCCATTGGAAAAGCCACATGTGCATGCGCATGTTGGGGAATGACTCGTATCGTTCTAAATTCTCAGTAAACTATGGCATTCCACATTGGAACTAGAACTTTTGGAGGCTCTTCAGTTCTGAAGTAGCATAATAATACAGCCTTTTGGAATGCATCCCCTCATATACACAGTCATAGTCATATTCAAATCTCATCATCCCATTAAATTTATCAAGAAAAAGATGATTAACCTAATAAATATACATCTCATAATTGACCTAAATGGCCACTGCTCTTCCCAAAATATAAAACGTAAATCTTCCATATAACAGCTTCAGTAGATGTATATATTCATTGCCTCAGATATCTTTGCCAATAACAGCACTCAGTTCAATTGAGTTGGTGAATGGACACCAAAATGGAAAAAAAAGAGATAACACACTACACTATCTACCATAAGATTTTGGTCGTGGGAGATGGAGATTTCTCCTTTTCTCTTTCTTTGGCCAATGCATTTGGCTCTGCTTCCAACATGGTAGCTACTTCCCTTGATTCCAAAGGTGTGTACGAGGCATATGATTCCTTTTTAACCAAGTATCAACCAATTCCTTTTTAAACCTTTTAAAGTCTCAAAGTCAATGCTTATTTGCAATTTATACGGAATTATAGTTTAAATACTTTTGTTATCATAACTATCCTCTTCAAAGTTTCACATTTAATTACTATAATTTTACTGCACTTGTCGTGTTTGCTTTCTGATTCTAACCCTTTTGCTTTTGAAATGCATTAGTGATGTTAATAGGGAAATACTCCAGGTCTGCACAAAATTTGGCAGAATTGACGAAACTTGGTTGCACCGTTGTGCATGAAGTGGATGCTCAAACTATGAGCGAACACCCACTTCTCAAACCCATGTGTTTTGACCGCATTGTCTTCAATTTCCCACATGCTGGATTTGTTTATCAGGAAAATGATATTCGCCAGATTGAGTACGTTTTCATAATAAAAATGCAAAACAGAAAAAAGTCAATTATTACACATTCTGACGAATCTATGTTCAACTCAGGCTTCACAAGGACGTTGTATCTGGGTTTTTGAAGAGTGCAAGGAATATGGTAAGCGATGATGGAGAAATTCATGTGACACACAAGAATTCTCATCCTTATAATTTGTGGGAAATAGTGAAGTTGGCAGAGAAGGTAAATTTGCAATTGGTTGAGAAGGTGCCGTTTTATGCGTACCACTATCTTGGTTACGTAAACAAGAGAGGATCTGGAGTTAGATGCGACCAATCTTTCCCCGTTGGTGATTGCAGCACCTTCAAATTTGCCAAGGCAAGTGTTGTGGATCTTTTGGGCTTGTAGAATGTTCCTTTTGATGAAGATGTTAAAAACGGTCAAATTTGTTTCCATTAGGAAACATATTTTCTGTTCTAATGAAGGTTATTTCTATTTATAGATGTGGATATATCTGATGGTTATTTGTCATTTATCAATATGATTGTGTTTTATTATTAAATTTAGGGAAATATCTTTTAAACATGTGTTCGCTGTCACATGTAATATATTTCAAATAGCAAATACATGCTCTAATATGAGTGTAAAAACCAATTCCAATTCAATACAATATGACATTAAAAGAAAAACTAAGGTATAGCAAGTCAAATAATATTTTAAACCGTCTTTAATCAATTACAATTGTAAGAGTTGTTACCATTGAAGATTAAAATTCAATGTTGAAAATGAGAATTCAATTATGTATAATTCTTATGTGAATGAAATTAACAAATAAATAAATAAATAAGTTGTAATGCAAAAAAAATTGCATTATCAACTGAAAATAGAATTGTTAATAGCTTTTAATTAATTACTATATATTCCAATTTACATTTTATAATAGTAATAATAATCAGAATGTAAATAAACACTTGAATAATTAAATTTTAATTATTTTGCTTGTCTAAAATTTTGAAATTAAAACGAATTAATAGATTTGTTTTAGGAGAAAATGTAACCGTCGAAACTAGAACTAAAACACTGTCAAAATCTTGCACTAAACAAATAATAAAACTAAATTTACACTGTAGAATTGCTTCAAGCCGACGTCGTTTATACCGAAAAAGGCAATACTTCAATCATAACGCTTTCCAGTTTTCTCGTCTCTCTGTTTTCTTTTCCAGAAACACTCTGTTCCTCACTAACTCTCATTCTTCCACAATTCTTCTTGATCAAAATCATCATCGTCGTCATCATCAGCGATGTTCGTCCGCAATGTTTTGTCCCGCGCGTCCACCGCCACTTCCCGGACCTCTTCTTTTTCTGCTTCACATAGGCCCCAACACTTCTCCAACCACTTACATTCCCTCATTCCCCAATCCCCCAACAAGGTAATCTTCGACACTTGCTCAAAATAATTCTCTTTCTTCCTTTTTTAAATCTTTAGGGTTTTGCTAGGGTTTTAGGGGTTTGCTTAAATTTGGACTTTTTTACCCTTTTCCACGCTGATTATTACCTTTTTCGCTCGCTACGCTATTTCTTTCGTGTTGTTCAGATATATCCTAATTGGCTCTGTTTTAAAGAAGGTTGATTTTATTTTAATTAAGGATATGATTGCTTGTGTTTCAGAAGTTATTTTTAATGCATTAGAAATTGTAATACCTAATTGCCTCTTTCAGACTCCTTTTCAGGGTAATAGTCTGTTTTAACTATTCGTTTTGAAATTAAATGTTCAGAATTTTTTTTTATGAATGTCACTCTTGTGTTTAGGAAAAAATAAATTACTGGATGAAATGTCTTGTGTCATTTGCTGCTATTGATTGTCCATTTTAGCCAGGTTTTTTATCAGGTGTGTTGTGTCTCATTACATTAAGGAAGATTTAATAACATTCTTTTATACAGCTTGTCAACGTTCATTAGTGCTTCAAGAGTTTAAAGGTTTCAAAACTTGTTCTCTCTTTTCTGGAAGTTTGTATTTAATGGTTGACGATATAGGTCATTCTTTAGTCAATTTCAAAAGAAAAAACGATTGGCGAAAAGTCTTTAATCTGATTATTATATATGTATGTTAAATGGTGTATGCACTGATTTTTTACGTTTTCATCCAATCATAGTCTGTTGTATGTGGCAAGTGCGGAGACTTTGACAAAAATTACTTTGAAAGTCACTCGGATGATGATATTTTATTGGTTACCAGTGGAATTTTATCTTACAATATTTTTCTTATTATTGATCACTGTCATTTTCTTAAAATGTTTTTTCTGAGAGATAAATTTCCTTTCATGTATGAAGGAGCAATAGTTATCATTTCGTTTGTACATGATATTATTCAAATCGATTATATGGTTGTTATCATTTGTCTATACCCTAGGAGACATTATCTCTTTTTAAATTTTTTTTATTGAGTGAATTCTAGTATGGATTTTAAAATTCTCATGGAGTCCCACATATGCTTTCTAATGTTCCAGTTGATTCCTGATCAAGTCAATTTGTTACTGCTACGGATAAATTCATTATCAACAACTCCAAGATTTAGGTTTTCTTCATCAGCTTCAAGTGAAACTAATGACAAGGAAAAAGGGAATAATGTGCATATTGGAGAGTCTGCAAACGAAGAGGCGAAGAATTGTGAACAGTCTGGAGAAGCTAAACCTGCAGATAAAACAGAGTCAGGTTCCATTTTAGATTCTCAATCTCAAACAGTCAAAGGAAGGAGGAAAGGTTTTAAACGAACAGCATTTTCTGAATCAGATTCAGATTCAGAGAGTGAATGTGACCTATCAAGGGATGATTTAATTAAACTAGTGGCTGATAAAGAAGAACTTTTGAAGTTAAAGCACAAGGAGATTAAACAAATGCAGGATAAAGTTCTGCGTACTTATGCTGATATGGAGAATCTCATGGAAAGGACGAGACGTGAAGCAGATAATTCAAAAAAGTTTGCTATACAGGTCTAGTTTTGAACCCTTTTGTCCCAAATAATTTACTCTTCAACTGTGTTCTGAGTGGTTTAAATATGCTGTAGAATTTTGCAAAGAGTTTACTGGATGTTGCGGACAACTTGGGAAGAGCTTCCTCAGTTGTGAAGGAAAGTTTTTCAAAAATTGATACACCTAGTGACTCGGCTGAAGCGGTAAAACTTCTGAAAACACTTCTGCAAGGTGTTGAAATGACCGAGAAACAATTATCAGAGGTAGAATTTATACTGTTTCTATTTAAATTCAAAGGTCATAGCCAATTATTGTTCAATGTTTTTTTTCTTTGCATTGTTGTAGTTACGGTTTATTTGATCTTTCTTTTCAGCTATCTTCTGAGTTCCTTATTTATATACTTTTGTTTAGTAATGATAGTGGGATGATTGTTCATTTTCGTATTTCAATTTCTTAAAATTATTTCCTGAATCGTTATATCATAAAGTAGTTGTGTACTGAAACTCAGAAAGCACTTCATTTAAATGTAGCTAGATTGTAATAGGATATTTAGTTTACCTGCTGAATTTTAATTGAGTCGATGATGGGTATCTAGAGGACTAGGGAATTTGGGGAAGAACATCATCGAATCTGATCAAGAAAATGTTTTCTAACACAAGTTATTACTTCCAAGAACATTACAAAAGATTTTGCCACTTATATTTTACAATATATTATTGTATGTGCAAATTGCTTCAGGCTTCAGCCTATTGTAAAGCTAACTTCTTCTGCTTATTACAGGTACTTAACAAGTTTGGTGTAGAAAAATTTGATCCTACGAATGAGCCTTTTGATCCACACAGGCATAATGCCGTCTTCCAAATACCTGATGGTTCTAAGCCTCCAGGAACCGTTGCAGCCGTTCTGAAGGTAATCTACATAATTTGTAGTGAAGGACTATGATTTGCTTTTTCCAATTTTATAATTTTATTTTGATCCTTAAAACTTTTGATACGTGTTATTTTGGGTCTATGAAGCATGAGTTGTTTGCATATCTGTATCATATTCATATTTGATACTGTTACTTTATGATGATGATGCATTATATTTTTGTTGTTTCTGTATATTTTCTATTTGGAAAATCTGAGATACAAATCCAAGTGAGTTAGAAAAAAATCAGGGACTCTAGTCGCAGGGACAACGATATATATATATATATATATATATATATATATATATATATATATATATATATATATATATATATATATATATATATATAATAATCCTATTGCTTATAGAGCTAGCTGGTAGTGACACTTTTTTAACGTGCTTTTCTATAATTGACTTGATTTCATGTTGCCTGTTGGTGCCATTAAACAACTCTGGTCCCTACTCCAGCGGGACTAAGTGCAGTTCACCGAATAATAAAAAGGTGTTCTGCAAACATTTTTCTTGGATTATATTGAATCGTGTTGGACGAGTAATGTAACGTAGTTTTAGTTTAACGGCCTTTCAATTGGCTGTGCAACAAGTTCTGGTTGATTATGTGAGTTTGAAGGCAAATTTTATGTTATTTTTTTAAAGCTAAATGGTATGATACTTTCCATTTACTATTTCTCCCGAGAAAGAGATTGAAAACATGAATATAAAAACTATCATATGTTCATGTTTGCAGGCAGGATATATGCTTTATGATCGTGTAATTCGACCAGCGGAAGTTGGTGTAACCCAAGCAATCGAGGATGACGAGAAAAAGGGAAAAGATGGCGTAGCTGATAAGGGTTCATAGGATAAAGTGATTCCAGTGGCTTCATTCAAATTTGTATCTCCGGAAGCTTTCTCATCTTCTCTCCTTGGCACTACTATTTTCCATTGCTTTTACGAAGCATGCAACAGACATTCTTTTCTACTAGTTAGCAAGTCATAAAAAGGGGCATGAGAAATAGGGGCAAAATATTATCTGACATGTTTCTAACATTTTATTGTTTATTATTATTTTTTAAGTCTAACATAGATTTTGCTCATGTTTGTTGAAGTCATCATGGATTTTAAGTAAAATATACTACATTGGATATTTTATTTTCTTTCTTTTAATAAATAAACTCATTACTGTTTTTGTTTCAAGTGTGGAACAATCTTATGTTTTGCTTGCAAATAATTAAAGATATATATTTTTAAATTCAATTTAACATAAAAAGAAATAATCTTTAATGAATATGGATAAAACTATCATATTTTAAGATAAAATTTTGATATAAGAAATTTGTTAAAATCTTATTTTATTAAGATTTCACATCTCAGCAATCAAATTTTATGGAGATGATTATGACTTGCCATTGACTTTGGAGAAGTTGAGCAGGCTGTCTTAAAACAAAACAAATAAATGAATAAATGTAAAGTGTAGCACTAGTAAAATATTTACTTTTAGGTATAATAGATTATTCATATGATAAACTGCTACATTTCTTACTTGAGCATACAAACATTAACAATCACTCAACTAACCCAGCCATTTAAGAAAATTACGAAGAGATTGTCGGCAAGTTGTCAACCCATCCATCTTTATTGATAAAAGACGCGAAGGAAAATTGTTCCATATCTGAAGGACTTAGTTTCTTCATCCATGCCACGCGCTTTGAAGTATCAGCTCCTGGTCCTTTACAGTCAACTTCTGCATAAGTGATCGTGCTCCTACAACAATTTCGTCGCAAATTAATAAAAAATGTATAAGAAATGTTTAATATATAAAACCCAAAAATACTCTCTTTTTTTAATAAAAAACATGGAATAATATAATTCTCAATTTTTCAATTCATATAAGAAGTATGATCATAACTAATTGATAACTTTTTTAAGTGATCAATGTATCTATTTAAACTTACTCATTGCCAACATAAGACCAAGCATCCCATCCTTGAGGAGTTACAATGGAGGAAAAATATGTTTTGTGAAATATGACTCTCGAGTATGGACCCCATGCTCTTCCTAAATTCACTTCACCATCCCCATTGATCGAACCTCCTTCAAACACGAAACCATCTGGATCATCACCTGAACTTCGTCCTTGAGCTGTTACAAAGCCTGGTGATGTTGAATTTCTCCCCACAACATTGATCGAACAGTTCTACAAGTGAACAAAACACAAATATGAATATTTCATATTTCAATTTCAAAAATAAATTAATTAATGTAATTTACCTCATAGTAAGATTGTCCAGAACCATATATGAAGTCCACTTCACCTTGAATGTAACAATCTACAAAGTAATGGCGTCCGTACACATCATATAAAGTGTCTTGATAACCTAAAAAACTACACTTAGAGAAGAAATATTTATCCCCGTGTATTCTTGCTGCATTTGCCGGTTCAATTGGATCGCTTCTCACATTGCTTAATTTATATATTTCATTCTTCACGTTATATGAGTTCTGCACAAACATAACAATACATTACAGACAAAGAACATTGAAGAACTATCAATGGTTATTTATATGTTCACCCTGAAAGTAATGCCACTTGCAACTACATTTGGTGCTGAAGAAGTGAACGTAGCATTAATACTTCTTCTATTGTGGTCCCAGTAACTAATGATTGTTGTGGGGCTACCCTCTCCTTCTAAAATTATGCATGGCTTTTCTGTGGGAATAGAAACCCTTTCCCTGCACAATTACACTATGGGAATAACGAACTGTACATGATTATAGAAAGGTGAGAGTATGTTTTTAACAATCTGGACCAAATTCAAGAAAAATTTCACATTAACCAAAAGAAAAAAAGATTGAGGTTGAATACAAATACATTAATTTCGTATTAGAACCATATTGTTAAAATTGATGAACAGCTAGTTGCGAAGTTTAAAATCAATGGACAATAAATGTTTCTGAAGTATTCAGAATGTTTGAAGTACATTAATTTGGGTGTAATGAATTTGAGTAATCATCCTTTTGAAAATCAGAAATGCCAAATAAACAAAGATACGCCTCTGAAGTTGTCTCCCTGGCACAATTTACATGTGCGCAAAGCATAATTCTTACTACTACCAATTTACATGTAGCTATAGAATGATGTTTGATGAAAGAATGCATGAAATATTCTTTGTATTTTCATAAAAAAAAAAAAAAAATTTTTGTTGACAAAACAAATAAATTTGTATGATTCTATAAGAATATCATTTGAACTTACATGTATAAGCCGGCTTTTATATGAATCTTGACCCATTGATCATTGTTAGTTTTTACAGAATCAATGGCTTCTTGAATTGTTCTAAATGTTGCTTTGCCTAGTTTACCAACAACGACCGTTTGTGCAACATCCTTCCCACCACAGTCTGTGGCTTTTCCAAGACAAAAGAAACAACAAATGAACATCAGAACACAACTCATCTTTCTAATATACAATTCCATGGTAGAATACCTCTGTTGAATAATAAATCTTGTAAACATAAACATACCTCTTAATAGAAAAGAATGTTGACATTAGAAGAAAAAAAAAAACCGTCTCACTTTTTTTTTCTTTTTTTAAGTTCAAGAAAATAAATATTTCATTCATTAATTATTAATTAATTTTTTAAAATCATTTAAACAATTTCCATTCATATTAATAACATTAGATCAACTTCATTGCAAGAAGACAGTGGAAATGGATATCTTGGTACAAGGTTAAGTAAATAGTTTGATTCATCAACTATTGTGTAAAATGAGTAAATGCTACTAATATTTGAACAAAAAAAACTATCTCAGTTTTTTCTGTTTAAAGCTTCTTTGATATTCAGATTAAAAAGAATACACTTATTATTTTAAAAACAACTTGATATAAGTTTGTTCGAGCATTAAATTTAAGAGTTTTAAGATAATATATATATATATATATATATATATATATATATATATCTTTATTTAATAGATGTAATTAATTCACTTAAATGCAATAGGAGTTTTTATTGACAAGTTATTTATCTTAATTATTGGATGCTTATGACAACTTCAACTTCTTATTGAAAAATGTACCTCATCCATAAACATCCTACACTTAATTTTGTTTATATAAATATTTTTTTTAAAGAAATTAAAGCAACCTAAATTTTTTATAACTAGTTATTTAATAAAATAATTTATATTTTTTTAAAATATTTTATTATATTAAAATTTTTCTTATGAAAATTCAAGTAACTGATATTCTATTCAAATATCTCAATATATATTTTTTAATAAATCTTTTATTCAAGTTGATTTATATGACACTCCTTTTTTTAAATTAAAATTTTTAATATTTTTTTAAGTATAAAAAATTATTTTATTTAAAAAATAAAAATAGAAATCATAAGACATTAACTATTTAAATTTTAAAAAATAATTTATATAATGAGATTTATTAAAAATTCTTATAAAAATTCCTTACGAAGAAAAGTATTTTACTGTAAATATATGTAAATAATTGTTTAAAATTAAATTTTCTTTTTCTTTACTTCATGTACATTAAATTTATAACTTTGTTAAACAACTCTCTTTAAAAATACTTATATAATAAAATTAAATATATATTACTTGAAGTGACACATAAGGGATAATAGATTATATTTTTCATATATCAATATTTCATTAAAAATATTCTAAGAACAAAATAAATATTAATCATATCATGTTTTTTTATGTGGACAACCATAATTAAATATAATAATAATAATAATAATTAAAAAAAGAAGAATTTATGATAATAATAATAAATGTCAATTGATAAATAATTAATAATTAAAAATAAATAAATAAATTAATTAAAAAATAAAATTAAATTAGGATGTCACAATCATATTACATAAAAAAATGTTAATATACTAATGAGTTGACAACTTAATAAATTAACAAGTAAGTTAATAAATTAATAAATTTAAGTTAATAAGTTAATGAATTAGCAAATTTAAGTTATCAAGGGTACAGTCCATTTTTTTACATTGAAAAATAAAAAATAAAAAATTATAATTTATAATGTTCCATCAATAACTCAATATTGATTTTAATCTAGTAATTTTTTTTAATTAATTTTTTAGAAAATCATTATTTTTCTTTATTTATTTAATTTGTTTATATTTATAAGTTGTTTGATATTGTTAGATATTGTTTATATATTATTTGATATTGTTAGATATTGGTAACCACAATATCAAACAATATCTTCTGTTTATTCGTTACTTTCGATTACTCTTTTAGTTGTATTTCTCTACTATAAATAGACCACCCTATGTGTGATTTATACACAAGGGAAATTAATTCCAAACTATATTTTCTTTATATTCAACATGGTATCTAGAGCTTAAGGTTATCTTGAATTTTTTTCCGCCTTTTGTCCACTTGTTGGAGCCGCCCCACCGTTGCTAGAGCCGCCCCACCGCTTCGGTAAACCGATCCTCCACATCGGAAAAGAATTATCTTTGTCATTGAATTTTATTTGGTAGTGTGAAAGTGCATGTTTAGGAAAGTTACGGCAAGGAAAGACTTGGTATTTAAGTGTGTCCATTAGTGACCCACCTCTCTTTCACGGGAACTTACCTAGTGTACTAGTTCACGTTACCGTCATCACTGCTACTGGAGCGATCCATCGGGTCCGCCGTTGTCGGAGAATTCGCCGGAGTTTCATTTTTTTTTACCGGTGACATATGATTTTGCTTGTCTCGGTCGGGGTTTGTTCTCCCGCTCTTCATGACTTCTTCCACTATTTCCAATTTTGTTAACGATTCTTTTGTGTTGACATCCCATCGTGATGACCGGGCTCGCCCTCGCAAACGGGAAAAACGG